ACGATAATTTAACTTCTTCCTTTCCTATCCTTATGTCTTTTATTTCTCTCTTGTCTAATTGCTCTGGGTAATATTTCCAGAACTGTATTGAATAGGAGCAGTGAGAGTGGACATCCTTGTCTTGTTCCTGATTTTACGTTGAAAGTTTCAGTTTTGTTCATTTAGTAAGATGTTGGCTGTTGGTTTATCATATAAGGCTTTCATCAGATTGAGGTAAGGACCATCTATTTTGATTTTATGTAGGATTTTTCATTGTGATTGAATGTTGAACTTTATTAAAGGTTTTTTTGCATCTATTGAGATGATCATGTGATTTTCATTGTTGGCTCTGTTGATGTGATGTATTATGTTTATTGATTTGTGTATGTTGAACCATCCCTGCATTCCTGGGATGAATCTCACTTGGTTGTGGTGTACAATCTTGATGATTTGCTGCATTCTGTTTGCCAGTATTTTATTGAGAATTTTTGGATCTGTGTTCATTAGGGAGATTACCCTGTAGTTCTCTTTTTTGGTTGAGTGTTTCTCTGATTTTGGAATTAGGGTAGTACTTGCTTTCAGAAATAAGTTAGGGAGAACTGCTTCCCTCTCGATGTCATTGAAGAGTTTGAGGGATGTTGGCATTAAGTCTTCCCTAAATTTCTTGTAGAATTCAGCAATAAATCCATTAGGACCTTGACTGTTCTTTGTTGGTAAGGTTCTAATTACATTTTCAATTTCATTAACTGAAATTGGGTTTTTCAGAAGTTTTATATCTTCTTGATCCAACATTGGTAATTCATATGTTTCTAGGAATCTGTCCATTTCTTTTGTGTTTTCCAACCTATGAGATTAAAGATTTTCACAGTATTGATGATCTTCTGTGTTTTCACAGAGTCTCAGTGATTTCAACATTTTCAGTCTTTATTGCATGAATCTAAGTTTTTTTCTTTCCTTTTTTTTTGGTAAGGTTGGCTAGGTGTTTATCAATTTTATGTATTCTTTCAGTGAACCAACCTTCAATTTATTAATTCTTGGTATTGTTTTCTGAGTCTCACTTGCCTTAATTTCTGCTCTGACGTTTATAATTGTCTCCCTTCTTTGAGCTTTGAACTTGACTTGTTCTTCTTTTTTAAGTATTTGAGGTGTAGCATCAGGTTGCTTATTTGTATTTGTGCTGTTTTCTCAATTTGAGAATTCACCACAATAAATTTACTTCTCACAGCTGCTTTCATTGCATCCCACAGGATCTGTTTATGTTGCATTTGAATTTTTGTTTGCATGTAGATATTTTTGAATTCCTTCTTTAATTTTCTCTGTGACCCATTGATTGTTCAGGAGGCTATTATTTAATTTCCATGTGTTTATGGAGTTTTTGTAATTTCTTTTGTCATTAATTTCCAATTTCATGGCACTATGGTCAGATAATATGCATGGGATAATTTCAGTTCTTTTTCATTTACTTAACTATGTTCTGTGGGCTAGCATATGGTCTATTTTAGAGAATGTCCAATGTGCACCTGAGAAGAATGTTTATTCTGGTCTTGTTGGGTGGAATACTCTGTATACATCTACTAAGTCCATTTGTTCACCAGTTTGATTCAGTTTTATCGTTGCTTTGCTGATTTTGGTCTAGTAATTTGTCTCTTTGTGACAGTGGAGTGTTAAGGTCTCCTGTTATGATTGCATTATTGCTTATTTGCTATTTCATGTCAATATTTGTCTTGTATATCTGGGTGCTCCCATATTTGGTTCATATATATTTATGATTGTTATCACTTCTTTTGACGTCTTCCCCTAACAAGTATGTAGTGACCTTCTTTTTTTCTTTTAATCATTCTTTGTTTGAATTTCACATTGTCTGCAAACAGAATTGCTACCTTTGCATTTTTCTGGGTTCCTGTCACATAGTGTATTGTTTTCCATCCTTTAACTTTCAGTCTATGAATTTCCTTTTGCATTGAATGTGTTTCTTATATATAGCATATTGTGGATTTTGTTTCTCAATCCACTCTGCCAGTCTGTTTGTTTTGTTTGGTGAATTAAGACCATTTACATTAATGATTATAGCTCATAAGAATTGGCTATATAAATTGAAAATGTAATTAGAACCTTACCATCAAAAAACAGTTAAGGTCCTAATTATCTTTGTCATGTTATCTTTCTGTTGTTGGTTTCGTTTAATTTCTCTGTTTAATTACTTGTCCTGCCTGTTGGTTGCTTGTTCTTTCTATTGTTGTTCTTGAAATTGTATGTGTTTCATTTGTATGTGTTTCTAGAATGTCTTTTGTTAATCTTTGTAGGGTTGGTTTGGTTGTCATAATGTTCTTCAGTTGTTCTTTGTTATGGCAGTATCTTATTTTTCCATTGATTTTGAAAGATAGTTTGGCAAGGTACATCATTCTGGATTGGAAGTTGTTTTGTTCCAGGATTTGGAATACTTTACTCCAAACTCTTGCTGACTTGATGGTTTGTGTTGTGAATTCTGCTGTGATTCTGATAGGCTTTCCTTTATAGGTGATATGTTTCTTTTCTCTACCAGTTTTTAATATTCTGTTCTTGTGCTGAATTTCTGGGATCTTGATTATTATATGTTGAGGTATAAATTCATTTATTTGTGGCTAATTGGAGTGGTATGTGCTTTACTTATCTCTATGTCAGTTTCTTTTCCCATATTTAGTTAATTTTCTGCTATCATCTCTATAAATAGTCTTTTTATGTCATTTGGGTTGTCTCCATTTTTGTTGACACCTATATACTTATATTGTTTCTCTTTGCATCATCTTGCAGCTATTGAATTGTTACTTCCTGATTTCGTATTATTTTTAAGAGCTATTTACTTTGATCATCACTAGTTACAATCATGACTTTGAGGTCTGAGAATCTGTTTTCAGTTTTATTTATACAGTTTGGTCAGCTTTCCATTGAATTTTTGATTTTCTGAATATCTCCTGGAATTTGTTTCATGTATTCTAATTGTTTCCTATACTGTTCATTCAAGGTTTCCATCACTTTCCTATGCCCGTCTATTTTTTTTTTTATCTATGTGTTCTTTGGATACATTCACCAATTCTCTCATTATATTTATCATATCTGTTTTTACCCAAGCAAATATTTTTAAATCTGACTTCCTTCACAGCTTCCTGGAGTTGTTTCTTTACTTCCCTTGCTATCATTTTAGTGATTTCAGGTGTGTGTGTTTAATTTCCAAATTCATCCATGTCTCTGTCTCCAGGACTTCATCTGGATGAGCTGAAAGTCTGAGATTGCATTTTTTTTTATTTTTGCATTTTCCTGTGTTCTTCCAAATCAGCCACATACCAAGTCCTAGATTCTTTCAGTTCTGGTGGGCTATCAGGCAGCAGGCCTCACTGAGGTTCCCCTGCTTTTGGGTCATTGGGCATAGACAACTGTTCCCTGCAGGCTTCAACAAGTGTTCCCAGTTGACTGACGGTTGCTAGGCATTGGTTTTCATCCCTGCAGGCCTCAGAGATGGTTCTCAGGTGTGGATCGTTCATATTGTGAAAATTCCCAGTCCTAGTAAGTCTCACTGTGTGTTCCTAGATGACTGTGAGTTGCTGGGCACAGGCTTCCAGTCCCAAGTGTTCCTGGATGACTGTGGGTTGATGGGCACAGACTCTGGGTCCCTGCAGGCCTCAGAAATGCTGTCTGGGTGTGGGAAGGCCTCTGGATATAGCTTTGCAGTCCTCAGTAGTCTCACTGAGTGTTCCCAGATGACTGCAGAACCCTGGGTACAGATTCTCAGTCCCCATGCACCTTAGAATTGTGTTTGGATGTGGGAGGGCCATTTGGTACAGCTTGTCAGTCCTTAAGAGTCTCACCAAAGTGTTCCTGGATGACTGCTGGTCAGTAGACTTAGATTGGTGGTCCCTGAAGGCCTCAGAGATGGTGTTCAGGTAGGGAGGGCATCTGAGTACAGCTTTCCAGTCCCCAAGAGCCTTACCAAGGGTTCTCAGATGACTGTTGGTCACTGGGTAGAAACTTGGGTTTTATAAGTTTTGAGATGACTTATGGAACTCAAGGAAATACTTTATTTCTGTGTAGCCGTTTATTATAAAGAATGTTACAAAGGATGAGATGACACCCTAATTGAGGAGACAACAAGGTAGGGGAGAAGAAGCATAGAGCTTCTTCAGCCTCTCTAGGCATACTACCCTGCAGATACCTCCATATATTCAGCAGCTTAGAAGATATCCAAACTCCAGAGTCCAGAGCTGTCTATGGAGTCTTCATCACATAGGTAGACATGATCTATTTTTAAATATAGTTTCCAGCCTTACTCCCTTTCCTAGAGAGTGAAGCATGGGGCTGAAACTTCTAAGCTTCTAATCATTGTTTAGTGTTTCGGGCAACCAACCCTCATCTAAGAGCTCATCAAGAGTCACCAGAATAGAACAAATGATGTCCTATTCCCTAGGAGATTCCAAAAGATTAGAAGCTCTGTATCTGAGATGGGGCCAGAGATCAAATATTGGAACAAAAGATGTGCCTAACATCCCTGGAATTTAGAAAATTACAAGTGTTTTATGAATTCTATGCCAGAATACAAAGACAAAGACCAAATACATATTTCTTACTATATTATATGACAGTAGTCATTTGTGAATCCCAAGGGCAAGTTATGTTTATTATCTACCTCAAAAGGCTTTTTTATAGAAGCCATAGGTGAATAAAATGGCAAATAAAATATTAAAAAGAACATCTGGTCTTCCAGTTAAAACATTACTATTTTCACAGTTATATAATGTTTCAGGCTTATTGTACTCCCTTCTATGCCACCAGCCACTAAAAATCTCACCAGTGCCAGGTATGTCAGTATTACTATCTCACCTTGATGCCCTCCTATTAGGAGAAGCTCGTAAGTATATATTTATGAAGAGTGCCCCATGACAGGGAAAGGTTTTAAAGTAACTGGCCAGAGTTTTTGAGATGGTTTTAAATGGCACTTTGAGAAAGAAAAGATCAAAAGAGACGTTAAATTTTGCTTGTGTTTCTTTCAGTTTTACCCAAGTATGAAAACCAGATTACTATTTTTGCTGACTACCTAGAAGAATTTCCAGATACTGATGAGCTGGTATGGATCCTGGGGAAGCAGCATCTCCTTAAAACAGGTATAGCTTGGCAGCAGTTGTCTTCTAGAGATGACTAAGAAAAATACCTATCTAATTAGAAATGGAAATTCAGAATTTCTGTTGGTGACCACTGAAGTAAATTTGTCATAAAATACCAGAAAGCATGTTTTGAATAAAGACAAAAACATTTATAATGTTATACACTAACTACAAATGCCAGTTGTACTAGGTATTATGGGTAAATGTATTGCACATGTTATTTGCTTAGTGAGGATATTCCTTTCCAGTTAAATGCATACATTGCACATGTAAACACACATGAATACATAAACACACAAACACCTAGTTTTAAATTACAGAAAATGTTATAACAATAATGGTGAGAGATCCAGCTAACATCATCATGCTGACTGGGAATCATTGCTTTATGAGTGAGTTATATAGGTTCCTTTGCTTTCTTATTCCTTGTCTTTTGGCCATGACTTCCAGGACCATGAGAGACAGGAACAACCCAATATCATTTGACTGACCAGTTGAGTAGCTCTTGTCAAAAGAGAAAGTGAGGGGAAAATACTGAAATTATTTGGCTGAAATAAAATTGGATTTCCTATGAATTTTCCTTAAGCCTAAAACAATGGAATTGATTGTTTATTTGCAAGTAAGTTTTCTACTAGCATAGAAATTAAACACAGGCATTTTTAGATGGGATATGGTGACTTAATTTTATTTTCTCATTTATTTACAGAAAAATCTAAGCTGTTGTCTGATATAAGCGCTCGTCTATGGTTTACATACAGAAGGAAATTTTCACCAATTGGTAGGTGCATTGCTTGTACTGTGCTTTGTTCTTTATAGATAGCTTGCCTGAGATTATCAGTGACTTCATAGAAACCTTAGAATTAACAGTTCACTGTAGCAAAGTGTTTGATTTAAGGCAATAGGTAAGTATTATACTTCACCCAAAAGTTTCATTGCTTAAGTACCTCATCATGCATGTTACTGTGGTATTGACATGTTCTACCAGTATACCTCTGAATCCACTTCCAACTGTTCGGATACCAGATGGGACTATGTATTTTACTTTTAAGAGTAAAGAAAAATGAAATCGACTTTTCATTTGGGTAATATCTATTAAGTTATAATTCACAGTTTTCTTGAACTGTTTTGATTATTAAAGATAAATTATGCCTTAAAGGAAAGAAAATAATTCTAAAATGAAAGCACCTTGACATTGGAAGATGAGTTATGATAGACTTCCTTACAACTAATTCTACTTTGTTACTGTCATCTAGAAAAAACAGATATCTTTAGTGATATCTATAAAAACAAAAACAGAAATAAAAACCAGACAGATATATAAGTTAAGTGAATATATTCCCTTGAGAGGATTTGTAAAATATTTGCCAGCTGGGTGGTCACTTCCTAGTATCCGGTCCTTTAGGTGCAAATAATGGAAGCTACTCTCCTAAGCTTGTCTGACCAATTTTAAGGCAGGACTGAACCTAGTAATTGGAGTGAAATAACCTTCCTGTGAAGGACCAAAAATGAAATCGCACATGTTCTTTGCTCTTCATAGAAAGTCCCCAAGTAGTAACACAGAAAAACAGTCTTTATCATCCAGTGGTTCTAAATGGTTAACTTTCTCTGAGTAAGGAATTCTTTGCTAGGCCTGAAAATATTTCCCATTCAAATCTGACACCATTTTATCAACAGATGATCTGGCCTATAATTTGAGCATTAGCAAGAACCACACAGGATGATGCAAATACCTGGTATTACAAGTATGGAAGTAGTATAAAATACTATTAAGAAATTAGAAATGTTCTATAACTTTAAGATGTACAAAACCAATTAATCTTCTGAGATCATGCTTAGAGCATACTTTTCGACTTCCATGTGGGGAAAGGAAAATAAGGAAAACAACTTGCATCCATGCCTAGAAGTCTCCAAGGCTGGGCATGGTGGCATATGCTTGTAATTTTAGCACTCCAGGAGGCTGAGGCAGGGGGATCCATACTGGGATATAAAGTGAGTTCAAGATCAGTCTGAACTACATAGTGAAACCCTGTCTCAAAAAGAAAAAAAAAAAACACACCCCAAAACAAAAACCTAAAACCTAGAAGTTTTCTAAGCAGGCCACCTAAGGGATAGGTTTAGTTCATTTCTTTGCTTTGTCTTTGTCTGTAGAAAGCTGTTTGGGTGACTCAGCGTTATCATTGCCAGTTTCAAACCTAAATCCAAATCCTATTTGATCTGTGACTGTATTTCTTGCCTCCCTTCTAAGAATATGTGTGTTGGCTTGTCTTGTGTGACAAATACGCTGATTTCTCAGAAAATGACCATTATTCATTCCCATCTAATTCACCAACAGGAGGAACAGGCCCTTCATCAGATGCTGGCTGGGGATGTATGCTGCGCTGTGGACAGATGATGCTGGCTCAAGCTCTTATCTGTAGACACTTGGGAAGGGGTAAGTTCTATTTTTTCTACAAATGGTTTTGGATGCCTCTGTAGTATCATTTGCTGTTGTTGGTATGGCATTAACACTAAGCTTTAAGACAATTCAGTAACAAAGCTGCAGGCCCTAAAATGTTGTCTGCATGTTCAAGTGTTGGAGTTGTCAAGTCAACAAAGCCCCTCTTAAGAAGGAAATAGGCAGTATTTTCCTGTAACTCACCAAGTTATTTTCCAGAAATAGAATTGAATGTTGGAGCACATGTGTCATTTAGAGTTTCCAACTTTGCTATTGTTTGAGTTCTTAAAAATTCCATATAACAAAGGGAATAGGAGGGGGTGGTGGCAAGTCTGTTTCTTGACCTTGTTTAGAATATCCATGTGGTGAAGGATATAAATGACCTAAAGTAAGTGCCTAATGAGAGAGCTGGCACTATTTGGGTTTTGATCCCTGAGGATGTCCTTTCCATGATGAAAGAATCCTTAAATTAGCTTTCTCAGGAGGTTGCTTTATAGTCGAGAACCTTCCAGTTGCAGTTGTTGACACTCTTGAGGATTGCATCTTTAAGACATGTGCATGTTCCCTGTAGGCATCTGGAGGACAGTGTTTAGAAGCCTGTTTTTGCACTTGGGTAAAAGTCCAACTGGACTTGGGGAAGAGAAGGTGAAATGACACTTGGGTGAGATGGACTGATGAACTCAATGGCTACTGCTGATGGAGGTGTGAAAGTATCACTCTCCTGTCTCCACTTTGCAAACTGAGAAAACCTCTGTTGTTTTCAGTCAAAAATTATGGAATTCTGAGGAGATTGTAGCACTTACTGTCTTCTTTGCAAGGTTTAGAATAACATCCTGTGCTTGCTTTATTTGGGTAATTTCTTTCTTTCTTTTCTTTTTTTTAAATGTTAAGCTCTTAAGTATATTTTATTCTTGACACCTCACTAATTAACAAAAATGAAATAAGATGCAGGAAGTATTTATTCAAAATACAACATAGGTCAAGCAATGCTCTTGTTCAGGTAATAAGAATCTTAACTTCCATCTTAAAATTTGATAGTCTAGCAAGATACTCATGTCAAACTATAAAATGTCAAGATTTCTTCTGTATGCATTTAGTCTACAGATGATCAATTTTCACTAATGACATCTAACAATTCAAAACAGTTATCTTAATTTACAAGTTAACTGTTTTCTCAAGCATTCCTAAAATGCCTTTCCATACAAATACCAGTTCTAGAGAAAGGTAGTTAAATTAGATAGGGAATATCACAATCACCTCAAATACTGCCTTAGAGTAGTTACCCAGGATGTTAAAATGATATAATTCAAAATCTATTTTGAACTTATTCAACTTACAAAATTTGACACTACTAAAGATTTATACATTTTTAACATATATATGATTTTATAATTTCGCACCCTTGAGGTAAGAGAAAAAAATTATTGAGCAATGAACAGAAATGTCAAGGATAAAGCTTAAAGTCCTTCTGCAAAAACACAAATTTTTAAAGTTCATTAAGTTCTAGATCTTTTTAGGAAAGAATATGGGTATGTTTGGTTTTCTTTTTTCTCTCAAAAAACTACTAAAACTGTGCCATACAAACTATTAAGCAGAAATTTAAAAAACTGTGTCAAGGCCTCTTCTCTTGTGTTTTAAGGGAAAGCTGGTTCAGCATATTAAAACAAAGACAATAGAAATAATATACATAATTTTATTACAGATTTAAAAAAACAATAAAAACGAAATGCAATATTCTAAAACACCCAAAACATACTATTCGTACTAGTTCCTGCAAATTTGCTGTGCTACCATACACATGAAAGAAACCATTAAATATTTAGGAGCATTCAACATTAAAAGCTTTAAAATATAACTGTAATAGCCCTTCAAAAAGATACAACCTGAATTTTTTTAAAAAAATATTTTTTTCTACAAAGAATTTTATCAACTATATAAAAATCTGTACAGTTTTTATACTGAAGCTAATGTTGAGCTGCATTTGAATTCACATTCTTGGCAAAACAATTGCCTGAGCACACATATACTCCACATGTCATTACAGCACAGCCACTTATTCTTTATCTTCATCTTCTTCCTCCTCTTCTTCTTCCTCTTCCTTCTCCTCCTCTTCTGGTTCATTCCTCTTCTTTGAGCCTGTTGGCTACCAGAACCTTTGTTTCCTGTTTCACTTTTGCCCTTGGCATGGTACGTAGCAATATGCTTTTCACATTTCTCCTTTAGCTTAGCTGCTTCTTGTTCATATGGCTGTTTATCTTTGGCTGAATGCTCAGACTACATTTCACCCAATTTATTTTTGCATATCTCCAAAGGACAGGCCGGGGTGTTCAATTTTGATCTTTGAGTTATGTTCAGAGCAAAACAGGAAGAAGGCAGATGGCCTTCTAGGACCGTTAGGATCTTTCTTCTTTCCTCTCTTATCACCTCCTTTGTGAAGAACATTTTTCATCTCTCTGTCATAGTGAGCTTTATCACCCTCTGCCATATCTTCAAACTTGGACTTTTCCGTGGCAGATATAGTCTTCCAGCTTTCCGAGCACTTGTTGGAGAACTCTGCAAATTTGATCAAGGAGTCGAGGTGCTTCTTCTTGTGCTCCTCGCAGCAGGTCTGCACAAAGAAGCCGTATGAGGACATCTTGCCAAACAGCTTGTTGGCATCTCCCTTATCCATGTCAGTGCGGCCTGATGTGAGCTTATCTTCCGAGTCCTGCAGAGTGGCCGTGTCTGACTGAGACACTTCCTCTGTACGGTTCTGGTGTGAACTAACTTTTCTTTTTTTTTTTCCTATTCTTTCTTTCTTGGTACCATGGATTGAACTCAACTTCTGGTACCAAATGCCAGGCAGGTATTTTTGCCTATGAGCTAAATCCCCAGTCCTCTTTTGTCTTTTTGAAACAAGGTTTCACTATGCAGTTCAAGCTGGTCTTGAACTCACTTTGTAGCACAGGCTGGCCTGTAACTCACAGCAATTCTCCTGCCTCAGCCGCCCAAGTGCTAGGTATGTGCCACCATGCCCAGCTCCTTGGATAATTTCATAATCTGTATTTTATAGATGATGAAATTGAAACTTACGTAAATGAGATGATTTGCCCAGGGTCAGCAAGGAAGCATATGTGTGAAAATAGAATGCAAATCTTCTGACTCTTTGTCAAGTGGCTTCTCTATTGTACACATAGTTCTTGCCACAGATTCTTTCTTAATATTTGTTTTTCTTATTTATTTACCTTTGGTTTGTTCAAGACAGGATCTTTCTATGTAGTTCACGCTGGCCTAAAGCTCATGGTGATCCTCCTGCCTCAGCCTCCCAAGTGCTGGAATTACAGATGTGTACCACCAATCCTGGCCTAGTTTTTTCTTATTTGTAAAGCACTTTGAGATGACTTTTCTGAAAGTAAGTTCTGAAGTGGAAGCAAACTAGGAAAAAATGTCACAGTCAACAGTCACAATCATTTCAATATAAAAGGAAATAGCAGGAATAATTTGGAAATAGATCTTGTAGTTACAGTGGATTAGGAGGTATAGAAATCTTTTGAATTGTTTCCTATTCAATTATTTTAAGAGCTTGTAATGAGGTGTTCACTTAGCACGGTCATCAGTGACTCTTTAATGGTAATTAGCAGCCAGCTAATCAGAATTTCCCTAAACTTAGAAAATTCAGTAACTAATGAAAAAAACTATATATGATTTATTCTCTAAAGAATGTGCTGGACCTGAGGTTTACAGCTTTGGATTTAGAAAATCTAGAGGTTAAAGAGTCTAGAAAAATTATAGTACTATTAAAGAGGAGATTGAAGAGGATATCAGAAAATTTAAAGATATCCTTTTCACTTGGGTAGGAAGAGGCAACATAGTGAAAATGGCCATACTCCCAAAGTTGCTATACAGATTTAACGCAATCCCAATCAAAATACCATTAGAATACCTCACAGAACTAGAGAAATCACTCCTAAAATTCATTTGGAACCCCAAGAGACCTATAATAGCAAAAACAATTCTTTGCAACAAAAGCAAGGCAGGAGGCATGACAATCCCTGACTTTCAATTATACTACTGAGCTACAGTGATAAAAACAGTATGGTACTGGCAATAAAACAAAAACAAAAACAGAAACAGACCCAAGGATCAATTGAATAGATTATAAGATGCAGAAACAATGCCAAACACAATAAGCCAAACATTTATCTTTGACACAGGGGCCAAACAGCCTCACCAGAAGAAAGATAGACTCTTTAATAAATGATGCTGGAAAAACTGGCTCTCTACATGCCAAATACTAAAACTAGACCCATGCTTCTCCTCATGTACTAAACTGAAATCAAAATGGACCAAAGATCTAAATAATTAAAACAGAAACATTAAGTCTGCTGGAAGAGAAAATAGGCAGAACTCTTGAAGACACTGGTGCAGGCAAAGATTTCATGAACAAAACCCTGACTGCATGAAAAATAATACAAAGAATCAACAAATGGGATCTCATTCTATTAAAAAGCTTTGTACAGCAAAGAAATCACCAACAGGGTTCAAAGACAACCCACAGAGTGGGAAAAAGTTTTAGCTAGTTGTCCCTCAGACTAAGGAATAATACCTAGAACATATAAAAAATTGAAAAAAATCTGATCCCCCAATTTAAAGATCCAATCCAAAAATGGGCATCTGAGATGAATATATACTTCTCAGAGAAAGAAATGCAAACAGAAAATAAATATATGAAAAAAATGTTCAGCATCACTGGTCATTCAAGAGATGCAAATTAAAACAACACTGAGATTCCACCTCACTCCAGAACAAATGGCTATTGTCAAGGGCCAGGGTTATAACTCAGTGGCACAGTGCCTGAGTGGCAAGCACAAAGTCCTAAGTTTGATTCCTGGTACCGAAAAAAAAAAAAAAAAAAATATATATATATATATATATATATATATATATATGTTAGTAGGAGAGTAACAATTAATGAATAAATTGTGTATTAGTACATTATAGTAGTCAGAGTACAAGATATAGGCATGAAATATTGTCCAAAAAAGTATTAGCACAAAAAACCAACCAGTAACAAATATTGGCAGGGCTATGGGAAAAATGGAACCCTTCCCTACTGTTATTGGGAGTGTAAACTGATGCAGCCACTGTGGAAATCAGTGTGAAGATTACTCAGAAAACTAAGATTAGAGGTCCCATTTAATTCAGCTATTCCTCTTCTGGATATCTTCCTGGAAGAATTAAAAATACCATACTACAGCAATATGTGCGCATCTATGTTTATAGCAGCACAGTTTGTAACAGCTAAATCTTGGAGAAAGCCCAAATGACCATCAACTGAGGAATGGATAGAAAGAATGTGGATTTGTTAAAATATAATGGAATACTATTCATTCATAAGGAAGGATAAATGAGACATTTCTAGGTAAATGGATACAGCTTGAGACCATACTCTTCAGTGAAATAAATTGGGCACACATTTTCAAACATTGCATTGGGCCCCTGGTGTGAGAAACTGAAAGAGCAAATAAGGACCAAAATGTATAACAGATACTGTGAAACAGGAAAAATTGTTCAAAAGAAAAGAGGAACCTGGGAGAGGGAACGGGCAAAGGAAGGAAGGCAAAAGAATATTTAAAAAAGAAAGATAAAAGTAGAAATAAAGCTTTATAGATAAGGAGGGAAAGAGGGATTGAAGAGGGATTGAAGGAGGGGATTAGGGAAAAAAGAGGAATCAAGGTATATCACATACAGGTACAAATTCCCTGTGATGAATGTGATTATTATGAATACCTAATTGTACCAATAAACTTAATAAAAATAAGAGTCCAGAGATAATGACTTTTAGCTTCAAGTGTATTTCAGTCATTAATTCAAACTCTGAACCCTCAAGAGAGAAATTTATTTCTTGGAAGCAAACTGACCTGCAGAAATTTGTTCCATTACACAGACTTTCTAGAAGCAAGAGAATGGCAGCATTGCGACCTGTCCGTAGCAGTTGGATTGGGTAGCATTTTTATGGTCGTCTTCAGGAATTTGGATGTGGCCTCTGTAGAATTTAGGGTTTCTTTCTTTCTTTTTTGGTACCAGGGATCAAACTCACGATCTTGCGCTTGCAGGGCAGGCTCTTATGCCACTGAGCTAAATCCCCAGCCCTTAGAATTTGGGGTTTATGCCTAAGGCACAGATGGATCCCTACAGATGAAGTAGTGATTTTGACTTTGGTCTTAAGGAAACTTTGAACACCTGATGCTAAAAGTTTTTGTTTTCCAAAACTTGGGAGGGGCAGCGAAGAGGAGGAAGGAGGGGGGGAAGAATTCAACTGTGTTATCTACATGTACCAACTCCTCCCATGAAAAATGTAAGCATTGTGTACTGCAAACATGCAGTAAAAAAACTCAGTATTGATTATTGAAAAGGTAGTATAAAAATGGCAAACGGTTTTTAAAAAAATTCTTCCTTGACTATGAATCCTGTAAACTGTTGTGTGTCACACCAGCACCCTTTTAGGTAATCTTTAGGTAATATTTATTCAGATCCAGACTTTGGGCTAAGCCAATTCCTTGGTCAACTAATTTTTTGGCTTTTTCTTAGTACTTTGAAAGTACTAAGAGTCTTTGAAAGTATTCAGTTTCCAGATGTTTTTGTCATCAAAATAAAAGATACTTGGGGATGTTCTAACTTGATCCTGCTTACCTGCTACATGTAGCTCTTTTGTTTTCCTTCTAATTCATAGTTATAAGAGTTCTAAGAGGTAATAAATAGTTATAAAAATAACTTTGACTTATTTTCCCTTCAAAAGACTGGAACTGGGAGAAACAAAAAGAACAACCCAAAGAGTATCAACGGATCCTACAGTGCTTCTTAGATAGAAAAGACTGTTGCTATTCTATCCATCAAATGGGTAAGATCATAAATAAATAGTTAAAAAGCAATACCTGTAGCTGATCATTTTTCCCCATGTCTTATAGATGATTTCATTAAGTTGTGCATTTGTTTATTTATGTAAAATATTAGGAGTTTGTGGATCACTGGAAGATGTTTTGCTAACATGTTAATTTTCTCCATTTAATACAGCACAAATGGGTGTAGGAGAAGGGAAATCAATTGGCGAATGGTTTGGACCAAATACAGTTGCACAGGTGTTAAAGTAAGTAAAGAATCTGGCATCTACCTATTTTGCTATCTCCCATGCTTCTGTTCCCAGCCAATTAAACTTCCCATAAACCTAAATATACTTGCCATCCCACTAGGACATCTACTACTACTGCTGAGCTTTCAAAACATCTGTACCAATTGGCTCAGGCAATTCTTTGAAGTGTGTAAGTGTGGATGTGTCTTGGTGTCAAAGTTGTATTCATTGGTATCAGTATGTGGCTATACCTCATGTTTAGCATCTTACTTTACAGATTGATGTCCTTCAAAGCTAAAATTTCATTGGAAGCAGCAGAGGCTTAGCCTGTTTAAGTAACAAATGGATTACCTCCCTGTATAATGTAAATAAATTCATTCTATGTCTACTGGATGTCTTTCTGTATTAAGTGCTGTATATACAAAAATAAACTAGACACAATCCTCACCTCAAGGAACTCACTATCTAGTGGAGGAGACAAACCCCTAGGCAGTTTTGAAATCAGTTTGTCATTTCTTGGCAGATTCAAAGTTCCCCGGCATGGTACTTGGAATTGTCCTGTTAAATTCCAGAATTCACCTCCTAATGTAATAGGTGAGATAGAGAGGTTAAGATCAACATTTTACAAGTGAACAGTTGCATAAGTGGCATTGGCATCTACACCTGCAGGCCACATTACCTGTTGTCACTGTTTCCTGACAACCTGCCAACAAATGAAAATGCTTTAAGGGCAGAGATTGTATTTGTCTTGTTTATTCTGTCACATGACACTGCCTGGCACATAAATGCCTAATAAATGTTTGATGGATGAAAGAAAATGCCAGCCAGAAAATGCCAGTTCCCTGGGGCCACATGTAGGAAACAAACGGTTGAAAACATTAGGCTTCTTTGGTGTAGTGTCCTCCAGTTCATGGGAATTATGGTGGGACACGTCCCATGTAAAGTACAAAAGGGTCCCTGATTTAATTGTTAGCCAGTCTACAGTGAACTATAAGGCTTTGAATGTGTGTATATAAAGGGGAGCTTTCTGGATTCCCTAGGGACAGAAGAGACAGAGAAAACTCAAGTGTCGACTTTATTCCTTATTGACCATATAGCCTCCCTGAGAACATTTTCTTGCATTAGTGTACCTTTTAGGTATCATTGAGTATGCTGAGTGAGAAGCTGCCTTATTTCAGGAAGTGCTATAGGAACACAGGGCATAAAGTGTAAATGTTTATAATGACTGTGTTGAGCCCTGTTGTAGTCAGGGGTTTGCAAGGAAAACAATTACATATAGAACATATAATTTATAGTATTATTATATTATGATCACCCAAGCAGTTCAAAAACAATAAGTGCAGGAAATCTGTCTACACACTAAAGACCTAGGAATAAAGCTTAGGGCCTGGCTCCTATGGCAGTATTCTGATGAGTTCAGCTGAAGATTTAGAGCCCATAACAATGATTCATGCAAGTCAGTTTCATGGATCTGCATTAAAGAAGGCTCAAATATCAGGGGTGGAAACCAGAAAATCTGTGCTAGTGGAATGATAGATCTATGCTAGTAGGTTGAAGGTTCTACTCTAGGGCCAAGAAGTGATGCTAAAATAAGGACCAAGGCTCCCCTGAAAAGTACCACAGCCATCCAGTGACATTGAGGTCCCAAGCTCCTCCAGCGATGAGGACAACCGAATTCATATCAGGAAGCCAGCATGACAAGCTTCTCTTGGAGGTTAAATAGCACATTTGTCCCTCCAGAGCCAGGAAGCGATGCTCAAAGTAAGGTACAGAGCTTCCCCAAAGTGAACCACAGCCATTCTCAGCAACAAGATCCTGAGGTCCTCTGATGATAGTAGTTGAGTTCCTGTCAGGGGAGCCAGCATGGCAAGCTCCTCCAGGAAAGCCAATGGTTCCAAACAACGAGAACACTTAAGAGAGAATCCATAACACTACACTTCCTCTCCAGGTCACTTTTTTATGCTGGCAACAGTTCTCAGGTGGACCTTCTACACTTAGCCTCACAGTGATTCAGTTCAGCTCAGGTGTTTAAATTGACCACCAGTTTTTAATCCACCACAAGCCTAAAATGTGACTCAAAACTTTTAGTTTTTAAGTAATATCCTTCACAATTTCCTTCTTTTCATTAAAGGTTAAGGTTTCCAACAATGACCAAATGAAATCACATTCTTTTAGGACTTTAAGTGGGCTCTGATTCATCATGATTGTTACCATCAACAGTTGGGCAGATGTTCCTTGACTTAGGATGGGTTATTCCCTGATAACCCACTGTGAGTGGAAAATATCATAAGTCAGTGATGCATCAAATATACCTAACCTACTGAGCACCTCAGCTTAGCAAAACAGTACACCACAGAGTACCAGTTGTTTCTCCCTGTGATTATTTAACTAAGTGTTGTGGCTTGCTGCTTGCTGCTCAATGTCTTGATGGAGGATCAGATCACAAATTGCTAGTCAGGAGAAAGATCCAAATTCAATATTGAAAGTACAGTTTCTATTGAGCTTGAATTGCTGTCACACCATGGTTAAGCCAAATCATTACAAGAGGAAGACTGTGTATTATTAGTATTATCTTATCATTATTATTGTGGGGAAAGAGTACATTTAAATGAGTGAAATGAAAGAATAATCATAATTAACCTCTTTTGGATGCTGCTTTTGTAGAGAGAATTTTTTTTTAGTTTTTTACTCTGTTTATTGAGTTGGGGATTTATTCATGTGTCCCAGAAGTAGCCAGATGAAACATGTCTTCTTTCAAACCAGCAAAGAAGAGAAGAGAGATATAGGTAAAATATCTTATTTAGACCTCAGATAACGTCTCCTTTAAAAGAGTTTTCTTTCCAATCTCCCTCAAAATCATGCAATTCAGTATGCAGTCTCTCTCCAGCTTCTCACTAATAACGTTCCACACCCACCTGAGTCATCTGTGACATAAGTCTCCTTGAATGGAATTTTTGGTGCAACAGCTGGGAATTGGAATGAGAGCTCTCTCTCTCTCTCTCTCTCTCTCTCTCTCTCTCTCTCTCTCTCTCTCTCTCTCTCTCTCTCTCTCTCTCTCTCTCTCTCTCTCTCTCTCTCTCTCTCTCTCTTGCTCACTCTCACTTTCCCCCTCCTTCCCTCTCTCCCTCCTTTCCATCTCTATTATTTTCCATATTATCCACACTTATTGAGAGAATGGATAATATGGATATTTTCCATATTACTCATTCTCATTGAGAGAATGGGTAATATGGATATTTTGGCAGTGCTGAGGGTTGAACCCATGCTCAACAACTAAGCTATATCCTCAGCTCCAAATATATGTATTAGTGATGGTTTTCTTTTCAGAATGTCTTTTATTTAAGGAGACAAAATTTCTTCAAAGTTTAGAAGCAGATACATGAAGAACTTTTCTGTTTTGCCCAGTAGGAATACAGTTATTTTGTGAGGGAGATTTTTCCATGTTATGAAGTAGAATCTTCTTTTTGAAGTTCAGATATAGTAACTTTGTGGTATTCTCAAGGTCCCTGGATATGGAACATCCCAGAGCTATGAAAAAGTGGACAAAGAGACAGAGCTAAATATCTCCTTCTCTGTGGCTCAGCATTTCATGACATTAGGAACATGGAATACACTGCTGATATTTTAATCTTCTCCTATTGTGACTTCACTATATATTGCTTTGCAGAAAACTTGCTTTATTTGATGAATGGAATTCCTTGGCTGTTTATGTTTCAATGGATAACACAGTGGTCATTGAAGATATCAGTGAGTTACCAGCTTGCTTATCTTACTGGTTGGTGGGTAAATGAGTTCTTTCCTCACCACTTAGATGTCTGGTGCTCAGAAGAGTCTCTCTGGCCTGCCTCATCGGGGTCGGGGAGTCTAGGGGAGCATGGGGCTTTGGGTCTCTTCCCTTTCAGCTTCTCAAAGGGAGAAAGCCATTAGAGGATCTTTACTGCCCCTCACAGATGTACCACTCCCTTTCCTTGAAGGTTCCCCAAAATATGTAGAACCTGTGAAACCACCAGGAGATGGCTTATAGGGGCCCACCCTTATCGGGTCCTGTGTCCTCTGCGCTGGGTGTGAAAGAAAATGAAAGACATAGTCCTTGCCTCAAAAATCTTTGCAGACTAATTGAGAAATGAGATTCTCTCAATGAATTCAGGTCTTCTTTCAAACCAGCTGGGCTCAGTGGCCAGCATACAAAGCATGATAGCCTGGGTTTCTTGTGGGAAGTGGGCCTGCCTGAACCCTTGTGGCAGCAAGGAAAGCCTTTTTTAGTTCTAACTTTAGAATATTTCCTATGGCTATTTATCTCCTTCTTACTCAGATCTCTTGTCTTCTGTTTCTAGAAAAAATGTGCCGAGTCCTTCCCTTTAGTGCTGATACAGCTGACAAAAGCTCCCCTGATTCTTTTATCACTTCAAACCAGAGTAAAGATACCTCTGCCTTCTGCCCAGCCTGGAAACCCCTGCTGCTCATTGTGCCCCTTCGCCTGGGCATAAACCAAATCAATCCTGTGTATGTTGATGCATTCAAAGTAAGTTGCTCCTTGGCCCAAGCCCATTGCTGCCTGCCCATTACACTGCCATGTCAACACATCGATCCGTGAGCAGCAGTCCACAAGTGAGTTGAGAATCTTGCATTCTCTTTCCCTCCAGGAGTGTTTTAAGATGCCACAGTCTTTAGGGGCATTAGGAGGAAAACCAAATAACGCCTATTATTTCATAGGATTCTTAGGTAAGAAAGGATGAATTGCAAGTAAGTGATCACGGGCTAGGGGAGGGTATGGAAAGAAGGTATGCATGGGAGTTTGGGCAGTTCTGGTGAGTGGACCCCTTATTTAGCCCAGGGATACTGTGATGTCAACTCCTCCCTTCAACCTGATCTATGAAGAGTAATGCTTCTGTGGCCTGCTGAAAAGCAGATCTCCTTTTGATGCCTTCACTTCCTTGCCTCTTAATAAGATGGTGTCAGTATTTTTTTTTACTGTATGGCCCCAAGCTCATAGGATTGTTCCAGAACATTCTTCTCCTACCTGGGATGCCATCGGCAGCAGGGTTTCAAACTATTGGCTTTGCTGCTCTCTCTCTTTGGGATTCAGGCAATCAGCCTAGTATTTTTCTCTGCCTTCCCAGACCCTCAGAAATGGGACTGCTGACTTATTGTTCAGGCCCATAATGGGGTCAGAATTAGCGGAGTCAAGGACAAAAGTGTGTCTTTCCAAATAGTGGCAGCTAAGACTTAAAACCACTAACCTTCTAATGTGAACCCTAATGAGCAGCCTGATATTCCCTGAATAGATCAGTGCCTCTGGAAACCTAGTCATCTTGTTCACTAGTTGTGACAAGACACTAAAGTTCCTTAGCACACAAGGTGATCCAAAGTCAGCTAGTTCAGTGCTTCTGGAACTTCACTATGTGCACATCACCTTGAGAGCCTACCAGAATGCAGACTTGGTGTTCTTCGATGGCGCCTGAGATTTACTTTTATAAATAGGTGGTGCTGATGCTTCTGGTCCATAGACCACACTTAAAAAGTACCACTGGCCCAGACATCTATTTGGTGCTAAAGAGCATGAGTTTGGCAGTGATATAGGCAGGGAGATATGGCACAAGGCATGCCTTGCAGAAATAGAGTAGCCAGAGACTGTGCCTCAAGGAAGTTATGAGCTTACATTGTTGAATAGGCAGGGAAATCTAGAGCAGTTATAAAGGAATGGTATCAGGAGGTGTACACAGGACAGGGTAGAGATGGCATTGGTCATCCTTCCCAACTCATTCCTTTGGAGATTTGAGCAGGTGAGGTGGGATGGCAGCAGATATACCTGGCTTTATACACTTTTCCTCCAGTTAATAGCTGTGTGACTGTAGAAAAAGGAGATTACTTTTTTGATTTCAGGTTACTCATATATAAAATAGGATATCAATTAGGTAATCTCACAGCAAGGTATTCAGCAAAGAGCCAGGCACATATGAGGTATAATGGGGAAATGCAGTGAATATTTACATATGTTACAGTAAAAGACACATTGCCATTAATCTTCCTCAAAGTACTCCCCCTCACTTCAAACATGCTTATCCCATCATTCTTGCCACTTTTTGAGGCAGTTGTGGAAGTTCTCTTTCATGACAATCTTTAGTTACTGTGTGGCTACTTCGGTGTCCTGAATTTAAAAAATTGATTTTCACGATCATTTTGACTTTGGGGAAGTTACAAGGTTCCAGATCCAGTGAATAAGGTGGATGAGGACACACTGTAATGTTTTTATGAGCCTGCCTTTCTGTTGGATGGCATATGGTGGTAACATTCACTGTATTTTTTATTGCACCTTGTGAATACACTCATGCAAGAAGACTTTCAGAACTGCTTCAGAAAGTGGCAATAATGATGGAAAAATGTGTTCAAAGTGATGGGGAGTATTTCTAAAATACTAAAAATTCGCTGTATTTTCCTGTAATACACACTTAGCAAAATGTGTCTGCTTCTATACCTCTGTCCTTGGATAGCTGTTTCTTCCTGTCTTCAGGGTGGAGGTTGCTCTGAAGCTGCCTCTGCTCTCTCTAATGCTGCCATCTATTGTTTGAGTTTAGGAACTACAGCATAATAGAAAATCTGGAGCCCTTGGTGGCTTTTATTTTTCTAAGTATATTACAAAATCCTATTTGGAGTCATATACAATCATATGACTTGTTTCTGAGATTTGGAGTTCATGTCAAAGAAAATGTTGCAAAAATTAACAAACTTTCCTCCATATCACTGGGTTCCGTATCCATGGATTTGACCACTCATAGATTGAAAATATTTCGGAAATAATCGAGTCTGTACTGAACGTTATAGACTTTTACTCTTGTCATTATTACCATAACACACCTATAACATGGAGGTTGTTGAGCTGGGAATACAGCTCAACTATAAGCACCTGCCTGGCAAGTGCAAGGTTCTGAGATTGATTCCCAGTACCAAAAACAAAAAACCAGATGGAGGTTGTCATTTTCATTTCACACATACTGAAATAGTGATTAAGAGAGGTTATTTCATGATTGTCATTCAGCTAGGAAGTACTCAAAGCCACGATTCAATCCCAGTTTAGTCATCTCTGCCTACCATACTCCATTGCTTCGCTGAGGCCCTCCTTTTGGGTAGAAAGCTGGGAGAAATTCTAGAAATGGTGTGCTGTCACTGAGCTGAGACTATCATTGCCAGATATATCTAGTAAGAGAGGAGGAACTAGCTGTTCCCTCCACTTGGGAATGGGCTGCCACCTGGAGATCTGTAGCATTAACCTTGGCTAGGCACAGAGTATACCAGCTAGCCTCTTTACCTGGGCCTAAGTAGAGACTTTTGTTTAATCCCTACATCATTTCTAGGACTTTTTATGTCTTCTTCTATGTCTCTTATAAGCACTCTTGGAAAAAGGCAGGCTGCAAAGTTACACACACACCCATAAGAAAAGGTGCTGACCAGAGTCAGAGAAGCTGTTATTTTATCACAGCATCTTAACTCAAAATGGTGAGCAGACAGCTTGATTCTAAACCTGTTCTGGCTTTCTATTTCCTTTACCTCTTACCTTAAGGTCTTCCATAGGCTTCCTTCTAAATATTTTGGTTGTTATTCCACAGCAGGATCTGAAACTATTTCGATATTACTGCTTACCCACCTTCTCTAGGGAGAATGTATATGCACTTTGACTTCCTTAAAGTAAGTCATAAGGGGACATTGATTTCCACATACTCTTAACTGTTTATTTGTAGAACAGTATTTTTGATCTGAAGCAAGATGTTTTTGTGATCACCATGTATTGGCATTGTGTTCTGTGCATTTCACAGAGGTAAAGTCTTCATGGATCCCTATAAGTTTACTAGAACAGGCCCAATGACCCTAAGTCAAAAATGAAGAAAATTAGGGCAGAGTGAATTAAGTAGTTTGTCCTTGGTTTATGATATAAAGAAAATAAACTTTTCACTAGACAGTGGAAGTGCCTTCTTGGTTAACATAGGCACACAGATATGCTTTCCCAGATGCCATTCCAGGGTGGGTCTTTGAGGAATCCATCTTAGCCCCATTCTCTTGCTGTAGGCAGATGTCTCTTTGATCATCTGACACAGTCAAGGGCATAGAGACCCAGATAGCCCTCAGACCTGGGCAGTGAGATCAGGTGCACCCTTAGATATTTTGCCTGATTAACGTGTGGTTGATGAACATTAGAGGAGCTGTCAGCTCTCTGAATGTTAGGTCAAAATATACATTTTATTATCCCAGCACCTCCCAGCTCATCTGGGGGGTATGATTTTCAGCTGAATGAAGGGTTGATTTTTTTCTGATATATAAAGACCAGTCATCTATCAGGCCAGTGAGTTTTCCCAGTGATTTATACTGATGTCAGTGTCACAAGGGCAGTAGTTTCTAGAGAAATGTTAACTTACTAACAGTAACAGTATATTAAGCCCAGGAGTCAGCTCACTGGAATCTTATCCACAGCAGAGCTGATATGCATTTTTGGCCTGGGTAGCATTTATTTTGGAGGCCAAGACCTTTTCCCTTACCAGAGGTGCTTTCTAAGCACAAGTTTGAAAACCAGTGGCCTAGAGCAAGATGCTTTCCAACATAAAAGAGCCAGAAAGCTCCCTAATAGTACCTAGGCTCATAGGTGCCTATAGTGTTGTGACTATATTGTTGCCTTGTTACTGCTGCTGCTCACAGAGCTTGCCATGTCATCTGTGTTCTCCCATTCTCATCTTTTCCCAAATCTGTCGCTTTCCATTTCTGGACTTGAACTTTGAGGAGATATAAACACTGGGGCAAATCTTCTGATTGAAGGACTAGATTTGGGTACAAATGGCTTTCTTCAAGCATGTTCACCCTGGCTCCAGGCTTTCTGTCATTTCATTGTCATTGTCATCAAGGAAGGGATTAGGGAACCAGGATGCCTCCTCCCAAGGATAGGGGTGGGCCTGGGGCCAATAGTTCTTCAATGGTTTAGCGTATCTCATTCAAAACAGGTGATGAGCTCATCTTCTTGGACCCTCACACAACCCAGACTTTTGTTGACACTGAAGAAAATGGAACAGTCAATGACCAGACTTTTCATTGCCTGCAGTCTCCACAGCAGATGAACATATTGAACTTAGATCCTTCTGTAGCATTGGTGAGTATCTGAAAGTTGGGTGGGCCAGGATATATAAGGCCATCCAGTTATGCTGGTTCTGTGGGTTGTTAGGTAGTGTGGCAAGAGTATATCTGCTCACCATCCCCATGAGGATCAATTTAATATATTGGGAAATGAATGGATCCTGAAGCCAAACTATTTGAGTTAGAACCCAGGCTCTGTAACTTACTATAGCTATTGCTTTAGAGAAAGTCATTTAACCTTTCTGAGCTTCAGTCTTCTCTAAGTATTAAGAAAACAGTACTTCCTTTTTCATGGGGTTGTGTGAGGTGCTGTGTTGTAAGACACTTAGCACAGGGCCTGATGTGTTAAGAATCATATAAATGTTATTATTTTATCACCTTTCCCCTTTTTCCTTCTTGCCCTTAAATTGTTTCTGTATGAGCACAAGGAATATATGGCGTATGGCTAGAGATGAGAAAGGGGCTAAACCCCCCCCCAGAACAGTGAATCTTTTTTGATGCATACAATACAGGAAGTTGCAGGTTTTCTCCAGAAGTATGACTCCTATAAGCACACGTTAAAGGGGCATCTTCCTGTGAAGTAGCCAGTGATTCTGAGATATGCCTGCATCCTGACTTCCTGTTTAATACAACTGTCAGAGCTCCAGGGACCAAGACTATAGTCCTCCTCTTGTTTTAGGCCATTCTTAAACTACTGTGGAATGACCTTAGGATGGAACAGAAGACTGCTAGTTCTCTCTTTTCTCACAGATAATTTCTTGAAGGACAAAGCCACCTTATTAAGTATTGCCTCTAGCTAAAAGTAATATTTGACTTTTGTTTGCTGGTTTGATAGAATATTTTTATAGTTGTGTCTTTTCACACACCAAATTTGATGGAATTAACCCCATGCTTTGGAGACTAATCTTCCAGTTAAAGTAACTCATAGCATAAGGGAGAAGAACAGGGGAAGTGAACAGAGAACAAGAATTGCAGAGACAGAAAGAGACAGAAACACCAATGTCTGTGAACAAATGATGCAATGAGCTAGGAGAAAGAAGCCAAGCCATTCTTCCTCTATAGTTAGGAAGAAACATCCAGAGACAGTGGGCCACCTCCTAATTTGGGGCCAACAGCTCCACTTTGCAATACACAGGGTAATTCTAAGTTGTATTCTTTTGTTTCCCCCAAGGGATTTTTCTGCAAAGAGGAAAAGGACTTTGATAACTGGTGTAGCCTTGTTCAGAAGGTAATGATGTACTTTTTTTCAGTCTTACAAATGAAAGCTACTCAGATTCATTTTTAAGATTGTTTTCAAAGTAACATAAACCTAGTCTGATATGATTGTATTGCAATAAAGAAAAAGGCAGCAAAGAATATGTCATATGTTAGGAACTGTGCACAACTCTGGGGAAGCAAAGCAAAGCTTTTGTTTCAAACATGCTTAATATGTCAGGTGCGTAATGGTCTTAGTAGTGGAACAATGTTTCATTTCATCATACTTGTGAATCATATGGAATATTTAGTTAATATCCTATTTTAACCCCAAAATGCCAATTTTACATTTCTTAGCCTTAAGTCTGTCATTCCTTCCTATGTTCATGATACTTAGATGGTTAAAGAAACTAAAAACATTTTTCTATTTGCCTAGTGGTCTATTAACAGCTTAAATATTCCATCATGTTTTAGACAGCTTGTCCTTGTACTAACTTTCATATTTATAAAATATAGGCATAACAATATAGACGTGCCACCACTTGTAGGAATTACAACTTGTAATAATTTGCATAAAATTCTTCTTTCATTTTGGTATCTTGTGTAAAAGGAAATTATTTCACTGGGTTATCAGTATTTGTGTATGACTCCTTCCTTGTCAGCTCTAACACATGCCAGTAGATGGAAAATGTTTCAGAATGCTTATTGAAAGACCAAAGGGAGATCATAAGTGGTAGTTAAATAGTCAGGTTGCATGTCAAGCAACACAAAGTTCTATCTGTGAAACAGAAGGATTGGAGAGATGAGAGTCCAGGACCTTTGTAAGAATAAGAAAAGGTTTTTCTTCACAAGTGAACAAATAATTAACACCAGTGTTCCTAACTGAATCTGAGACCCCAGGTAATAATTTACTGAGATTAGAATAGAGAATTATTTTTAAAGGAAATACTTAGATTTCACAGTGTACCAATACTGTATAGCTATCACATTTAAAGATAGAATGAGAATATTGTGAAAAGATTATTCCATTTAAATTAGCTCACATGACTTAAATGTTGGTCTATAACTAAAACGATACTAATATGTACTAGTATTCTCCATTTAATTTGATTAAATAACTGTTTTTGAAATAAATACTTCAGGAACATCTCACACCTAAATTGAGCTGGCCTATACAACTGGCACAGTACTCAAGCTGCATGGCAGAGTGTGGGCAATTGGGCTCGATCAGCTACTCCTTCTAATGGCCTTCCTGCCTGGCCAACAGGATCCAGAATTGAATACAGCTGATATCTTCACATAGCTCAAGTAGAGGATACATTTATCTACTAAGCCCTTTTTTCTTTTTTTATTTTTTTTTAATTTTTTTTTTTTTTTGTCTTTTTCCTTTTTATCGGTACCGGGGATCGAACTCATGACTGCCTGCTTGCAAGGCAGGCGCTTATGCCACTGAGCTAAATCCCCAGCCCCCTAAGCCCTTTTTTCTTACCTGTCAGTCCCCTGGTTACTCTTTTAGGGTTTTTGTGATAGATCACCTATTGAACATAAATACAGTCACTCTGTAGGATTTACAACTGTTTCTGTGTCTCCCCAGGAAATTCTGAAGGAGAATTTAAGGATGTTTGAATTAGTTCAGAAACATCCACCACACTGGCCTCCCTTTGTACCTCCAACAAAACCAGAGGTGACAACCACTGGGGCAGGTAAGGTGTTGTTCAGGAGTTGTCAGCTGGAAGATCCACATGTAGCAATTGTTATATGAGACAGATACAATCCTGGCTCATACTTTCTATGGAAAATAAAATTCCTACTCAGATAAGTTGTTCAACAAATGATTTTGCTAATTATGTTAATCTTCTGATGAGCTGATATTTCCCAGTTTTAAAGAATGATGAACATGGGCTTAGTACAAAGGTTCTATGAAATATCAAGGTGTCTAGAATTGTGTTGTTTTGTGATCTCATTGAGAGTAATAAACCAGAGGCTGTGAGTGATTCAAAAAGTATCTCGAAGAGCTTGCAGATTGTGAGCCAGATCACTGATCTGGCCCAGTGTGGTTATTTTGAGTCTTTGTACAGAATTTCTAATATTTGGAAAGAATACTAAGTAAGTCTGCAGACAACCCTTTCTTTGGCAAAGTGATTTAAAAATGATTCAGTGATATATTGATTGATCACATCAACCCAAATCCCACTTTTCTTCTCATTTCTGTATTTTAATAGAATTCATTGACTCTTCTGAACAACTGGAGGACTTTGACCTGGAAGAAGATTTTGAGATTCTGAATGTGTAGTATAGTGGGAACTCAATTTGGAAGTCTGACTTCCATCCGGCACCATAGAAACATGAATTTGTTACATAAAACTTTGCTAGTCAGCAAGTGCCTGATATGCCAACAGCATACAAACTTGATCGCAGTTATGATGGAGTCAATTAGCTTGTTTCAACCAAAAATGAAAAACAAAGAAATGACAACCCTTCCCTAGGAAGAAACAGAACAATCATGGAGTCTAGGATTAGAAAGCTTAGGAGGAGCCCATTGCATCCCAACTGTTCTTACATGGCTACACTAAGTCTTCAGTAGCTGAAATGAATACATTTAGAAGACAGACAGCAACTCCTATTTGTTTCAAGCACCGGCAGATGAGAGATGGTTACACCGTTCTTCACTCTTTCAGGTGTGACCTCTTTTGGTCTAAATACTAAGAGGCAATCTTTTTTCTTGCTTAAATAATAAAGTAAATCAGGGAGAAAAAGTTCTTGTTAACTTATTTGAATGTGTATTTTAAATAGTTATAATTTGTTGGGAATATAGCTCTGTGGCACAGAACCTGCCTGACAAACATGAGGTCATGAATTCAATCCCTGATACCCAAAAATAAATAACTATAATAATAATAATTTTAAAATTAAATAAATAATTATAATTTATATCAAAACATTTGCCAAAGAAATGATGTCAAATGTATACTTCTCAGTTGTCTTCCTATTTGGAGGAGCTTCCATATTTTATGGGTTTCACTCTTCATCCTTACTGATATTTTTGACAGATATAACCTACTGTCTTTTAATCAACTTGTGCTCCTTAAATCAGAGGTCAGTACACTTTTTTTTGTAAAGGGCCAGATAGTAAATGTTTGAGGCTTTGCAAGCCATGTAGCCTCTGTTACAGCCACTGTGCTATGGAAGTGCAGAGACAGAAATGGACAACATGCATGTAACACAGCAGGGCTTTAATCCAATAAAAGTTTATTCCAGAGGGCTGGACTTTGCCTACAATCATTTGGCAATTACTTACATTGTTAATTTATGTTTGAGGAATTAAAAATAAATTTGTTTGAATTATACTGTTTTGGTTGACAGATACTTAGAATTATTCATGTGGTGACAGCTAATCCATACAATAAATACAATTCCAAACCACTTTAGAACTATTAATTTTCTAAGTTTTAAAACACATATTCATCAAATGAACTTTCCTAATCACTTTTCTGTGAGGATACTGAAGTCTCTGCAGTATCTTTCTATTTTCCTTTCTTTACCTTCTTAACTTTCTGTGTTTCACTCCCACCCTTAACATATTCCCACCAGGAGGCCAGCATCTGGGGTTTGCAAACTAACACCAACCAATTCAATTGTTTCCCTCGGCTGAATATTTTCCTTTTTTCCCAGTAGGTGATTTATTCCAGAGGTTCAAAATTCAAAAGATCCAAAATGGCATTCAGTGAAATATCTCCTTTGCACAGATCAGTTCCTGTCCCTGAAAGTTCCCAGTGTTATTAATTTCTTGTTTATCTTTCCAGATGATGTATTTTATGCATATATTCACATACTTAAGTATATACATAGATATGAAAATATATGTACATACACACTCATATATCTTAGATTTGATTTTAATGACTTTAATATTTCTCTAGTTTTAATTTATTCATAAATGATGCTGAGGCCACATAGGTCTGGAAATTCATTTCTTGAACTCTAGAATGTGATGGGTATATAAACAATTGTAGGCTTATCTTGAAGCACGTTGTAGGGTTGCTTACTGTTTGACTTTACTTTCTAGTTTTTTCTTGCCTTAATATTTAATTATAGAGTTTAGTGAGAGTGCATGTTAGAAAAGTTTTCAGCAACAAACATTGAGTCAAATGTTCATATTTTATTCATTTTATTTGGTATGTACAAAGTTGACACCATGCTTATTACTCAGGAAGTGAAGTTTACAGTAGTTCAGCTTATACTGATTGTGCTTCATGTGTGTTTGTACAGTTTACATAATACTTAAAGAAGCAGAATTACCTGGAAGGAATTGCCTCATGTCAACATAGCTAAAAGTGTCTTGTGAAACTGGTGATTTGAGAAAATGGCTGAAACAAATCCTGCAAACAGAATCCATTTTATAACCAACTCAGGCTTGCTACTGATGGTTGATGAGAGAAGTGTGCTAAATTTTATGAGTTTTTGAAAGCATATTAAAATAGTTTAAAAGGACACCTGTGAAAAAGCAGTTGGATGACTATTTCAATGGAAAGCCTCAGCCTCAGAATACAAAAAACCAACACACCACTTCATTTTACCACATGGAATACATCTGGATGGTATTTAGAATAAACAGACTTCTGAGAAATTGAGCTAAAGTAAATGAGGTTTACCTTTTTATTCTTTGAGTCAAAATCAAAACTCACACTTCCTTACTCATCTACTCCTCTACCCATGACCCACAAGAAAGGGCTGTCATTCCCCTTTCCTTTTATGACCCGGGCCACATTTATTGTGTTTTCTGTTCTCCTGTGGTTCAAGCAAAGTCTTCTGGCTCAGAAGACTGAGCCAATGAGGAGGAAGTGATTTGTCTAAGACCATATGAAATTAAGGGGCTATTGGCCATCAAGCCTTCCTAAGCAATGAGGGACCCAGTCTTGCACACTTTGGAAGGAGGTATGGCTCACCCTAGGCTACTGGCTGGCATTTTCTTCCAGTTCTGTTGCCCTCCTAGACACAGTGGGCCTCTTGAAATAGTGAGGACTTGCACTTTGCACACTTGAGCCATCTGTGAATGTTCAGATAGGTAACTTTTTTAAAATGTAGAAACACTGGCTTCTGGCTTAAGCCAAATAATATGTGGTAACTTCTAGACATAGCAAAATGACTTTAATAGTCCTAGCTATTATGAAGAGATTTCTGATCAAGATAGTGAGGCACCTAGCAGTCTTAAAAAAGTGGCGGTCCAGCAAATCTGAGGTACCATGAATAGACATGCAAACACCCAAATGGAACAGTAGTACCAGGTTGATGACATTGGGACAATAGCTCTCACAGGGTGGGATCATCTAATGGCCTGAGGGTTGAGGTGACCAGTGTCCAGCAGTCCAGCCCAAATGAAACTCCAATGTATAACTTGACAGATAGCCAAAAAAGCTTGGGCCTTCTTCCAACTGTTGAGACTTGAGGGGGGACCATTGTGAGGGGTGGGGAAGACAAAGGGCAAAGTGGTAGGTGCCACCTTACAGGTTTTTCATACACACCTGGCAGCGGCTAACCCGGGTATGGAGCTGCCCAGCTTTCAATGTTTCCGACACAGATTCCTCCCTAAACTGCTGCCTCTCCTCCACGGTGGTCAGCCAGAAGCTGTACTTGTTGGCAAAGTAGTGGCAGCTGCCTCGGGCACCACTGCACTCGATGAAAGGAGTGGCCCGGAAATCCTCAAGGCAGGAGCCTGGGGAAACCAAGGACTGGCCTCCACCCTCGGCCCCAGTGGCAGTGTGCTGAAACAGATGGAAAGGAGGTTGGGTGTGAGTTGAGCCAGCTGAGGCCTGGCACAGGGAGGTCATGAGTGTTCTGTGGCTACAGGCGGACTGTTGCTCCATTTCTCAGCCCTTGTCCTTTGGCTCATCCTGTGCCTTTGGCTAGCCAGTGTGGCAAAAATTGTGTTTTAGGGGAACCGCTCACCATCCTCCCTCATAGCAGCCTTCAGGGCCAGGAACATACCTTCCCCGCTCCTTTGTTCTCTCCTCAGCTGTCATGCCAGTGGCTACATTTCCACCTATGTTTCCCAAACTGCTGCTTCACTATTGAGTTTGAAGGTGTGTTATATATCCCTCCCCCAATTTTCAGGGATGAATAAATGTGAGAACAGGGGGATTAAGGCAAATTCTTAAATGCAGTTCTCTAAGCCCTTTGTCTACTGTGCCCTGTACTCTAAGCAGGAAAAGCTTGAACAATATTGTACACATTCATCCAGCCATGGACCCTCCCTTAGCAGCATGTCTATCAATAGCTTTTGCCTGCTTGTCTCTGTTGAGACTACTTATATTTTCCGTCTGTGCAATACCTTTTAGCATGACATACAGTGTTTGTTACCTGCTGAATGAAAGAAGGCTGTGTATTTGGCCTAAATCTCTCAACCTTCATTGCAGAGAGCCCCCTCACCATTCACTTTTCAGGGTCACTTATGAACTGGCAGTCTCCAGTCACTGTACTCATAGACAGCAGTCCTCATTTGCCCTAGCCTTCACCTCAGCTAGGTTATTTGGACCACAGGGTAGGGAAGAGGCTTAATGCACACCTGTATCAGCAAATGGACAAAGAATATATGCCCAGGTAGGATTCCTTACTTTGCAGAACTCTGAGACAGTGAGAGTTTTCAAGTAACCATTCAAGTGACCCTTCCTTATAACAGAAGCATCAAAGTTTTCCTCATTTTGACCCCCAGAATAGAAAACTATAAAACACATGACATAACTTCTTGCTTTACTAAACGGCAGACACTGTATTGTGGACTGCAGATGACTCAAGATTGTCATGGCAAATATCAGGTTTTGTGGAGGACAGTTTTGCAAGGGCCCTGTACCAACGCATGCAGCTTGCAAAACTGGCCATCTTCAAATCATTTTTTCTCTCTATTCTCTTTTTTAGTTAGCCTACCCATTGCCTCAAAATACCTTTTAGGTAATCTAAATTCTCACCCTTTCTGATTTTCAGGAAATATAATCTTGTTTGTTAGAATTATGTACAAAGTAAGACTAAAAAGATTCTGAATAAGAGCTAAACTCTCCCATGAACAGAGCACATAAAATTTAGTAATACAGCCTTTGTATGATTTCTTGCGGTTGGGGCCCTTTTCTCCTTTTTTGCTGGCCTGGCTGGTAGGTGGGACAGAATGATAGGTGAAGTAACAGTACATTGGAATAAACTGCCCATTGTGCAAACACAGAGCATAACAAGGAAGCACCCTACCCCACATAGGTACACCAATGTGAGGGAGCCTATGGCTTACAAACTGTTTAAAGATACTCCCTCACTTTCTTGCCGCAGTGATTCAGCAGGATGCTTTGGTTGAACTGGCCACTTTAGTGGCTGCCACGTTGGGTTTCCTGGGAGTTGTCCTGGCTCTAAAACCTGACTTCTTATCTGATGAATGATATTCACTGAATACCAAGTGAGTGACTCAATGCCTCCTTGAGCTCAGAGACGTTTTCTTTATTAGCAACAAACAGAATGTCTTGCCACAAGTGTGGAAAAGCAGCACAAGTTTCAGCAAGGAGAATAAACATAGTATGTCATAATCTGGGCATTTCAGGAAAAGTGGCAGTAACTGGAAAGGCATGGAAAAGTGTGTATAGCATGAAGTGCCAAGCTCAACCTGACCAGTGTGTCCTGGCCCTGAGTGGGGACAGTCTGTCCCTTATTGTCCCCTCAGATTATAGTTAATAGATGATAGGATCTTGTTCTATGATCATAAATTCTCTTACCTTGGAACATTGGGTGCAAAATCCTGTCTTCCCCTCATACCCAGAACTACCTGTCCTTGATGCAGAACTAGATTCTTTGATCTTTAGCAAAGCCCTAGCTAAACATTTCCCTTCCTTTTCAACTGTGCCTGGAGTCTGGGAGCAAGTCAGAGGTGCTCTCCCACAACCCTGGTCATCTGTTTCTGTACAGTGGGAGTGCAGATCCTTACCATGAGGAATGAGTACCCAATCCAGAGGCTTCGCCAGCCCAGAGGGCACTGTGGTATGGTGATATCCTGGCTGTGTACAGCAATGGCTTGCGATGGCGCCTCACACACGGAGCAGCGGCTGATGTACTGGGGAATCTGGGTCTGGCTGACAGGCATCATGGGAATGGGGGCAGTAGTGGAAAGCCAATAGGACTTATCATTGCGTCGGGCATAGTGGCACACTTCATTGATGTTGCAGTAAATGAAAGGCATGGTGCTGAAGTGGGGCAAGCAGGAACCAGCAAACCCTGGTGGAAGGAGAAGGTGGACAAGAACAAGTTGGGTCCAGCTGAGGGGGAGAACTACCAGGACTGGACTTGCTGGTGGTTTGGATATACATCCAGATGCTTGACCATACCAGGGTAGCTCTCCTTTAGTCTTCTGACACTATCCATATGAGGAAGTCTGTACATCAAATCCTACCATAAATGCTTTGATAATGATGAGAATCTTTATACACTCAGTCACTCTCTAATTAATATGCTTTGTAAAACTAGCACTAAATAGACTGAGGCTGCCTACAAGAATTATCACACCTTCACATAATGCAATTAATTTTTGGGAATCATCATAGGCCTGAAGTTCGTGATATTATTGTCACTACTAATTACTAATCCTTGAACATTTTAAACTGGGTAACTCACATACCGCATACTAGTGTACTAGAATTAGCTGTGTTCATTAAGGAGGAAATAGAAGCTCAGAAAGGTTGAATGACTTGCCTATGGTACATGTCTAGTAAGTGGTGGCACCACCATTTGAACCTCGATCTGCCTGATTCCAGAACTGGTAGTTAGAACCCTGTACACAATAGTGGACCCAGAAGGCTGGGAGAAGGGAGGTAGTTATATATTGGTCTTATGGGGGCAGGTGGCGAGGGCTGGGTGTCAGGACCAGTTCTTACCCAGGTCTTGGTTGTGGGCTTTCTCCTGGCCCTCCACGAACAGCAGGCTGTAACCTACCCACAGCTGGTTCATCCCGATGGGGCATAGAGGCACCTGTTCTGACTGGCTGTGCTTCACCAATGTGTAGCCCACTCTCACACTGTGTCCAGGCCTCCCAGGGCTCCCAGAGGGGCCCGACTTCCCTGGTGCTCCTGAGAGGGAGACAGCATAAAACTGTGCAGGGCACATGGTATGCATGTGTTACCTTACATGACCCTTATGATGACCCTGGCCCAATCTATATACAAGAAGACTGAGGTACAGCTAGTAATTGATAGAATTAGAATTCCAATTTAGATGTAGACAACTATAGAGTTCTCACTTTTAAAAGTGCATTATTAGGTTTCCCTTTCCTTCCTGGTCACCTATCTTTAGACTCTGTATGAGTGGGAATGATGGGATGTGGTAGGATCATGCTAAGGCTCTGACATGAAGACTCTTATAGGAGATAACTGCTGGATTGGAGCAGAGCTAAGAGCATTTGGATGAAATTCTCTTCTCTTTGGCCCATGGCATATGTGGCCAATGGCTTGCAACAATCTCCCATGAAGCCTTGGAACTGTATTCTCCTGAGGACAACTGATAGCTATCCTTGGTATAAAATGAAAGGTTACCAAGAGAGGTATGGACAGATAGACTTATCTCAGACATTGTTATCCCTTGAACCACCCTTTCCCATCCATGTTAGAATCTCTAGGTGAAACAGGGAGAGGTGCAGGGCAGGAGGCCATGCTATAGTGTAGTCATGGCTCTTAAGAGCTGGAGGAGGGCCCATAAAAAGATTTGGAACAGTCCTTTGTTTTCTAGATGTTGGGCTTCCCTTCACAGGCTCAGAGGAGTAACTGGATGGCAGCCAAGTTTTTGAGATTCCTTGGAGTGTTAAGCTCTACTTCCATGTTAACTGAGTTTCACATTTGAGTTTCTGACTCATTTCCAATCCTTAACCCCTCAAAGAAGCCCTCTGCCCCTATGGTGACATCACCAGTTTGAATGTCCACCTTGTATGCTTTGATACTGTGATTTGAGCAACTATTTTCAAGATGATAATATGTAATCTATTAACAGGTGATTTCTTACTGTTATGTTTTTTTTTGTAGTTCTGTATTACGTGTACCCTTACACCACTTTGTTTTGTTTTGTGTTTTTCTCTTTTTCCTCTTAAATAAATAAATAAATAAAAACATCACCAAACCTTCAAATCCTGGGGGACCTTGAAGTCCAGGAAGACCAGGATCGCCAAGAGCCCCAGGTGGGCCTGGAAGCCCACTGAGACCATCCTTGCCAGGGATCCCAGGTAAACCTTTGGAACCTGCAGGAGATAAAGGTCACAACAGGGTAGGGGCAATTCGATGTAGAGGGTTCAGAAGCACCCTTTTTGGAAAAAAGATGTCCAAGATTCACCAGGAGAGAGAACACTGACTGTTGAACTGGTGTGCACACTACAGGAGAGTAAAAGCCTGTCTGGGATAGTCCCAAGTTCCCAGGAACATCTGTGCCCTGGCATGGTACTCCCCACTTGACCTTTCTGAGCTTCTCACACAACCACTTTTTCCCTGGGAGTGATGTGGGGTAATGCCAGCATCTCACTCAAAAATGAAGTTACTAAGTCCCTGAGAAACTGCTAACTTACTCTAGTTGAAGCAAAGCAGGACCCTGGATGCCAGGTTTCCTGTCAACTAGCCCCTAACTTTCTCCACAGACTATTGCTGCCCTTTACCTGCCACCACACTGTCTCAATATCTAAGAAGCACTTTAGAGAACAAGCTTGCTGGAGGAGTGGCCATGCTCTGGTAATACATTCTCCAAAGCCAGACACAACCACTGCCTTTTTGGCTGTACCAGCCCTCTCTTCCCTGGTCAGAAACACATGAGCCTTGTGAAGAAGCAGAGGAAATGCTGGAGGAAGGTGCTCCCTTGGAACTGGTGTTCCTAGCCAGTTACTTCTGCCTCTTAATAAGGCCATTTTGGTTTCCTAAGAAGTCTTCTTTTTCTGATGCCATCCTTACCTTGTGGGCCAACAGGGCCTTGTGGCCCGGGGTCTCCTGAAAGACCTGGAATGCCATTGATGCCTGGTAGACCCAAGGGTCCAGGAGGAACGTGGATAGCTTCCACAACTGGTGTTTTCCCAGGAGCACCTTGAAGGCCTGGAGAGCCTGTGGGCCATGGAGGAAATGGCTGAGGACAATAGAGGAGGAGGGCAGGATGGAGCCTAAGGAGTCTTCCTTTCTGTTTTGTAACTATTAGCTTTCTGCACTCTTTGCAGTCTTCACGAGATAGCTCCAGGATGATTGTCACTACACTCTACACAGTACTCTCATTGCCAATTAGCTTCCAGTGGCTTGGTAGCTCATGGGCAGGGACTGAGTCATATTCAACTCCTTTGGACCCAGTACAGAACCTGACAGGTGGCAGGCAATTAAGCATTTGTTACACTTGTTCTGACTCAAGAGGGAGCCATTGCCTTACACACCATGCTTGTTAGAACACAGTACCAAAGAGACTTGGGGTGTGTCTAACTCACATGTTCAGTTAGTATCATAGCCTATGAGGCTGACCCAAGGTAGCTACCTTGATGATAATTTGTTTGCCAAGTCATTGAACAAGTATTTTTTGGGTGCTTACTATGTAACAGGGTCCTAGGAGATCTCGGAATAGAGTAGTTAGTAAGATACATCTTTATAAAGATGCTTATGGTCTACTGACAAATGCCATTATTCTTTGGGAAACTTGTGAGAAGAGATATGAAGGAAACAAATAATGCAGTGACCAAAGGAAGGAGCATAGACATTTTAGAAAGCACTCAGTGGCCTTTCATAAGCAGCGACAGTTAAGCTAAAATCATTGAAATATAGCTAGTCATTTGAAGAGAAGAGGGGTAAGGACATTTCAAGAAGTAAAACTAACATATGCAAAGGCTCTTTGGTAGGTCAACAATTGTGATTATTAGAAAATTGAAGGGGTTCAGTGCAGCTGAAAGACAGCAGTAAGAGAGGACTGGTATGAATATGCAAAGGGGGCCATCACTTATGGCTTTATGGGCCACAGTTTATATCTATGCCATAGTAGCGAATTATGATTTATGTTCTTATTAATCACTATAGAAAAATGATGATTGGATGTGTATATGTGTGTGTGGCGTCATTCATGTGAAACTGTAGTGGCTTGGACCTTGATATAGCAATGGAGGTGATGTGAAGACAGCAGATGCAGGTGTATTTATAAGATAGATGCTCCAGGGCTTTCTAATGAACTAGATGTGTTGAGCAGGGGATGGGGATGGTAAAAAAATAGAGAGAAGGGCTCTTCATTTGTGTTTTGAGCAAGTGACTGATTGGTTATCTGTGAGTAAACTCTGCCCACCAGCTATTTCTCTGTAGAGAAAGAGAAAAATAATACAGAGGAAATGTGTGGCAGGATCCATAGTGGCAAAGCAGCAGTGACACTGAGTCTTGGTGGTTAAGAGCTTCCTTTTATATACATGTGGAAAAACTACCTCCTGGGGTGAGGGGCTTTTTTTTTTTTAGCTGTTTCAGGCTTCTGGGCTTTGTTGGCATAACGAGCAGTGACTTTTAAAAAAATCTTATCCCCAGTCCTTACTTCTCCTTCCATTTCAGGCTCAGACCAGCACATATTTCCAACTCACCTCGTGGCCCTGCCTTCCCCTTCATCCCTGGTAATCCTGGGTCTCCAGGTGGCCCAACTTTCCCTGGAGTTCCCATGAAGCCAGCCTCACCTTTCATGCCTGGTAAAGTCCAAAAGAAAGCAAGTCAGGCTTTGTTATGATGATAGTGGTGGTGAAGGTAGTGATGGTAGAGAGGAGATGAGGTAGCAGGAGGCAGGGAAGAGCGCCATCAGCTGACCTCTCTTCACATGGCTATGGGAGGGCCATTTCTGACTGGAGTTGGGAAGGGCCTAGTGGTGAACCAAGCAGCCATACCTTTTAGTCCTAGCTCTCCAGGGAGGCCAGAAAAACCTGGGATTCCTTGGTCTCCTTTTGGCCCTTGAAGGCCAGGAATTCCGGGGAATCCGGGGTCTCCAGGGTCGCCTTGATCTGAGGATGGCCCAGGGGGCCCTGGGGACCCTTGCTTGCCTGGGCGGCCTAGGGATAAGACAGGCAGAGATAAGAGGCAAGTGAGCAGAAAGTAGCAGCTACTGAAGGCCTACAGACTGCTGGGAAGCCAAAGCTCACTCCTAAGACAGAGAATATTTCTTTGACATTTGTGAACTCCTGGTGTGGAGACCTTCCCAAATCCTTACAGCAAAATGCTAACAGTTCTAGTTCCCTGTATTGTGGCTGGGTAGGGTGGGGGAGAGTGAGAACAAATAGGCCCATACACGTCTAGCAACTGTATATAGGATCTTCCTTCCAATTAAATGGGTTCACCAGTCCTCTTTGGGACTTCCTGTCTTTACCTCGTTCTCCATCTAGGCCTTGTTGCCCAGGCTGACCAGGCTGTCCCGCTATGATTGAGGGCAAGGAGATGCCTTGGGCACCGGGGGGGCCAGCAGGGCCTTGGAGACCTGGGAAACCTGCAAAGAATAAATAAAAGGGGCCTGGTGGGCTCTGCATGCCCAGCAGAGGCTCACAGTCTTTCAGAAAAATTGGAAACAGATAGAAGCCAGGCTAGCGATCACCAGCAGAGGGCTCTTCTTTCATACTTTCTTCTCATTAAGGGCACAAAAGAACTGAGAAGGGCTCAAATGCCCCCTTTCCAACTGTGTAGAGCAGCAGAAAGTCCTAGCTCCCCAATTTTGCTGGAAATAGAGATGTTTTAGGCCCATTTCCTCCAAATTGAAAATAAAAGAAGGCATGACTAAACAGCTGGAATATAAATTTTCCATGTTCTTAGGACTACTATTGTCCTGGTGAAACCACATTTCATATATTAGCTGGTTATATCTGATGCTGCACAAAAGTAATGGATACAGGTAGGTTTAAGGGCCTGGCCAAGTCAGAATGGAAATGGCAAGAGCTCTGGGTCTTTCTGTGTCTTCTAGGTTTTAGAGGTCTCACCTAGGGCTTCTAGGCAAACTGTAAAGCAATCTTTCATAGAAAATCCATATTACCCAAATGGTTGATTAATTGCCTACAGAACAAATTTCCTTGTATTAAATATCTTCCAAACTTTTTGGCCAAAGAGAATGTCCATTTATTAGAGTGGATACAGAACAATTGTTTGCTAAACATTTAACACTCTTTTAAATGTTTTCTGTTTGTACAGCAAATTCTACTATACATTCAAAACAAAATTTTCATAAGATAGCTAAGATGATTATACTACTAATTCTATTAGTTCTTGGAACAGAACAATTAATACTCATATGATTAGATCAATTTTGCATGTCTGTATCTGATCATCTAAGCAACTCTTTTGAAGATAACTATGCAAAATAACAACCATTGTTAAATTCCTATCATCTTATTTTGAAAGTTTATGTTGTTATTGTTTTGAGTTTTGTGTTGTTGTTTGTCTCTTTTGCTTCTTTTTTTAAAATTTTATTTAAAAGGAAAAAGAGATTCTTTTTTTCTTATCTATGTTTTTTATTGTTGGTGGTTTTTTTCCTTTTTAAAATAAAAGAAAAAAAACAAAATTTTCATCCTATTACAAAATAATTAATATTCATGTTATATACACAGATGGTAATCCTGATAATAAAACACCCTGAAGCTCTGTATATAAACATAGACGTTCATATTATACATGAGGTTAAGAAATGCATGCATTACTTCAGCATATCCTAGAAAATATTCAAATGATGAGAATTTGATCCAAACAGGTTGATGAACTGTTCTGGTGGATGAGAATATTTTTCTGGTGACAAAATAAAAAAATTAATACTGACTTTCTCATCTTGTATCCATTTAATGTAAACTTGTAAAGAAAGATGGTAGATTGGCTAATTCAAGTGTTTAAAACAGATCTTTTATTATTAATTGAATCTAAAGACAAAAAGTTTAAAATTTTAAGTCTAGGAAAGCACAAAATTATAAGAAGAAAAACTAGTGATAGAGTTACATGGTACTATTTGGTTGTGCCTCGGTGTCTTTGAAGTTATTTTTCTTTTTCATGGAGTCAAAGATCCAAAAAGATGTATTCCTTTTTCCTTAAAATACAGCTTTATGCATGCATATATGTATGCATTGTATATATATGTATATATATGTATTGTATAAACATACAATATAGTATGGCAAAGCAGAGAATATAGGAGTTCCTACACTAGTTTTTGAAGTCACCTCCATTATTGAACTGTTTCTTGATTTTATAATTATAATAGTATATCATCAAATCTGAAACAAAGGCAGTACTGATCTCAAGCAGTGCAAACTATCATATATTTAAGAGTAAAACACTTCCAATGGGTACATATAAATGCTAAATGTCCTATTTTTCCAACTCAACCCAGGGACAAAGTCTTAAACTAAACATACAAATGTAGACTAAATATTTAGTACAAACATGAAAACATTAGTGTAATGGAAAATTATTTAACAAAAGGTATTATGAAGACAGTGAATGCTCCATGAAATTTTCTTCAGGGTAAAGCTTTGTTTTGCATTGACTTTCACTTATTAGGGCATGGACAAGTGCCTGTGGGGGAATGATACATGCTGTATACGTTTTAAGTAAAATTATTTTAATTAGTTATTGAGAGAATGCCACAGAAAATCTATGAATGATACGTAAAGATAATGCAAGCATGATGACACACCTCATTTAAGTAAAAAAGATGGCATGACCTTTGACTTTCTTGAGCAAGACCCCTTTCATCTTTCTAAGTGTCATCTTTCATCTTTCTAAGACTCCTGAATTTTGTGGTCATCATCCCCTTCATTTTTATCATAGTCTAACCATGAATATTTGTATCCATAAATAATATATTGGTTGTTTTTGTTTATTTTTAACATTTATCAGTTAAATAATACCAAGTGTCATGCCTTTTTTTGCTCAACATTATGTTCCAGAAATGTATCCATCTTGATATGTGCTGTTTATTATATGTGCAATTGATTTTATTGCTTCAGTGAAAAGAATTGAATAATTAAATGACCAGGTATTCGCAGTCAATAACAACAAAGGGAATGTCCTGTGTCTATCTGACTCCCTCTTCTCTGCCATGTGAAAGAAACCTAATCTTTCTGCAGGCTGGGGCCCTGCTCTGAGTCCTCTGGAGTAGTTGCTGGCTTTTAGGGAAAAAATTGATCCAGACCAAAGGGAAGAGTAAACAGAAGCACCAGATGTATCAATTTGAAATGCAGCAGCAAATGAGTAAATGTGTGAATAAATGAACATGACACAAACATAAAGAAAATGTGAGAAGACCCAAGGCCCTAGAGATAAGAGGAACAGAATATTTTGCAAATACAATTTACCCGGGTTAAATGCAATGATATAATGGCCAGCATTTCTTGAGTGCCTACTTTGTGCAACATTGAGCTAAGTGCTTTTATATACATTACCTCATCCATTGAGTCTTCACAAATCCTGTGAACTAGGTTCTGTTATTACATCATTTTATAGAAAATTAAAATGTGAGTTCATTTGGAATTGGGGATAAGTAACTTTATTGTTCAAGGTCATATAGGTAGTGGGAAGTAAGCTGGAATTTGAACTCTGCTGGTCTGACTTCAGCGCTCTTATTCTTAGCCAGGCTGCCACACTGAATTCACTTCCTGGTTTACAGAGTGGAACAATTGTGGGTCCTCAGGACATTTCTGAAGAAAGTTGAAGAATGAGAATTCCTTCTTGATTTTTGAGAGGAGGGAAAACAGAGGTATGGAAAAAGACTTCAGGCAATGTAATGAGTCAGGGGCTGAGATTAGGGAGGTATCTGCTTTCTCTTAAAGCCAATGAATCCCAGTTGAGTGTGTGCGGCAGTCCTGTCCTCAGGAAACATTTATTTTCATCATCTTGGGCTTTTTCCAGCAACCATAATATCTTCCCAGGACCCTGGGAGCACTATCCATACTGGACACTGAGGAAATTCTGGCCAGCTTCTTAAGTCGATAAGCCCTGTCCCTTAGGACTGTTAAACGCAGGCTCTGACCAAGCAAGTAAGAAAGGCCGCGCAGTTAGTAGAGGGATCTGGAGGCTACAGGGGACTTGGCATCCTGCTTCCTGACATTCTTTCACTGGAAAGTCATGGACATAGCCTATTGTCTCTTTCTCAGCAGCTAATCTCTGTTGGATTCTGAGATTCCCAGAGATGTGGAGGCATGTCATGAGCCACATAGCCTTAATGAACAACAAACCAGGCTCCTCAACAAGAGCTCATTCAGCTTCTCCAAGGCTGACTTGGGCTCACTTACCTCGGCCACCTTTTTGTCCTTTTGGACCTGATTTCCCTGGAGCACCAGTGACAGTTCCTGGTAATCCCTTTTCCCCTTTGAGACCAGGAAGGCCTGCAGGCCCAGGCACACCTGTGATACTGGCTCCTAGGAGACACAGAGGGAGGAGACCGAGTTCAGCAAGGGTGAGGCCCTCATCCTTAGCTCTCTTGTCTGTGGCTATAAGAATAGCTCATTCTTGTAGGAAGACAAATTCTACCCTCTTTCCACCTCCTATCAAGGGACTTCAAATTGAAGGCTTGTGAGGAGATCTATGACTGCAAGAATATGGGGTACACCAGAGTCAAGAACTCATGACCAGTCTTTGACAGGTGTCTGAAAAAGCTGTTGGTCTTCTCCTTTCCCTTAAGGGTCTTCCTTACCTGGAGTGCCACGGGTACCCTTGGTTCCTGGAAGTCCATTCAGTCCATGTAAACCAGGAGGTCCAGAAAATCCTGAGGGTGAAAAAAAACAATCAAAAATAGCCCTATCCCGGAGGTTTAGCTCAGCGGCATAAACACCTGCCTTGCAAGCAGGCGGTCATGAGTTCGATCCCTGGTACCGATAAAAATGAAAAAGACAAAAAAAAATAACCCTATCAACTCTGAATCATGAAGTTATCCCACATAGGCACTGCAAGATTCTTATTTTATAGACCTGGTCTTCCTTGAAGCATTATTTAATACCCTGTGGGTAAATAGCACACCTGTATCTTATACCCAGCACCCTAAATTCTTATGATTCTTACTAGAGATCAATATGGCTGTAAGAGTGGGATGGAAACTAATTATCTTCAAGAAGAACTCAGAGTGGCAATGCCATGACCTTGAGTTTCCAGCTCTCAGAAAATGGTTCTAGAAACTTGCTGCCCAGTCTCTAAGTCAAGGAAAGGCAACATATTGCCAGGCAATAACCTTCTGTTAAGAGCTGAATTTAGTTTGAGTATGTCCTCCAAGTGTTTATGTCATGGAAGTTTAGTTTCCAGTACAGTGATGTTAAGAGGTGGTGAGAACTTTAAGAGGTGAAGCTTAGTAGAAATAGATTGGGTTATGGGAGACACTGTCCTCAGAGGGGATTAAGTTAGGTCTCTTAAGACCCTGAGTTCTTGCAAGACAGATTTGTTATAAATATTTTTGTTCTTTTCTTTTAAGATAGGGTCTCATCATGCAATCCAGGCTGGCCTTGAGCTTGCTTAAGTAGCTCTGGATGGCCTCAAATTCATAGCAATCTTCCTACCTGGGCCTCCCAAGTGCTGGGATTACTGGTGTAAGCCACTATAGCTGGCTAAGACTGCTTTATTAAAAAAAAAAAAAGCAAAATTAGCCCCTTTCTTCTCTCTGGCTTCTTGTCTTGTCATATGGTCTCTTTCTTGCACATATTCTGCTACAATGGCATCCTCCATGAGGACATAGCTGAGAAGCCTTCATCAGAGACTAAGCCATGCTTTATAGACTCAACCTCCAAAACCATGAGCTAAATTTGAATCTTTTATTTGTAAAAATCCAGCTTCAGATATTTTGTTATAGTAACGGAAAACTAATACACCCTTCTTTGTTACTCTTTTCTCCATGGATCCTGCATTCTTTTCTTTTTTCATTCATGCTTATCAACATTCCTTCCTTTTAATTCTCCTTTCCAATTATTCTTCATGTAACCCAGTCATTGATGCCCTTGGGCATAGCTTAACCCTGCTGTGCTCTAAGATAAAGGAGGTGCTGTTCTTTATTTAGGAAATACATTTCTGTACTTTCTGTTCTCAAATGCACCTACCTTTAGGTCCGATTAACCCAGAGGGTCCCAGGGGCCCAAGGGACCCTGAATGACCAGAGGAACCTGGAAATCCTGGGTCTCCACTGATACCTGTAGTCCCTGGAAGTCCTAAATGTGAATTTCAAGGCAGGTGTTCAGAATAGGGTATGACTTGAAGTTAATCCTAAATTTTTTTCAGAATAAAATTATCATGTGGCATGGTACCTGGGGAGCCAGGAAGGCCAACATCTCCAGAAATACCATCTTTACCATCTTCACCTTTGTTTCCTGGAAAACCAATATCACCAACTGGTCCATCTTTTCCTTTCACACCTGTAAATCAAGAAGAATGCTGAGTGGTCAGACCACAATTTTGGAAGTATGTTCATCCATGGGAATGAATAAGGAGGGAGTTGAAATCCTTTCGAATTGCTGAGGGAGCCTGATGTAAAGAAGCAGCTCTGAAATGACATTTGGAATATATCACCTAATGGATAAGTAAGTAGACTTGTCCTGATATATTCCATAAGTGGGGGCTATGGGTTTAAATGTTTGAGAAATACATTTTTCTGCACTGGTGACGTGATAGCACTTGGAATTGGCTTCCAAAATGTCATGTAATACTCAATTTTGAAGAGTCTATGAGGCAAATGAGATAAAAGTATAGTAGCCTTACCTTTAATACCTGGTTCACCAGGTTGTCCCTTGGGTCCACGGCTACCAGAAATTTCAAGTGTGTGGCCCTGATCTCCTGGTGATAATAAGACATTGTTTAAATGATTGGGTGAAGCTGTAGTTCATTTTTTGCCAAAAAGATATTTTAATCACTTTTTTTTCCAGATTCAGTATACATAGCAGAGCTCCTTGACAGAAGTATCCATTGGGTAATCTAGGAACTGGAATACTACCAGAGTAGTGATATGACATTCTGTTACATGCAGCACATGTCCACTGTGAAACACATCACTGAGCTATGAACAAGCAATGTGGTAGCTGAGGCCTGAAACATCACCAGAATCTAACAGTGATGCCAAAAAGGATGGGAAGTTTTTCTGTCTGGTGAACTGAATTCATCAAGGGAAGATACTATATGGAGTTGAGGTTTTCTTCTTTTGAGTATGGAAAGCATATGTGTTAAATCACTACAATAAAGAAAAGCCTTTTTCTTGGCTCTGTGAAAGCCCTGGAGAGATCTTGATAGGTATCCTTTTTTACTGCTTCTTATTTGAGGAACAAGGACTGTGGAAGGGATTAGCCAAAAGGAAATGTAAACCAATTCATTTCCCTCTAAACATAGACAGCCCTGGACCTGCTGTAAATCCACCTTGCTCTAAAAACAAAAACAAAAACAAAAAAGCACAAATTAAAGGACAAAACCCTCCTTACCTTTTGAGCCTGGGAGACCAGATGCTCCTGGGAGTCCAGGAACCCCAGCGAGACCCTGTGAACCCTTCAAAGCAATATGGGAATCAACATTTTTGCCCAGAGCTCCCCACCATCTTACTTCTTCTTCATTTCTCAAGCCTAAGAGATGTCTATCACACACTCCATATCAGGGTAAACTGTATAGGGGTATAGGTGAGGTACATTCTGCAAATGCGAAGGTAATGAGCCAGAGGCGAAAGTGTGCTTAGGGTTTACACTGGAAGAATTCTATTCTTGTCTTATCATTCACCCTTGTCTTGTCATTCACAACTTTCCATTGTCCATAATCATTGAAACCTTAGCAAATCAAAGTTTTGCTGCTCTAACAAGTCTCTTAAAAAATAAAGAGCATGACAGGTTAGGTATTCAATGTGTTCCTCAGGCAGCTACCACCGTGCTTACCAAAGCCCTAGAGCCACTACACATAAATGTGGCTTCACCATGCAGGGCTAGTCCTCTGGTGCAGGTTCTACAAATAACATGAGTCTTTTGGCTACCAGGTAATAGCTGCAAGTATGTATGTGTTGAAATTTGAATGTAGACAAAAGTTACCATTTTTACAGGAAAAAGTGTCTTTGCTAGCTAATGTCCAGCATACTGTCTGACTCTGGAAAGTGTCAGCTGCTGTCATCACAGTTCTTCCAGCATAGTTTTGATTCATTTGTATATGTTGCCAATAAAGACACATCCATTTGGCAGGAGGCTGAGTACTGGGTTGCGTCACTGTGCTCACTCAACTACTACCTAGGGCACCTACCTCTCCCCTATTCTGCCTGCTTTTTTGCCTGGCTTCATGTGGCTTGTTTCCACAGTTACTCCTAACTATGAACCTCTGGTTATGCTGAGGCCTCTCAGAGAATTCCTTCTCACTTTGTTTCCATTATTCTAATATGGTATGTGGGTAGTCAGACCATTCAGTTTAAAACTATTTATATTGCATTTGCTTCAGGTATGTGTATGTATGAACGGAATTTTTATGATACATTTAGTTCAATGTGAGATGCTGGCAGTGGGGTGCAGACAGAAAAACATGTAATGTAGTTCTCGTTCTTAAACCCTAGAAATCTCATCAAGGAAGTCAGATCCCACGAGAACCAACTACATCAAATAAGCAATGATAAGTGAAAGATGCCAGCACAGTGGGAGCTGAGAGACTTTCTGAGGAGATGTTTCCTGAGCTGGTTTCTAAAGGCAGCCAAGTATTGACAAATGCAGAGGAGGGAGGAAGCCTGTCATGTTGGGGAGATAATGTGAATAAAGGCAATGAAAAAGGAGCGTTTAGGAAAGGGTAGACTTGCCAGGATCAAGGAGTGGGCTGTGTTTGATATTCTGGGAAAAGGGGCTAGGATGAGAAAGGTGGCCCTGGGAGGCATATCGTCCTGCTCTAGAGGAGGCCCTTCTCGGGAGAAGGGACAAGGATCTGGGCACACTCACATGTTCTCCTGGCATTCCTGGAAAACCTGTAATTCCTGAGGAGCCCTTCAGGCCAGGTGAGCCCAGAAGTCCCATAGAGCCAGGGGGACCTGGCATCCCATTAAGCCCTTTGATGGTGCTGGGCAAGCCAGGAGCTCCAGGCAGGCCTGGTGACCCTGGACGGCCAGCCTCTCCTTTGTCACCTGGGAAAAAAACAAAAAGATTTGGCAAAAAACCCCACGTAAGAGAAAATCTGCTTGTCCAGGTATAGGCGGTCTGAGTCACAGGCTAAATATAAGCCAGGGAGTGGAACAAATTAGACTGTGGGAGCAGGGAGGTACCTTCTGTCCTATGGGTCACTTTCAACCTTATGTATCATCCCTGCTCCAGCACTGGGAAAACAGTTTAGTGCTCTAACTCCACTATATGGCATGGTTTTCTAAAGATGCCTCAGACTGCAGTTCAAAACCTCAATTTAATTGTAACAATGGCAAATGGCAGTCTCAAAGTCCAGGGACCTGTCATTCCAGGGAACACAGCCTCCTTTGATGCTATGCTGCCACTCACACTGCTGCTCTATGGAACCTTTTCTCAGGAAGGAAGTGAAGTATGGTGGTTATTCTTTCTTGAGCATTTCACCTGACCACTCCCTGCCTCATCATCACCTTTGGGCCCAGGAAATCCATCCAATCCAGCTGATCCCTGAGAGCCTTTGTCTCCTTTGAACCATAGACTCAGCATTGGAGGTCTTGGACTGGGTTCTCCAACTGGGCCTGGATCACCTCTGTCTCCTGCAAGAATGGAGAACAGGAACTCAATGTGTGTGTGACAGAGAGAGAGAGAGAGAGAGAGAGAGAGAGAGAGAGAGAGAGAGAGAAAGAGACAGAGAAACAGAGAGAAAGAGAGAGACAGACAGACAAAGAGAGAAACAGAGAGAGAGAGAGAGAGAGAGAGAGAGAGAGAGAGAGAGAGAGAGAGAAAATTAGACACAGAGACAAACACAGGCTGAGTTTCATAGTGTTTCTTCCCATCCCATCATCCTCTCATTCTGGGCCCTTCCATTTGTTCCCTACCCCATCCCCCCAACTTTGCATTTCTGTGTATACATTCTGTTCAAACCCAAAGTCCACTTGTAACTTTAGCTCCTACCCAAAACCCTCCTCTAAGGGTTATCTGGGAATGTACAGACAAAGCTTATATTATTTTTGGATATATGACCCCCAGAGACTGTGTTAAAGGTTTGATTCTTAGCCCATGGTACATTGGGAGGTCATGAAGCCTTTGAGAGTTTGGGCTTAGTGGGAGAAAGTTAGTTCACAGTGTGTTCACAGTTAGTTCAAAGTGTGTTCTTAAAGGGGATTATGGGATTCTGGTCTCTTTTTATTCTCTCCTTTTTCCTTCCTGAGCACCATGAGATAATAAGCAGCTTCCTCTACCATACGCTCCCTGCCATGATGCATCACCTTGCTATAGGCCTAAAGGCAATAAGTTCAACCAACAGTGGACTGAAACATCTGAAATTTTAAGACAAAATAAAACTTCCCTCCTTATAAGTTGGTTATCTCAGATTTTGTCATAGTAATAAAAAGCTAACATAGAGAATTAGTACAGAAAATGAGGCTGTTACTGAGACAATGTGGAAAAAAGCTCTTCTAATTGGCTTATGGGAAGAATTTGGAAAAATGTTAAGAAGTGGGCTAGGAAAAATCTATAATGCTAAAAGTTAAGCCTAACAGACAATTCTGATAGGGGTTCAGAAGCCCAAAATGCTGAAATAAATGTAGACAGTAAAGGTTATGCTGGTGAGATTTAAAACAAGAATGATTATTCTATTAAGAATTGAACTAGAGGCCTTCCTTATATCATGGTAAAAAATGGTTGCATTGTGTCTATACCCTGATACTTTGCGAGAAGCCAAGCTTAAAAGTGACAGAGTGCTTTAACTGGCAGTGGAAATTTTGGCCAACAAAGTGCTCACATAATGGCATGGATATTACTGACTGCTACTAGCCAAATTTACTGTGAGACTCAGAAACAAAGAAGAGCAGAGCAGAATAATTAGGAAATTTTTCATTTTGGTCAGAAAAGGAGAGAATTTAAAGGTACTGTCAAGAAAGGTGCAGTTCTTAAAGAGAATAGTGCCATTAAAAAGAAGCTGATTGCTTCACATTGAGACAACAGGAAAGATGCCTTGAAGGGATATCAGGAACTGATAAGACCCCATCCATCCCTTACCACAGACTCAAAGGTATAAAATTATAAACTTGATTTCAAAGAGTTTTCTTTATGAGAGACATTTCAAGAGAGCCCACAGGTGTGCTGCATGTACGGGGGCAGCCTAGGAAATTGTTTCCATGTTTAGCTGTCCCAGCACTCAGAAGCTGCTGAAACTGTAATTAGAACTGGCCCAGGTACAGCTCACTCTGGTGGCAGACCTTGATATTGCTTATATGATGCTGGTTTTGCAGGTATGCAGGATGTATGAGTTATAGGGTCATGGAGGCTTCCAACAACATTCAAAGGAATGTCTGGGAGGCCAGGCAGCCTCAGGGTGATATATGGAAGCTGTGAGTGTGAAACTGAACCTTCAATGGAGTTCCCACAAAGTTAGAGATGCCAGGAATGTGAAATGTCTGCTGAGGAAAGCTGCAGACAGTGAATAAAGCTAGCTCAACCCAGCCCATTTGGTCTGCAGCCAATAAGTCCATAGGAATGGGGTTGCCCAAGCCTTTGGGAGCTCATCTTCTATCACAAGGTGCCCACAATACTTGGACATGGTGCTGCATGATTTAATGTTTTCCCTGCAAGGTTTTCATCTTGGCTTGTTCAGATCTTCCCTTTGTATCCATTAGTCTTTCTTTTTGAATTTGACATTTACATTGTGCCATTGTATCTCAGAAATATGTAGCTTGTTCTCTCATTTTTACAGAGGCTGACGGATGAGTTTCTTTTTTGTGTCTTAGAGAAGACTTTGGATTTGGACTTTTGTGCAGTGCTGGCAGAGTTAATTCTTCAAAGCCTTTTATGGCTGAGTACATACATTTTGCATTGTGAGATTGACATGAGGCTTGTGGAACAGATTATCATGGTTTAAATAAATCCATGTACTGAAAAAAACTTGATTCTCTGCCCCTGGAACACTGGGAGGGGCAGAGGCTTTGAGTTGAGGCCTAGTGGGACAAAGTTAGGCCAGTGGGAGCATGCCCATGAGGGGAATTGAAGGACTCTTCTTTTTCCTCTCTTTTTTGCTTCTTATTTGCCATAAGGTGAGTAGCTTACTCCATCATGCATTTTCTGCTGTTATATGCTACTAAAAGTACAAAGGCAATAGGGCCAAGTGACCTCTAAAACCATGAACCAAAATAAATCTTTCCTCTCTTTAAGCTGACTTTCTTAGGTATTTGTTATCGAAATGAAAAAGTGATTAACATAGGCTCTAGCATGCCGTGTTCTTTCTTTCTTTCTTTCTTTCTTTCTTTCTTTCTTTCTTTCTTTCTTTCTCTCTTTCTTTCTTTCTTTCTCTTTCTCTTTCTTTCTCTCTCTCTTTCTTTCTTTCTTTCTTTGATACAAGGTCTTGCTATGCAATTTAGGTTGGCCTTGAACTCACTATGTACCCTACGGTGGCCTCAGACTCATAGCAATCCTTTTGCCTCAGTCTCCCAAGTGCTGGGATTACAGGCATGTACCACCACACTAATATGCAGCGTTAACTCATAATAATTCATCTTTTTGTTTCAAATGACTTAATTCAATAATCTCACTTCTTATTGTTTAACATAGGGTTGTTAAAACCACAGTAACAAATCAACAAGCAAATGTACAAGAAAGCAATGGTGACATTCCAGAATTCACTTCTTCCACTCACCCTTTTCACCAGCACTTCCAGCTGGTCCAGAGGTTCCCACTTTTCCAGCTAGCCCAAGAATTCCCTTTAATCCAATTGCACCAGGAAAACCAGGGAGACCTTGTAATCCTGGAAAACCTATTAGTCCAATGGACCCCTTGTCACCTGTTAAAAAATTAAATTATATAATTTCCATTATTTTTTGTGTTTACACTTAAGGAAATAAATCGAAGCTTAGAGAGGTAGAATTACTTGTCCAGTGTCACACAACTTAGATGTTTCAGAGAAGGGATTCAAACTGAGGTTTCTCTAATTCCAAAGTCTCAGTCACTACCAAGTCCTTTGTCATCACACATTATATTACTTCTCTTAACATAGATGTGGCATTAAGCAACACAAAGGAAAGAAGCAGGCATCTCTCTTATGATTTATTAAGAGTTGATATGTGGCACAGAAAAACGAAAAACAAAACAAAACAAAAATCAAAACCTAGGACTAGGAAGCAGGGAGATGGAGCTGTAGCTTAACTTTGTTGCTAACTGGTTGTGCGACCTTAAGCCAGTCACTTTCCCTTGCTTAAAACACAGATGCAACATGCCCAAACCACTGGTGACTCTCAGAGCAATCATAGCAAGTGAGAAATAACAGACTTCATGGCAAATGTTATACATATGAGCAAGTTCAATGTAACTGTTATTGCATGGGCTTTTCTGGCCATGGTGTTCCCCCTAACAAGCAGGGTAGTTAACAAACCTTTAGTGGGAATCTTCTTTTAGTACTAGCCCTGCCCAACTGTCTTGCCACATAGTGCTTTGGCTGTGGCCCATTTTCAGGCAAAGAGAAGGGGCTGAGCTGGGTAGCTGATATACTCCTTTTTGGATATACTTCATGGGTATGGCCACTTCACTAGCCTTCCTGATCACTTCACTTACCCTTTGGACCTGGAGGGCCTGGAAACCCAGTAACCCCTGGCAAGCCTGGACTCCCCAGGAAGCCAGTTAGCCCAAGGGATCCAGGAAGGCCTTTCATCCCAGGTAGACCTCTTTTTCTAGTTGACCCAGGGAGGCCTTTCTCGCCTTTCTGTCCTTTTTTTCCAGGATATCCTAAATTAGCACAGGAGAGAATGGAGGACAGCTGTTAAATGACGTTTTAGCAATATCTGTATGACTGCCTATTTCCATAAGATCAGGTTGGTTGACTTGCTGCGTTTTGTAAATGACCTTTTAGCCATTAATAACATATACAATATGCTAGTAGACAGAATTCTTAATTGGCTGAAACATTAGCACCTACCAACCAGAGTGCCATGCCAAATGGCTATTACTTCCAGCATAGCACAGTAGTTGGAAGTAAAAGAAACTTCTTCATGATCATAAATAACCTCTCTTTATCAATGTGATTCATACTTTAGCTTCTAAATAGATCTCTTGGAAGCCAGGGTGGCAACCGGGCTCCAGTTTTCTGTACTTCCACTCTGAATCACACCACAATGCCTGTTTCCTGGGCCAATCAGTGAAGTAGAGGTTAAAGCTGAGCTGTTGTCTCAGCCTCCCAGGGAGCCTTGAATATGTGGCTGCCCTTTTAATCCTTCAAGCAAGCAGTTAAGTCAGCCAGTTCCTTGGCATTAAGTTTGAAAGACCTCCTAGTGCCAAATACTGTAGAAACTCACAAGGCCTATTTTATCTCCTAAGTATTCTGAGCTGTCTTTTAATCACACTTTAAGTTGGTCAATAGGATTAACCTCCTGAGCTGCTGCCAAAGTGGAATGTTCAGGTACAAAGCAAGGGAATTAAAAAACCAAAGGATTAAATCAATGAGGACAGAAGTATTGGGGCCCCCAAGGACCTAAATGAATGACTGACTTAGCTTTATATGGAATGAAAAGCATCAAGTAGCTGTGAGCCCCAGGATTCCAATGAGAGGCTGTGACAGGGGACTCCACAACAAGGGAAGCCAAATTCAATGGGAGCCAACTCCACAGCATGAGCTCAGGGATCCCTGGCCTCTAAGTAAGACCATGTTATAGTATATAATCAGATAATTCCCTCATGTGGTTTTGGTCTATGAGCTTCTGTGCTGTAGTTTTGCACCTAGGCAGTGTAAGTGAAGACTCCAGAAACAAAAGTACAAAGGTAATAAAGAGGATAATAATGGCTATGTAAATAACTCAACTTTAATTCCTGGCTCAAGAGTAAGGGTGGTAGTAGAGTAACTGAGGCAGAGTGAGAAGAGTAGAGCAAGAAAAAAAAGGCAGGCTGCAACTAGGGATGTTTTGTTTCATTTCTTAGTGAAGCCACTTTCTGGCCATCAGTCTTCAGAGACATAGTCATTCAAGAGGCAGGATCTGGGGTGATCACATTCTGCTCAAGCTTCTTTGCAAGTCAAAGTGGATTGACTCCCCAAGGCCCCAGAGAAGGCAATGGAGATGGGCTAAACCTACCTCAACAAGAGGGCAGTTTCTCTATTAGGGAATGCAGGAAGTAGGCCAAAGTATGAAAAGGTTGCATGAGGCCATGGGGGAGGGGTGGAAGTGATATGTTGTCATATTTTGGAAGCTAAACTGCAGCAATTTGTTCTGGTTCGCACTGCCAGGGTAACTTAGGAAAATCAAATCTCATTCTAAATTTTGACCATGTCTCACTTCTGCTATTGTCCCTCAGTATGCCTAGGCCCACACCTGTGAAACTGGGCTTTTTCCTTCAGTGGACTTACCTGAAATGCCTGGAAGGCCTGGTGCTCCTAGGAGCCCCGATTTGCCTTTGATGCCGTGCAGACCACTAGACCCTGGGGGGCCTGGCTGTCCTACTTGTCCTGGTGTTCCAGGGATGCCCTGATCACCCTTTGGGCCTAGCAAGCCAGGTTGCCCGTGTAAACCTAATAAAAGGGAGGAGTCAGATGAACACATCCTGGCTCAACAGCAGGAACCGGGTTACCAAACGAACTTCCAGCAGAAAAGTTTTGCCTAGGATTCATCTCAGGTTCCACTCTCTTCTCAGCTCCAGCCTTGTTGCTATTCCCAGAAGTAAGCCAAAGGCTTTGAAAGAAATTTGACCGTTAATTTTTGTCAACAAGACAGCAAAATATAGTTAGGACATTTAGAAAAATTTCCCCCAAGAAAGTTGGAACAAAATGATATTTTATTTTAATTCCCCAATTAATCAATTATCCCAGATTCATGCAAGTAATTCATTCATGTATACCAGTTACTATAAAGCTTTCTGTTGATTGTTAAATATGTGAATCAAAAGAATCACCCTTGGGTCCTGGAGGGCCAGAGTCTCCAGGAACTCCTCTGTCCCCTGGCAATCCCTGGAGGCCTTGAGCCCCTGAAGCACCATTTTCAGCAGCAAGGATGTCACCAGGGGCTCCTTTGGAACCTGGTAAACCTGGACTGCCAGCCTTTCCAGCCAAACCGTCTTTTCCAGCAAGCCCAGGAAATCCTGGCAAGCCTTTCTCCCCACGTGGTCCAGAAAACCCTAAAAAATGTAAAGAGGCAAAAATAAAAGGGCATGGATATTTAGAAGCAATTTGTCTAGAGATCTGAGACAGAGTTTTCTAACATGTTAAATATGGTCAGGTTTCTCTGGTACTTGGAGGACTTGTGCAGATTCAGGTACTAACAAATGACTTGGAGAACATTCTATTTTCATGAGATTAGCCATGGGCAATACTCAACCTGCTCCCGAACTCAACAGGTATTGAGAAGCACAGGTTACACTTGACACCTTTTGGCAAAAGCTCAGTCTCTTCTGGAGTTGTCTAATTCTGCTGTCACACTTCCCACTTCTAAAGTGGGGTGAGGTGTGGGGGTAAACTGAGGAATCAATAAGCTCCAGGGCACCTGTTCCAAGATGAGCCTAAAGTCCTACAACAGTGGTTACAGATTGCTGACCCAAATCCTGAAATTTTCTGAACAGCAGGTCTTGCAGAAAGGCTGAGAATGTGCATTATTAATAAGTTCCCAGGTGATGCAGGTACTGGCCCAGTGAACACAGTTTGAGACATGAAGCTCAGGTTCGAAAAACAGGATGTAAGAAAAAGCATAGGGACAACTTCCTTCTGACTGATCTGAATGTTTCTTTGACCTTTAAGAGTTGACCCAGAAAACTGACATAGTACTGGTAATCAGGTGCCCTGGCAGAGTCCTGGTCACTAATGGCTTTGTGATCTTGAGCAAGTCTCTTTCTGTCTTGGCCTCAGTTTCCCATCTAAAAGTTAAGGATTTGTTCCAGCTATGGCTGTGTGCTATCTTCCCTGGGTGTGAAATCAAAATATCCCAACCATACCAGAGGGCAAACCTAGCTCTCTGTCATTGATGGAGGATGACTACAATCTACATATACAGGTACACAAAGGATAAATAGATGAATAAAAGCCCTTTTCCTTACCTGGCAGTTCAGGGAGATGTAGTAATCCTGAACTTCCAGGTTCTCCTTTGTTTCCATGAGAACCAGGCTGGCCTGGAGTCCCAGGGAGGCCACGGACCCCTTTAGGGCCTGAAAACCCAAATATAAGTAATGAAACGAAAAGAAAGTCAGTTTGTCTGTGTAATATTTGTGATGTTTAGTCAGTAATTCTAGTATCTTGCTGGCCTCTTCTGTTCTCACCCATTCACACTACCCTTTCCAGCAGCCGTTCTATTTCCTCAGCCTCCAGGGTAGCCATCAGGAAGAATGTGAATGCTCAAATGCTACTGGGACAGACTTTGTTTCCTCTGGCTGATGGCCCTTAAAGTGTGCCCAGTGGCTTTTTCTAGTCTCATTTCATACCTGGTAATCCGGGAATTCCTGGTAATCCTGATGGACCATATGACCCAGGAATAATACAAGGCAAGGTGATTCCTGTGAATGGTAAAATGTATGTATCTGGTGAATCCACTGAGTCGAAGAAGATTTCCCCCTAGCAGGCTCCTTGAATGGCATTCCATTTAAAGGGTTCACCAAGCCCTTTCTACTTAACAGGAAGGTACCCACACAAAAATCTTGGCACCAGAAGCTCTTGGTAATTATCGGTATATCTGTTTAGAGATAAGAATGTCCTTAGTGTTCAAGTGCCTGGATGTTTCTTATCAAACCTTTGGTGCCCAAGTAGTCACCCATATAGTATGTGTTACCTAAGTAGGAACAACAGCAAACAAATACGGAGCCTCTCCTGAAGATGGGAGCAGGTTCATTTGCCAACATTACTAGATTGAAGGGTTTGAAGCCAAGACCCCTCAAGTACATGCCTATCATTTTCTTAAAGTGAAGTTCCTCCCAAACATTGGAGTTTTTGAGATATGATTTTTTGGGGGTGCACTGAAAGCTATTGATTCTTGGTCAGGTGTATCTATATGTCTGTATGACACAGATACTAAAGGACCACTCCCTTATCCATGAAGACACAGTGACCATTCCTTTAGTTTCTTATGTGAAACTGTCAGTTCTGTTCTTCAGGGAAAAGGAGTAGTCCATTTTGATACTCCAGATGTTAGAATTGGCATGAAGAGTCTTTCTTCTAGGAAATTCTTCTTTTCTTAGTCATAATGCAAATAAAGAGTCTATACGATCACAGAGTGGGAGTTTAATAAAACACTGGTGAGCAAATGGTTTGTTGCCTCCCTCAAGTGCCATTTTCAAACAATTGCTATGCTAATTAAATTTAGTTTTACCTATTCATTAAACAATCCTCCAAGGTCTACTTTAAACCACAGAGCCAACAGTTCTAGTAAACTGCTACAGCACTTGTCTGTATTTAAAATGTCACATATTACCTTTCTGAAAAATATGTAGACAGTCTGTGATTTAGACTGCTTAATCAACAAGCTGGCATTTCTCCTCTGATTCTACTTCTGTTTTCCAATAAAAGCCACTTAATTTATTCCTAAATCAATAATGAAAATTGAACAGTGTGGTATAGTGGCTATACTTGGCTATGAAGCCAGACATATTTGGTATCCTAGTTCTGCTAATAGTTACCTGTGTAGACAAGATAATTAACTTCCCTGAGCCTCATATGTTTAATATAAGTGGCCCATCTCATTTGGTGTTTGTGAGAATTGTATTAAACAATGTTGATAGCACTTATCAGAGTGCCTGATACCCTAGTTTATGTTCAACAAATAACAATTCTTATTGTATTTAAGGAGGAGCATTCAGTAGAGCTCCTACAAGACCATTCCCTGGTTTCTACCCCAGTCAGGTTAGTGACACTATTTTGTACCTTTGATATTAATTTACTGCCTTCTAGACCTCAGATTTTTACAGCCATATTAACACAGGTGGAGAGATGGATCCTTCACCATGGATGGGTACACTCATCTATGTCCTGCCATACAATGAGATGACAGAGTTATTTCCCTAATACAGAAATATACTTTATGAGCAAGAACCTCATGTTGAGATGCTTCACTGGGGAGAGGAATTCCAATCTTGTGCTTTGTGTGGGCCTGGGTCTTTTGAAGTAGGCCAGAACTGCCTCTATAGCTGGTGTCATGAGGTTACCCTGCATGAAACTCTCCTACCCCCAACTATCTCAATGGCTCATTGAGTCCAATACGTTGTACTCTCACCATTACAATTCTATTGCTTTATGTACATTTCAAGAGACAAACTGTGTAAAATACAAATATTCCTGATCTATGTCCAAATGTGAAGCCACTCATCCCAAATTTATCAAATCAGCTTCATAGATACTTTACTCTGTGGCCACCAGATCAAAACAACAAAGCCTTTAAAAGATGGAGCTGAAGACAGGCTTCTGTTCTATGACAATCACCCTTTTCAAACAGGGGCTTTAGTGTGGTGTTTTTGAAAGTAGAGAAAATGGTGAGTAAAAAGGAAGAGGAATGTGGCCAACACTAGTGTCTGAGAACCTGTAGCTAGCTCTTATCTATCTCTGTGTCTAAGTGTCCTCTAGGCCAGCCTTTCTCCTGCAGCAGCAATCATGTAGACGAACCAAACAAAGAAGAAAATTAAACTGGGATGAAAGTTTTTTGAGGCCAAAGTGAAGTCTTGTTTGTAGCCCAGATATACCCACCAACCAAATTCATCCTCTATATTGAGAGAAAAATACTGGGACCCACACAGGATCAAGCACACAGTAGCCACTTCAGTAACAACCATGTGGCTTACTGTGATCATTTGGAGTCAAATCCTCTTTGGAAATAGTTGTTGGCTTGACCAAGGTTTGTAATAATTCACAGTTGGAGGTTGAAAGGTTTCTGATGATTACATTCCTTTTTTTTTTTTTTTTTTTTTTTTTTTTTTTTTTGCAGTGTAGCTGTCCTAGCCTGGGATACCCCAGGCTAGGGATTTAACTTTCCACTGGAAAGTTAAATTAGAGGAATTATGACTGGTTACCACAGAGAAAAAAAATCTGATGCTTTAAATGGAATAATTGCTTTGAAATTTTGGTATGGCAACAAGGACATTTTCTGCATAAGGCATCTTCCAGGTGGTAGCATATTATAGTACTACATTGCTGAGAACACTCCATGTCCAGGAACTAGTGAAATTTGGGACTGAAATGATCCTCTAGGCTTCCTTTTGTTGACTCAGCCTGTTCTCAAAGAGTTGGAATGTGGACAGCATTCAGATTTCAGGGCATGTGAGTTTATAGATGCCATGTTATTATAACTCTAATATGTAACCTAGTTTCCCGAATAGTGTGTTGTCTTGGAATGAAGATCCATCAATTGGCAGAGGGGCAGTGGAATGACAGTGAGTAACCTCTCTGGAAACAGAGCTGCAAGCAAAGCTATAGCTGATACCAACATTTCCCAAAAGGAGACTGATACTGTGTGATAACATTTTTCACAGCCTTCCTAGGAATTTGTGAAATGAAATACTGACCTGATTTTAAGAATCTTGAATGATCAAGTTTTAACTTGTACCATCATAATTATTACATCAGTTGACAGAGCTAGATTTTAAAATAGATAAAAAGTTATAGAACCTGCTATTCTATCTTCCTTATTTTTGTAATTCTTGAAGGTGACAAGGTAGAAAGAGAAGAAAGAAGCCTAATAAATGGCCCTTTGATTATTGGAAGACACAAGTAAATAGTAACCTTTTATGAACGTTGTACTACCCTGGGCAGGTCTAGAAAAGCAAAGTATTACTCATCTTCCTTAGTATCTAGAGACTTACAATATAGTTAGGAAAAGTGAAAGTATTAATGGAAAGAGAAGCTTAATTTAAGTAGCAATGACATACTGTGGAGGTCAAGGGAAAACTTAATGGGACAAGAAGGGTTTATGTCTTTAAAAGATGAGTAAGACATGACTGCATAGAAAAAGGAGGACATCAACATGAGCAAAATCTTGGAGCTGGAAATGAAGGGACCATGAGCAAACTCTTGGAGTTGGAAATGAAGATATTTGTGTTTCAGTACAGTGAAGAAAACTAGTGTCTTGGTTTTAATTTTTTTTAAATTAAGAATGTGAGTATACGGTTGAAAAGGTTGGTGATGTCCATGTTTGGAGACTTCTGGGAATTCCATGCTGATGCATTTGGAAATTAATCTATATCCATTAAGGAACATTTGTAGCTTTGGATGAGGAGAGTAATGATGGTATTGCTACTTTTTAAGTATTAAATTTGAAGCAATGTTTATAGTAGAAATGAATACAAAAAAGCTAAGGTAGAAGATACAAGTTGCCATTCATTCACTTAACTTTCCATCCATCTAGCCCCCAAACTAACTATCCATTTATTCCAAAAACATACAGCTAGGAATGAAATAATAAGAACTTAGTGGCAGGAAGAGAAAGAAAAGAATATGATTCATGTCAATCTAAGACTAAGAGCTAACTTCAAATTTTCAAACTTCAGATGACTATAAGAACTGTGGTGCCACTAATGGAAATGTGGAAGTTGTGGAACATAGAAATTCAGATTAAGAACTATTCTGCTATGTGAAAGAAGATATGTTAATAACATAGGACTTTCATAATATATAGGCAGGAATGTCACCATAATAATGCCTGAAATTCAAGTAAGAAAATAAAAATAAAGATAGTTAAGGTATAAAATATGAGTCAGACTAGATGCAACTAGGTTCTCTGCACAATTTGAGATTCCATCAATTAAGGAAAGGTTCTTCCATGCTGATGATATAATTTAGAGGGCACCTTATCCAATGCTCTACTCATTATTTCAATGACATTTGCAGTAAATGGTCATCTGCTTCTCTTTGAACTTTTCCAGGGATTATGAGCTCATAACTTCTATACAACTCTGTGACATTTTCACTCTGTCCTTTCAAGAAGTTCTTTGCTAAGTGGAGCTGAATCTGTATTGCTCTTCATTCTAAACTTATCCCAACACAATATTATGCTTTTACCTCTTATAAACATTTAAGAGGATTGAAAGTAGTAATTATGGTCTCTCAAATCTCTTCTCATGACCAGTTCCATGCATCTGAGTTATGGCCATGCTACAAGAGATTGATTTTCCAAGTCCAAAGCCATGTGATCCTGTGACTCACCTGGAGATCCACGGAGACCTTGTTGACCTGGAAACCCATCTATTCCTTTCTCTCCTGGGGGACCTTGAGGTCCAGGAAGTCCTGGCAACCCAATTCCTGGAGGACCAGTTGGACCAGAATGACCTTTTCCACCAGGAAGTCCTGGTAGTCCCTTTTCTCCTGGGAATCCCTTTCCACCATCACCCTAGAAAGTAATAAAAAACAAAGCACATTTCAGAGAATTATCTGGAGTTCTATTACTATAGAAAAGAGGTAACCAGTATGACTAATGATTCATAATTTGTTAAAATCCTCTATCACTTTAGTTTATTAGTCTTCTCTGAGTTCAATTAGTGGGAATGAGTCTTGTCAATTATGGGTCATCTGATATTTCAGATGGAGGTGGGAAAGAATTAAGCAGGATAACAATAACCTTTGAAGTCACAGAAGAAGTTGAGTTGCTTGAATGGGAAAGCCATTGAGAAGCTGAAGCATTTTTAAGTGATATAGTGAATTGTTGCTAGCATTTATCAAATAAAGTAATGGCTATTCCCAGAAAATAATTCCCACTTTATAGAAAAGCACAAAGTCAAAAGTGTCAGTGACAGAGGCAGGAACAGATACTGTGAATTCTTTATTTTGTCCGTCTCATGGTCTAGTTGCCATCAGACAGGTCAGATTTGAATATGTACAGTGCTAATCATGTGGGATCAATCCACTTACTTGAAGACCTGGCAGACCCGGTAAACCTGATATTCCATCTTTTCCTGGGGCTCCTTTTATTCCAGGGAAACCTTGGAGGCCACGATCACCTTTCTCCCCTGGCATCCCTGATTCCATACTGAATGTTGGTTCACCCTTCTTTCCTTTAACACCTGGAAGGCCTTGAGGTCCAAATGAACCCTGACAAAGAGACAAAGAAGAAAACTCAGAAGATACAGACTTCATAAGATTCTGGAATGTGGGAAAGGTATGACCTAAAGCAGGCCCTTGGATATGTTTTGGCATTGTTCTGAGCACTTGATTATGCTGTCATCTTGGATAATAATTTCCATTTTCTTTTAAATTTTATTTTAAAGGGTAAAATTAAACATAAGAAAACAATGTAAGAGACACAGATTTCAAAGAAAGACAACTGGAGATCTTCACTGTATATCACATTGTCTCTAGTGTTCTTCCAAATAGTTGTCCATATCTTCACATACAATGAATTCATATAAAACAAAATCATATAAAACTGACCAGAACAGGATAATGAAGGCATTTTAGGCCTTCAAGACCAGACAATAGGAAAGTCAGCAATGGTTGCCATGATGTCTCTCATTCTCTTCAAAATAGCTGTCCATACCTTCATGTATCTTGAAATTAAAACAAAACAGACTAAAATCACTCTGAATGAAGAATAATAGTATTGCTAGATTTCACATCATGATGCTATGGAATCAGCATTGGGTAACTTAATGTTGCTTTTTCGTCAAAGTAGCTGTTCATTTCATCGTGCATTATATAATTGATTCTCATAAACTGTTTAGAAGTTCTATGTATGCATAAGTCTCTACATGTGTACCTATTCTTTCTGTATTAGAGGGAAAAACAAAACAAAACAAAACAAAGCAAATTCCTAGAAAAACATGAAATGAAAAAGACATATAAACAACAATAGCAAAGAGCCCAGAACACTGACAATATAGGTCTTCAAAACAAAGTAGTGTGAGTGTAACTATGGTAGTTATTTTACATAATGATCTTCAAGAGTTCCTGAGATAACCATACAATAATATGCACAATTGTTCCAAACCTATGCATGTTCACTATTTGGTTCCAAGAACTTATAGAATTTGTAGCACAATCATCTTAGCTATCCTAAGTGTGTTTATATAATTTTAGGTATTTTTTCTTTTCCCTTCTTTTTTCTTTTTCCTCATTTTCCCTGAGATATTATTTTTCCCCTTTAAGCAGATTCTTGTCCTTTCACTGTGTTTACTGAGTTTTTTGTACCCTTATGCACCCTTACTACTTCTTACGCTAGGGAGATTATATGGTATTTACACATGTGAGTTGGATTTATTTCACTTATGACTATGGTCTTGAGTCGCATCCATTTAGTTACAAAAATCTCAATTTAATCATTCTTTATTGCAGAGTAGTACTCCATTGTATAAAAATACCACATCTTTTGTATCCATTCCTCAGTTGATGGGCATTTAGGTTGTTTCCAAGATCTGTCTATTACAAATTGTGCTGATATAAAGATGGGGTGCACATATATCATGGTAATATGATATTTTCAGTTGTTCTGGGAATATGCCCAGAAGTGGAATAGCTGGGTCAAATGGGACTTCCAATCCCAGCTTTTTGAGGAATCTCCAGACTGACTTCCACAATGGTTGCACCAGTCTTCACTCCCACCAACAGTGAAGGAGAGTTCCTTTTTCCTTGCAGCCTCTGCAGCATTTGTTGTTGGTAGTTTTCTTTATCCTGGCCATTCTTTCTGGAGTGGGATGGAATCTCAGTGTGGTTTTAATTTGCATTTCTCTAATGTCCAATGATGCTGGACATTTTTTCATGTATTTATTTTCCATTTGTATTTCTTCATCTGAGAAATGTGTATTCATCTCAGATGCCCATTTTTGGACTGGGTCTTTGAATTTTGGGGATCTGATTAATTTAAAATTCTTTATATGTTCTGGACAGAAATCCTTTGTCTGAGGGACAGTTCAGTAAGATTTATGCCCAATTTGTGGGTTTTCTTTTCAATATGCAAGAGATTTCTTTCAAAATGCAAAAACTCTTTAATAGGTTGTAATCCCAGTTGTTGATTCTGTGAAGTATTTTGCATGCAGTTTGATTCTTGTTCAGGAATTCTCTACCTACGCCTATGTCTTCAAGATTTCTACCTATTTTGTCTTCCAACAAGTTTAGTGTTTCTGTTTTAATATTTAGATATTTGAGACATTTAGACTTTAGTACATGATGATAGGCATGGGTCTAGTTTTAGTTTTTGGCATATGGAGAGCACCATTTATTGAAGAGACTGTCTTTCTTCCAGGGGACATGTTTGGCCCCTTTATCAAAGATAAGGTGGTTGAGTGTGTTTGTGGTTGTAGTTGTATCTTCTAATCTATTCCATTTACCTTCAGGTCTATTTTTATTCCGATACCGTGTTGATTTTATTATAGTAGTTTTGTAGTATAACGTCAAGTCAGGGATTGTGATGCCTCCTGCCTTGCCTTTGCTATTCTAGGTCTCTTCTGGTTCCAGAATTTTAGGAGTGATTGCTCTAGATTTGTGAGATATGCTAGTGGTATTTTGATTGGGATTTCATTAACTCTGTATAACATTTTTTGTGAGAATGGTCATATTCACAATATTTATTATTTCTATCCATCAACAAGGGATATCTTTCCATTTTCTGAGCTCCTCTTTGATTTCTTTTTTCAGGGTATTATAATTTTCCCCGAATAGATCTTTTGCTTCTTTTGTTAGATTAATTTCTAAGTATTTCATTTTCTTGGATGCTATTGTAAAGGGTGTGGCTTCTCTTATTTCTCTTTCAGGGGTTTTCTTGTTAGTGTATAGGCATGCTATTTATTTTTGAGTATTGACTTTGTATCCAGCTACATTACTAAATTTATTTATTATTCCTAGGAGTCTTTCAAAGGAGTTTTGGGCATCTTCTATGTAGAGTATCATGTCATCAGCAAATAATGATAATTTAATATCTTCTTTTCCTATCCTTACTCCTTTTATTTCTCTCATGTTTAATTTTTCTGGTGACAATATTTCCAGCACTATATTGAATAAGATTGTGATAATGGACATCCTTGCCTTGTTCCTTTTTTTTTTTAGGGTTTGGCTATTTAATGATGCTGGCTGCTGGTTTGTTACAGATGACTTTTATCATATTGAGGTAAAAACCATCTATTCCAATTTTCTGTAAGTTTTTATCATGAATAAGTTTTGGATCTTATCAAAAGCTTTGATCATTAGGGAGATTGGCCTATAGCTCTCTTTTTTAGTTGGGTCTTTCTCAGGTTGTAGTATTAGAGTAATGTTTGCTTCCAGGAATGAATTAGAGAGAATAGTTTCCCTTTCAATTTCACTGAAGAGTTTCAGAGTGTCAGCATTAAATTTTCTTTGAATTTCTTGTAGAATTGCACAGTAAATCCATCTGGACCTGGGCTTTTCCTTGTTGGTAAGGATTTAATTACATTTTCAATTTTGTTAATTGAAATTTGGTTATTAAGCAGTTTTACATCTTCTTGACTTAGCTTTGGTAATGTATATGTTCCTAGGAATCTGTCTATTTCTTCTGTGTCATCAAGCCTATGAGAGTACAGGTTTTCAAAATAGGTATTGATGATCTTCTGTATTTCCAGAGGATCTTTAGTGATTTTGCCTTTTCCATTCCTTATTGCATGAATTTGAGTTTTTTCTGTCCTTTTTAAAATAAGATTGGCTAGAGACCTGTCAATTTTATTTATTCTTTCAAAGAACCATCTCTTAGATTCATTGATTCTTTGGATTGTTTTCTTAGTCTCTATTGCATTGATTTCTGCTCTGACCTTTATAATCTCCACCCTTCTTTTGGGCTTGACTTGGTCTTCTTTTTCTACATGTTTGGGGTGTAGCATCAAGTTGTTTATTTGTATTCATTCTGTTTTCCTGATGTGGGAGTTCACAACAATAAATTTTCCTCTGAGGACTGTTTTCATTATGTCCTGCAGGTTCTGGTAAGATGTATTTGTATTTTCATTTGCCTATAGATATTGTTTAATTTATCCTTTAATTTCTTCTGTTACCCTCTTATTGCTCAGGAGTATATTATTCAATTTCCATGTGTTTGTGGGGCTTTTGCAATTTCTTTTTTTCCTTAATGTCTAGTTTCAGGGCACTATGATACAATAACATGCATGGGATAATTTCAATTCTTTTGCATTTACTTAAGCATGTTTGTGGGCTAGTATATGGTCTGTTTGAGAGAACGTTCCATGTTCTGCTGAGAAGAATGTATATTCTGATGTTGTTGGATGGAACACTCTGTATATGTCTACTAAGTCCATTTGTTAACAAGTATGATTCAGTTCTGTTATTTCTTTGCTGATTTTCTGTCTAGTAGATCTGTCCCTTTCTGTCAATGGTGTGTTAAGGTCTCCTATTATAATTGTGTTATTGCTTATTTGATTTTTCATTTCTGTTAATATTTGTTTTGTATAGCTGGGTGTTCCCAAATTTGATGCATAGATATTTAAGATTGTTATCTCTTCCTCTTGAAGTTTTCCCCTATCTAGTATGTAGTGACCCTCTTTATCTCTCTGGATCATTCTTGGTTTGGAGTTTACATTGTCTGCAAACAGAATAGCTACCCCTGCTTTTTTCGTGATTTTGTTGCATGGAGTATTGTTTTCCACACTTTGACTTTCAGTCTATGAGTTTTCTTTTGGGTTAGATGGGTTTCCTTTATATAGCATATGGTTGGATGTTGTTTCTTGATCCATCCTGCCAGTCTGTTTCTTTTAATTGATGAATTGGGGCCATTTACATTATGGTTATAACCAATATATATTGGTTTACTTTTGACATGTTATCTTTCTGCTGTTGAATCTTTACCTTTCCTTTACCTTTACCTTCTGTTTAATTGTTTGCCTTGCTTAGTGGTTTTTTCCTACGTCTGTCTACAATGTCTTTCCATATGCTTTGCAGGTATGGTTTGGTGGTTATGAAGTTGTTCAGCTGTGTTTTGTCATGGAAGTATCTTATTTCTCCATTGATTTTGAAGAACAGTTTTTCAGGGTACATCAGTCTGGGTTGGAAGTCATTTTTCTTTAGGATCTGGAATACTCCTCTCCATCCTATTCTTGAATTCATTTTTTGTGTTGAGAAGTCTGCTGTAATTCTGATAGGCTTTCCTTTATAGGTGATCTGTCTCTTCTCTCTAGTAGTTTTTAATGTTCTGTTCTTATGTTGGATTTCTGGGATATTGATTATTGATTATTATATGTCTGAGTGTAATTTTCTTTTGGTTGTGGTTATTTGGAGTTCTATATGCTTCACTGATCTATGTGTCAGTTTCCATTCTCATGTTTGGGAAATTTTCAGCTATTACTTCTGTAAATAGCCTCTTGATATCATTTGTGCTGTCACCTTCCTTTCATTTATCCCTATCAATCTTATGTTGTTTTTCTTTGCATCATCTTGAAGTTGTTTATTTCCTGGTTCCTTGTTATTTTTAAAAGATCTTTCTTTTCCTTTTCACTAGCTGCAATCTTGTTTTCAAGGTTTGAAATTCTATCTTCACTTTCATTGAGGAAGTTTTGCCAACTTTCGATGGAATTTTTGATTTCCTATATATCTCTTTGAATCTGCTTCATACCTTCTGTTTGTTCCTTATATTAGTCATTCAGAGTTTCCATCTTTTTGCATTGTTCCTCTAATTTTTTTAACTATGTCTTCTTATATATGTTCAGCATTTCTTTCATTACATTTATCATTTCTTCTTTCACCTGGGAGACTATTTCTGATCTGAGTTCTTTTATAGCTTCCCAAAGTTGTTTCTTTACTTCAGTTATCATTTCAAGAATTTCAGGTGAATGGCTTTTAATTTGTTCTGTGTCCATGTCTTCTACGCTTGCTTGGATTGGGCTGGAAGTTTGAGATTGCATTTTGCTCTAAAGTTTTGTCAGTTTCCTATATTCTTGGATTTCAAGTGATGTTTCAAAGCTTCCCCCTTGCACTGGGAATAATCTGGGTCACTTTTGGCTCCTGGGGCAGACTACAGGCAACTGCTAACCATTTGGAGTTCACTGGGCATGGGCCAGTTAGGCCTGCGGGGACTCCCATGCATCCTAGGGTGATTTCAGACATGGAGAGTGGTCTTACTGCCTGGGAATGAAGTTCCAAGGTTTCCCTGTGTGCTGGGATTCAACCTGCATGTGCGTTCACAGCCTGGGACTGGATTCCAGCCCCTGCTAGCTCCCTTTATTTTTTGTATCCTTTCCAAATTTTGAACATTTTGGCCTTTTTCAGACAGAGTTTTACTATGTAATGCAGGTTGGACTTGAACTTGTTTTGTAGCCTAGGCTGGCCTTCAACTCACAGCAGTCCTTCTGAGTGCTGGGATTACAGGCATGCACTACTACACCTGGCAAGTTTTGAAATCTTTAAGGATTGACACCTCATGTTAATTCCTATTTAACATTCACAGCCCACCACAGTGCAGGCAAATTGCAGACAGTTTTATGAAAAGAAGTAGGAAGAAGGGAGAGAACATAGGTAAGTTAAAGAAAAAGGGACTTAAAAGACCATCTAGTCAGACTGTATGTTACAAATAAAAAACACAAAGGGAGTAAGGGACCCTTGAAAGCTCCCATTGTTTCCTCAGGGCAAAAGTTTGGCAAGACTTACTGGAGACCCTGCTGGGCCCTGTGCACCTTCAGAGCCTGGATCTCCTCTGGTTCCTTTAAGACCTGGAAAACCTCTGACACCTTGTGGCCCAGGCAGGCCCGGTTCCCCGCGTGGTCCAGTGTTGGTGACACCACCATCACAAGTGCAAAAACCCAAGTCCCCTAGGGGAAAAACAGACAATGTAAAACAAAGTAGGCCCTCTTTTGCAAGAAAAAAAAAAACTGATAATAGTTATTTGTGGCTTTGAGGGAATCAAGAGGCCTGAAGAGAAGAGACTCAAATGAACACATTTAGAGTATGTCTTTGAGAAGTGTGGTGTAAGGTCCAGTTATCAGTGTGTCTAATGTGTAGCTGGGGTACATCAGTAACTTATACCTAACTGAGTCTAGCATTGAAGCCACTCAAAGATTATCACCACCAAAGTGGTTTTTCCCCTTGATTCTTGCATACAGCACAGGGATTTTCACAAAGTACCTTTAAGAAGATATCAAGGAGTCACTAGCATATAGCTCCATCACCTTTTCCATGCTTATGGTCTGGAGAATAAGAATTAGTAGCAACACAAGTGGCGGTGAGTTTCCCTAAGATCCTAAAAGATCTCTTCTTAGTTTTAGTAAACTAATAATCCTCAAAACTCTGAAAGAACAGTCTGTTCTTCACATTATCATATGTTGAGCTTAGATGCTCTGAAATATGAAATATTTTGGATTTTATGTTTTTGGTTAGGAATGCTCAGTCAGTAAGGTCTATGGACCTTACTGGAAGTAAGGTACACTCAAAAGTCTGAAGGATATGAAATCTGAAACACTTCTGGTCCAAACATTTTGGATGAGTCATATTCAACTTGTACTTATCAAGTGTGAACCATGGACCTCCTACATGAGTCACCTGTGATGTCTGTTTATAAAGTAGCTTTCTGAGCCCCAACACAATCATAATCAGTCAGATTCTCAAGAGGCCAAACACAAGAATTTAATTTTTAATAATTTCCTCTAGGAAATCATGTATGATGGATCTTGACGATTACTCTCACTAGTGTAGATTTGAAGAAAACCTTTAGGTCCCATGGACATACTGAATTGGCAGTTGTCTCTGTTTTTGGAATGCTAATAGTATTTAGAAAAACATCAGCTCTGTGTTCAGTCAGGGAAGGGCCAAAATTAACATCCCAAGTCTAGCCTTGCAATTTAGTGTCCTTTACTGCTCAATCTTTGTTATTATGGTTTGGATTGAGAATGTTCCCTAAAGCCTCATGTGCTCATAGGTAGGGCTTCTGGAAAGTGATTGAATTGTGGGTGATAGGGCTGACTTGCTCTTAGGATCTGGTCTGAAAAGACAGGTCCCTGGGGGTGTGATCTGGGAGGGTATGTCTACATCCTCAGTTCCTTTCTTTCTCTGTGTGTTTCCTGGCTACCAGGACTTGAGCAGCTTTTATCCACAGCAGGCCCTTTCACTATCTTTGAGTCTATCAATCATGAACTGTAACTGGGAAACAAAATAAACATCTTTGTGTTGTGAGTATCACAATTTATCCCAGCAACAAAGAAAGTGATCAATTCAGTCTTCCTTGGATTCGAATAGCAGAGATCAAGATTTCTGAATTTTCTGATCTATGTCAAGACCCGAGAGTCTAAAACATCACTACTTCCATATTTAGTGACATTTTATGACAGGGGAATAAGAAAGGAGAATAGTAAGTTAGAATTTCACCATTTGAGGCTGAGGAGAGCTATTAATTCCTGGAGAAAGGAGGAAAGATCTCAGATAACCCAAACCCTTAGGCCAGTGGTGGGGAACCTATGGCACATAACCCACAGTGGGTTGTCTGTTATTTTTGAAATGTATAAAAGGTTTGCCATCATTGCTAGACCATCTCTAAACCTATCTTCAGTCCATAGCTTCACTTCCCTCACCATCCTGGTTTGGGGTACAACCATAAAATACTGACTTATTTGAACATCTTCCCCTCAGAGGAAGGAATGAAGAAGCACTCAAAGGTGGTAAACAGATGGAGAGATACAGTGCAGTGTTAAATGCTCTGTAGCATCAGTGGAAACTTGAGCTGTTTCCTTGGAGCAGTTGACTTTTTGAGTCTCAGGTCTTGACATGTTCAGAGCCCTTTGCTTTATGCTGAAGGTGATGATAAGTGGCTTCCAGCCTTGGCTTTGCAAACTGGGAAGGGCTGTGCTGGCCAGTACTCTAGGCTGCCAGCAAAAGCATCTGTAGGTTTAGTGCTAAGAAGAGAAGCCTGTCAATCACTTTGTCCTATGTGAACTCAGCTATCAGCCTCAGACTTATTTATAGCACTTCCAAGAATCCTATAATCCAATCCTTTCTCGAAACCTATGTTGCTTCCATTTGAGTTCCCAAGGCTATTGGTTCACTCATTCCCCCACAAAGTCTTGTCTAAGAAGTGTGGAGTACAAAGAAACTGAAAATCACCTTTTACTCCTTTGCGGCCTGGATTTCCTTTTAGACCTTGTTCTCCTCGGAGACCAGGGAACCCTGTCCCTGTGCCATTTAGAGTTCCAGTCTTAGATGGTGGACCTGTAGAAAAAAGGAATGTGAAAGATTAGCAGCTCTTAATGCAGTCAGTACAGCAGCTTAATCATGAAGGTCTGGGTTCTTAAGCCTCAGCACCCAGAGCAGAAACCAAAATATCAAGGGATGACAAAATTCTCTGTTGTCTTGACTCACTCTACTATTTTTTTTTTTTGTCTTTTTCCTTTTTATTGGTACCAGGGATCGAACTCACGACTGCCTGCTTGCAAGGCAGGCGCTTATGCCGCTGAGCTAAATTCCCAGCCCCTACTCACTCTACTATTTATAAAATCTCTACCGTCTTCCAGATACTGGACTAGACATTGAGCATTCTGAGATGAGCAAAGTAGCACAAATAACTCAGAAGATTCCATATTTACTCCAGAAAGCCCCCTTATGACAAAGGAGGAATGAGGTATAAGCTTCAGTGGTTAGGTTATTTAGGGTACAAAGAAGCATGCTGGGTAATATTCCCAGCCTTTCTTTCAGAATCTAGAATCTCATATTCATGTATAAGATCTGAGGCAAACAGGCCATTGGAGGTATTATTTATTTGGCCTGGGATAGAATCTAGGGTTCGTGCATCCCAGGCAAATACTTCACCATTGAACTAAACCACTGGCACCTTATGTAGACTTTTGGGCAGCTACACTGAGGAAACAGCCATGACTTCTCCTCTCTTAGGTGCTTAGCACTCCCACTCCCATCTGAGCCTTCTAGTCTAGAGGAAGCTCAAAAGAGTCAATGCTGTTTCTCCATGTGCTGAAAAGCTCAAGGATCAGGAAGGCATTAGATCCTTGGTGTTTGATCATTATGATAGCCCTTGCTTGCTTGTTCTTTGATGAAGAACACTTTGCTGTGTAGCTGACATCAGGAGAAGCAGGGCTTACCCAGAGAATATAGAAACATTTTTTGGCAGGATTTCTAGATTTATCATATACCCTGAATGAGCAGTTTCTCTGTGAGAAGCTCCCTCAAAAATCATGATCTTTTCATACTGTGAATCACACCTGAGCCTCAAGACCAAAGAAAATATGAACAACTTGCCTGGTGGGCCTGGTAGACCTGGTAGGCCTGGCAAACCAAGTCTGCCAGGAAGGCCGGCTCCTCCAATTGTGGTATGGCCAGGGTTTCCTTGGTCCCCCTTCAGACCGGGAAGTCCCTGAGGCCCTATCACACCAGGCACACCTGAAAAGATAAACCCACACAAAGATGTTCATATTACCCTACTCCCAAGGGTCACTCTGATCAGTGGCATGTGTGAGAAGGAACTTGAGGGAAGAATTTGGGAAATCATTTGCTTTTCTCTTACAATGAAGTTAGAAAGTTCTTTAGGGTTTACTTCGCTTAAGCTATTAGGAAACTTAGGCCCAAAGGAGAAAGGAAACACAATCAGAGACACAGTTTCTTAGTGGCAAACTCAAGAAGAAAACCTAGCTCTCTAGCCTTCAATTTCTGGATTTATTTCCACCTTGGCACTTGGCCAGCTATAGCTTTCGCTAGTGGATATTTTAAAAACTAATATCTTTAACTGTGCTTATGTACAAGAAATTTAGAAACCAGGAACTTTAAGAAATAATGTCTTAAGTTTTATGTTTGGGATAGCCCCACCTGTAGATTCTGGCGTGATCTTTCTCTGCTGGCTACTATAGTATGACATTTGAGAATGCTTCTCTGATGATTGGTTCAAGGGTGTCACTCATTAAATCCTGGGACCATTTAGTGCCTGATTTAAGCCTAGACTGAAAGTCTGGGAATAAATTAGACCCTGTGTTTTCATCAGACTCTCCTGGAAAGCATTAGCTATGATGACACATTCACAGAAGGACAAGGCTCCAGCTACTCAACTCAGACCTCTGGTAGCTGAAAACCTCAATGAAAGTCTGGAATTGTTTGTCCAGCTGTGATACATCATTTGAGTCAAAGGAAAGCTCATGTAGGACTCGTACACAGGCACTATGCCTGCATACATTAGCACTGATAACCCATCTGCTTATATAGAAGGAGAACTCATCTGCTTATATAGAAGGAAATGCAAGGAACAAGAGTGGCTAGAGGAGTGATGTGTGCAAAGGATGAGTTTATTTTACCTGGCAAAGCTGGAAGGCCAGGGATGCCAGAAAGGCCACGTTGGCCGTGAATGCCTTCATCTCCTTTAATGCCCGGGGGTCCTGGCATACCAGGATCTCCAGGATAACCTGGAATTACAATGAAAAAAATTACTAAACTTAATGGTGAGCCACAATGCTGCAAAATTCCCAAGAAGTGATCCAGAGAGCTGTTTAGGGCTAGAAGATTCTTTCTTGTTCTTTCTAGATCTCTCAAATGCTAATAGTGGTAATAGGCCTATAGGAGCTAAGGGTCCACTAGTTTTCAGAATTTGTCTGGTTAAGGCTTTCTTTTCATTAGATCTGTTAAGCACTAGGACAGATCTTTTACTACTACTAATCTGTAATGCTCATCATTTGGATTAAAATGTCCGCTATTTACCTTATGCATATAGGTTTCCTAGGAGTGGGACACAGGAAGTTCCTATCAACTATTTATTAATCGGACAGGGCATGGACTGGATATGAAAGGAGAAGAATAAGTTAGGGAAACCCAGGTTGAAGAGGCACTGTAGTAGAAGCTTTTGATCAAGCAAGAAGTAGCTGAAAATACTGGGTATTTGGATCTTTGGAGAAGACAAGGGAAAGAAGTGGATATGCACAGTAAATAGCTAAGAAGAGAATAACACAAACTTTCTAAGTATCACGCAGTTAAAGACTCTCAACAATTTTTCCCCTTAGTCAAAGATACCTTCCCACTTATTATGAAATTTTCAAGTTTGAGCACGCATGAGATCATTTACATAAGACCCTGAGTATCCCATAGTATTGGGCTGAAGCCAATCAGACTGGGGAGGATATTGATTTTTCTCTCAGCATAATCAGGAGTATAATTTTTGTAAACCAAACTCAGGCCCAGGCAGATCAAAATTCTAATCTTAATGGACCCAATATAAACATGTGAGGTTAAGTTTGGTTTCTCTGCCTGAGATTGGAATCTGCTTCATTCTTTAACCTCAGAATGTGTGAAGGACTCTTAATAGTGTCAGCAATTCAGTAACTGACAAAGTATCTTTTTAAAATTACCAGGGACATAGAATTTAACACCTTGCTTTTATTCTCTGGTCAAATCAGTTAAGTGTTGTACCTGAGATCATAGCACCATCAGCACTGGTGAAAACATCTGGACCTGGCAGGCCACTGGCACCCTTTTCACCCTGCAAAGATTAAATTGAACACAAATACTTTTCTGACCTCATTGTAGATCTATGTGCTATCAAAGTCAATACCCAGAAAAAATGAAAAGTTTCTTTCTTTTCTGTGACCCCTGATTTTCAGGATAAACTAGTCAAAGGATTAATTAATTTTAATGTCCAATAAAATTGGAGATGAAGGGAATACAAGGCAGGCTAGAGGATCGACACTCAACTGCAAACCCATCAAGGAAAATGAATTCTAATTTTATTTTGCAACATCAGTTAAGGTCATTCTGCTTCTCAGCCTGGGAAATATAGCACTGGCATAAAAAAGTTGGCTATATCTAAGAAATGCTAATGAAGGAACTTGATGTCAATTTTTTCCACTCTTAACAGGACCGAGCTTTTACTAGTGTTACTATCCTTTTTAATACATGATGTCAGACAATTGAAATCAAAGGAGTCCCTGTTTTCCGAAAGGGAGACCAAGTACCAGAATCAGATGCAATGGAATGCCCACAATAGGTGGTAGGAGCTGTCTGGCAATAGGAGATACATTATCTACAAGGAATTAAAAAAGACTAATAAAACCTAAAAGTTGATAGTATCTGAGGAACGATCACTAACTTTGTGTGTTCTAAGTTGATTGCATGCATTTTTTGAGAAAAGACATCAAATTATTAGAAACATTTCATCTCACATGTAGACTTCTTCACCTTTCCACCCCCTAACTCTAGCTTTTCACTTCTCAACATTACCTTAATTCCTGGGAGTCCATTGAACCCAGAAATACCTGGAGACCCCTTCTTGCCCTGTGACAGAAACATAGTTATTGCTAAATTCAAAAGAGAGGTTTGTCTTTGGATTAGGCCAGGTAAAATAGCACAAGAAGCTTGGGTGGCATGGCTTGTTCTTCACTTTGGAAGTTATAAAGTCTTCCAGAAGACTAGGTAGTCAACTTGTATATTTAGTAGGTACAAAGATCACACAGCTATGGATATAAGCAGGCTGGCCTTACTAGCCCTTGATAACATGTCAAAGATGTATTACCACATTTCACATGTGACACTGAATACCCACCATCTTGGGGGAAAACAAGAGTGGTTAATATTACAAGATTATATTATTAAAGGAAGGTGAACAATTTTTATTATAAGTAGGGTCTCCATTAGGCCATGTTAAGTAAAGCAGAGGGGACTTTAGATTAGCATTTCATGTATTAAGGCTTTACTGACATTAACCAAAATACCTTTGTTCCTGGAGGGCCTGGCACTCCCTCTGAACCCATAGGACCCTGAAAAGAGAATAACCACACTTATAAAGATTAATAACTTGTACTTTGAAAAGCTACTGAACTTAAATAATAAAGTTATCTGAGTTAAAAATTCAGTGGCTTTAAAAAATCAGGTAAGTGAATGTTCCTAGACCTGGCTTGATAACTTCTTTCTAAGAATTAATATATGATGCTGAATAGCCACATGAAGCATTTTAAAAATAAATGGAAATATTTTAAATAGTAGGTAGAATTTAGCAGAAGGGCTAGTGATACTATACTTAGGCTGCATTAGTTATGTCAGAAAATTTTTAAATAGATTATGAGAGGGCCTCCATCCCAAGTACGTTTCTTGTTCATGATCATGTGTTTTCAAGACAACAGAGAGGGAAAAGTAAAGAAAGAAATAGCATAGTAATGGGTAAATCGATACTCAAAAGGGCTCTTAAAAAATCTCAGTGACAAGTTAAAAACATACTTCTTTAAAATGTTATTCTTCACAACTAAGATTTGCTAACTGCTTGAGGCTCAAGATTTAAGTACCTATCTAGGAATCAGAGAGGTTGTTATTATTTCCACTCAGGATAAGATTAATGTTGGAAACTGCTGGTGCTAAACATTACTCATTATGCTTTAGAAATTTCCAGGCTTAGGAAGTTTCTATCCTATAAAGATACTTCCATTCGTGTGTCACCCTCTTGCCCACATTCCCTTGGAATAGAATGAGATGGAAAGTAAGATTACTCTTGCAATATTCTTTAGCCAGAAGATAGGTATACATGAAGAAAACCAGAGTAAATAAGCAGAAGAGCCCCTCACAGTAGGGGGTACCTCATTTCTTGTTCAAGGAAAACAGTCAAAGGAATGAAGCTAAGTGGAAAGAAGAGGTCTTAGAAACCTGCCAAAGAGCTGATGAGAAATAAGAGAGGCTTAGGTGGCTATCAAATTACATAATATAAAGGACTAAACAGGAAAGAAAACAGACTTGATAGACTCAGGCAGGAACATTCCAAGCTCATACCCTAGGCCCTGGTAAACCAAGGATTCCTTTTTCTCCTTTTCCTCCAATAGATCCAAATTCCTAAAGGAAAAAACAAATCACATGTTGTAACACTAATTTTCTCATAGGTCTCTTGGCTCCACAGAAAGTGGTAATTTCAAACCAGCTCCACTGTCTTGTTAGGGAGGTATATTATGTTAAATCCCTCTATCGATGTCTAAAAAGCACATAGGGCCTGAATATAATTTGGACCATTCATCCAACAGTCTTCTTTGTTCCTACAAGTGATATAATTTCTACTGTAACAGTATTCATGTTTTTATAGTATCATGAGTTTACAAAAAGAGGAATAATAAAATATCTAACCTTATTGATTTTACAAGGTTAAGATCAATGAGAAAGATAGATTTTCTGACTTCCATTCCAGGGCCATTTCCACGGTAACTGGGTACTTTCTACCACCTAGAAACTTGCCTTTTTCACCCACAAATGGAGTATTATGCATATCCTTAGAAGTTAATACTAAAGATAATGTTTTTCCCTTGCAAGACACGATGACTACATTCTTTCCCATGAGAAGGAGAATTTCTACCAAGTCATGGTCTGGAACTCTGCACCTCTATACCCCTGGGACCTTAAGGTTCTTACCTTCAGAGCTCAGATTTGGGCAAAGAATATTTAGATCCATTGTAAGCGTAAAGGAGGCAGTGTTGCTTCATCAAATGTAAGCTTGTGAAAAGACACTAATTGTCATGATACATCTCTTGTTGTGTTCTTCACGTGACCTGGCTTAGCTGGTGTGAGGCCACTGTTAAACTCCCATTTGTAGCTTATTCTTCCTTTTGTATGCTCCATACATTTCCAATGGGTACTTAAAGCTGTATGAATACACCCTGGTTTTCTAGTTCATAGATTTATTTATTTATTTATTTAGTGGGGAGGGTATGTGTCTGTGAAGAGTCCAAATTCAAAGTAGACTTTGCCTTATGTTTCCATTCATTTGTTGGAATGGTTTTATCCTGGGTTGTTTGACTTTATTGTCTGTGATGGTATGAACAGCTATTTTGGCAAAAACAAGACATTATAATAGCCAGTGCTGATTTAATATCATCTTGTTTTGAAGTCCTACCATACTTTTGTTCTCCTGTTTCCATTGGTTCTATCATATAGCATTTTATTGGATTTTATCATGTGTGGTAGTATAAACCATTTTTATGGACAATGGGATAATATAGTAACCACTGTTCATTTTCTGTTATTTGGTTCTGAATGCCCTGTAATATTTTCATTCTCCTTAATGGTTTTATACTATTTTGTTATGTTTAATACTATTGTGTATGAAGGTACGTTCAACTATTTCAAGGAAAGAGACAGTATGGTAGCTAATATTATATCGGGTTGTCTTGTGGTGAAATACTGTGTTGCTTAAATTGTTCTGTTCTGATCTGCTTTGTTATGTCCTATTTTATCTTAATCTCTTTAAAATAAAAATATAAAAAAAACAAAAACCAAAGTAGACTTTGGTTTCTATTTGTCTCTTCTCTTTTCTACATTAATATTTATTTGTCAAATAGTTCAGCCACCATGACGAATTGAATTTTTAATTTGAAAAGATTATGACATAAACTGAAGGCAAGTTTATTTGAAACTTTAGCTTTCTGTATTTCAAATTGGAAACTAAGACATGCTGCCCTCTGGTGGAATGTGCCTCTGCGGTTAAACTTCAAACAGCTTTCCCTTTCTGTCTATGAAAACTATGGCAACTGGTGCCACCTCAAACTCTTAAACCACTAAGATTGACTATGAAAGTTTTGTAAACATAAGTCCTCTATCACATTCTTGTTTTCCTTCAAAGCATGTTATTACTGTCTGAACACATACATGACAGTGCAGCAAATACTTGTTGAATTGAATGAAACAATGATCTAGAGAACTGTATCAAAGGATAAAGGAAAGAACATCCTGGAACTTTCTCATACCCCTGCCTATCTTGGCCATAGGTAATAATATGAGAGCTTGCATTCCTTTAGGAAGCAGACTTTGCATTCTTGCTTTCTCAGAGAGAGTCTAAGAGCTTGCATCAACTAAAGTAAATAAGTGGAAAATGTATGAAGGAAACATAACAATAAAGTAATTTGTGTATGTATTAGAGTCAATAAAAGATAAAAGATTTGGCAGGACACTGTGCTGTAGGCTCAACCTGTCTTCTAGTATGCGGAGGTACAGTAAAGGGACTTTGTAGAACAATCTGTTCTATCAAGATGCCCTGGGGCCAGCATGTCCCAGTTTGTCCTCCATGTGAGTGATCCTGCATTTTGTATTGGTTTCTCCCATGCTCATACTTGTCTACAGCCCATCAGGGTTCCATTATAGCACTAGCTTAGCTCTTTACAGGTCTGCTCTCCTGGATCCTGGGCTCTTGATACTTTTTGATTCTAGGGAAATTTCACTGAAGGAGATCTCACCTATGTAGTAGTTATTTCAGAACCACTCAGCAGTTACTTCAAGGATTTACCAATTTCTTCTCTTCTCCCTCCCCTCATTTCATCCAGTTTACTTTCCTCTATGTTTGCTGTTATCTTGGGTAGAGGACATAGGGGTATACAGTTTTCTTTGGAAATCTCCATGGGATGACCTGTGGCTTACAAATGTCAGTGTGCTGCTGGGGACAAAGGGATGGAATGCATAAAGCTGAGATCGTGCCAGGAAATCAGAGACTGCTGATGGGGTCAGAGAAAGAATGCGAGGCATAAGTCCACCAGATTGGACAATGTCTCCTGCAAAGAATCGGGCTCAGATAGGAAAGAAACAAGTGGTTAAAGGGAACATTTTGAATTCCCTAGAGATTTCCGTCCTCAGCACAGCCTTGTTTTTCAGTGAGCATATATAATTGAAACCTGATGTGAGAGCTTTGGATTCAAGAAGTGTGTTTCCTCTGAAAAGTCTTGAATGCCTCATAGGGTTTTATCACCTTTCTCTTCGTAACTTTCCTGCGAAGCACATAAGGTACCAAAGAATGTTCCAATTAAGCAGAGATATCAGAGCAAAAGAGTTACATGATTTGGCCAGAGTCACACATATCTGTGTTAAAATGGGCTGAGAACACTAGTTTCTTGGTGTTCGCCTTATGAAAATGTGCTGTTTTGTATAAAGGGAGATACTGTCCAGCTTTGATGTCTTTACAACTGGAGTTCCTATTTTCCATTCTCCACCGTGAAACTGAAAACACTGGGCTTGAAATGGTATTGCAAGAACCAGGGTGTGTTGGCCTCTGCAAGTCTCTCTTTCTTTTGCAGGAGAAAAGGGAGTGCATTGAAATTGCAGCAGAGATCCTTTGAGATTGAACTGAAGAAAACGGGAGGTAGTCACCACGACCTAGGGAATCCCAAAGTGGCCGAGAAGATCATAAAATATTTTCTTAAAAATTTAGAGTCCAAAACCAATTTGAATGAACTGGACTGTAGAGGGCAGCATGGTATGGGTAAAAATCCTGAACTGGCAGAGCTGAATATCAGTTTCACATCCCCTAGTGAAAATCCTGTCAGCTTCTTCTTCAAAACACATTTTGTGATTCAAGATACACCAATAAAATGTAATGTATTGGTATTGCTTGTTTTCTCATTCAAACAAAGTACCTGTAAGGATATGTGGCTATATATGACAATTATAAATATGAATTTTGCCTTGTTAACTGATATTAAATAACTGCTGATAATTACTGATGATGATATGGCCACTATGTTTTTAAAATTCACTGTCTCCTAGAAATATTGAAATATTTATGATGAAATGATATGTCTGTTATTTGCTGCAGATTGGCCATGCTAATTGTTGAAGCTGGGTGATAGGTATATAACAGGATCATTATAATATTCTGTCTGATTTTGCATAAGTTCAAAAATGTTCAATAATAAGAGATTTATTGCATTCACATTTTGAATCTATCCCCTTTGGTCGATTTCTCATTGCTATGATCACAGTCTAAGACACTGGTATCATCTTTTGCATCTACTGCAATAGCTATTCCATCACTCCCTCCTCCTTTCCGCACTCAACAAGAGTGATCTTAAGAACACAAGCTAGTGCACTTGAATGGTTTCCTAGTACCCTTAAAAGCCACATTTGACCTACAAACCTGGCTGTGAGCTAGCTCCTGTGTCTCTGCCTGTTTCTTGAAGTTACTTGTTTTGTCATGCCCACTCCTTGGTGTTCCTCCAAACTACTGAGCTTTTTCTAACCTAAAGGTACTTGTACTAAACTCTCTAATCTTTATATGACTTGCTCCCTCACAATGTGCAGGTGCCAGCTCCATGTATCATATCTTCAGAGAGGTCTTTTTGATTACTGTATTCCCTGTGGGCCATCCTACTCCCCATCCAAACTTCCTCATTTTACTCATTTTCCTTCTTTTACATATCTCCATTACATGAACATGTTTGTTTGCTTGCTTTGTGGTACGGGAGATGGAACCCAGTGCCTCATACATGTCAGGAAAGCACTTTACCACTGAACCACACTCCCGGACCATTCTTAGACTCATCTCTTCACTTGTTTATTTTCCATATCATCTTTCATTTTCCCATTAGAATGTAATCTCAAGGACAGGAACTTTTTTCTAGTTAGCATTGTAGCTTACAAGGCCAGTGTTATGGATTAAGAACTGGTGGTCAACTTAATGCCAGCTGGATTACATCAGCATGGCACTGAGCAAAGATGCTCCACCTGAGGAAAGTAGCCAGCATAAATAAAGAGGTGGAGAAGAAGGAAGTTGTTGAGGCGTTGAAGCGTTGAGGCATTGAGGCATTGTAGCATTGTGGGTTCTCCTAGAGCCCTTGGTTCACCTGGAGAAGCTTTGGTCCTCACATCGAGCATTGCTTCCTGGCTCCAGAGGGGAAGACGTGTGCTACTTAGTCTCTAGGATGAACTCGTCACGCTGCTTCCTGGCACGTACCCAACTGTGCTTGTCCTCGGAGGAGCCCAGGGCCTCCGTGTCGCTGAGGATGGCTGTGGTGCCTTTCAGGACAGCTCTGGTCTTTGTTGTGAGCACGACTTCTCGGCTCCAGCATAGAGCCCTCATCCCACCAGCACAGCTCCTTTATCCCGCTGGCATAGACTTTCTGGTTTCCACCGCTGAACTTTGGGTCTTCCTGGCACGGATCCATAAAAGAGACTGGCGTGAGGCCTTCTTGTGGGTTCTGGACCTCCAGTTGGACTCATGAGAGGCATTGTCATGAGCTCTGAGTTTTCATCTAGACTCATGTGGGACATAGCGGTGGGATTTAGGCTCTCCACTAAATATTCTATGTCTTTGGTGTTGCGGACAGATTTCCTGCATTTTCTTGTGTTAACTCCCAGTGACCATTATAAAAAATAATATTATAAACTCCATGTCCTGATTCTAATTGTTCTCAGTGCACAACCCCTGACTACAACAGCCAGCAAAATATATAGCACATAAGATCCTCAAAAGGTATTTATCCAGTGAAAGAGTCTAAGTTAAAAAGGCAGAATCAAAAGTGAAGATAAGATTACTAAGAATAGTTATCATTTACTGAACACTTGATAAGTGTCAGGCATGTGTGAAATCTTTTTTCATACATACATTTAGTCTTCAAAACCACCCTGTCCCTTTTTAGTAGGTTAGGAAACTGAAACTCAGAAACCTACAAAACTTTTTAAAAAGCTAGAATATGATAAAACCAAAAGTCAGTCCTACTGACTGGTAACCTGTAAGTCATATATCCCTGTGTAGAAACATGTTAATATCCCTGCAAGTTAAAGAAACAAGAATCTTTACTTAAACATCTTCTAACAGTGATGTTTGTAACATTCTCTCCAATAACTGTGGGAAGAGGTTTTCCTGTTAGCATCCTAGTGCTGCAGATTCTGTCCACTCAGATCCCTGAATACATGTCGACCAAGTATGAGGATTTACCTGGAAGCCTGGAGGGCCAGTCATGCCTGGGGGACCAGGAGGTCCTGATTCACCCTGAAAAATTAATCAAAGGCTGGCGAGTAGCAATAGGAAAAGGTGAACACAAAGAAGAATGACTCCATTAACAGTATTTGGGCTAACGAGGGGGGAACCAATGGATAGCAAGATTGGAGTACCAATAGTGGTGCAGATCCCCACACTTGCCAAGTGTTAGCTGTATGAGGATGTTTATGTTTAGGGAGGCCTTTGCCATGTGGGAAGGAGCAACATCCCTGACTGTTTAAAATAGAATCTCAAATATACAGGCTAATTGGGAGACATAAAGGATGGTTATTTCATTTTCTTTAGGCTGTTCACTTTGGTTTCTCATAGCAAATTACAGGCTGCAGAAAAGTCAGTGCTTTTGAGAAAAGGATAACAATTACAATTTGAATAGGGTCACATACATAACATTTTACTCTTTCTTTCCCTAATATTCTAATTTATCTATCTGTGCCATGGAAAGATTCCCTTAGGTTTGGGAATGATCAAGGTGCCAGACAATTTTATACACCCTGAGACTGTTTCTAAATCTTATTTTTTCCTATAAACCTAGAAGGGCCTAGAGGCATTGCTTCTACAAAGACAATATTAAAGGAGTGAGACCAAACATATTTCCCTGCTTGGGCCCCTTAATCATGGCAACAGAAACATACAACTCAAAAGAACTGCACAAAAGAAGGAAATTCAGGTTTCTAAACAGAATACAGTAATTCAGACACAACAATGTATATATTATGTATCCATTCACACAAAAATTTGAATTATAAGATAGCTCAGGTAAAGTACTCTATGGCTTGAGCCTTGGTAGTTTATATCACATGAATTGAGGCATTTGCTGCCAATTGATCATATAGCATAATTATAGGATCAACTTTCTAGGCCAAATAACTTCTTCAAAAAGATAATTCAAAGAAACCATTTATGCAATATGTTTAAAGGAAAAGAGGTTTAGTTTAGCTCACAACTGTAGTCCAGTTATGATTGTTGGATATTTTGTCCCAACAATGAGAAAGTGAGCAAGGCAGATTTTAGTCACGGTGCACTGAGGACAGAGGTTTAAGTAGTTTGAGAGTTAAAAGAGAAAAACTTAACGGTCTGATGTTTAAATTATTCAATGTATCAAAAATTGAATATGCAAGATAAAACAGAAAATAGCACTTGTGTGAATATTTAGGAACACAGGCATACTCACATCTACATACTAAAAAATACTTATGCTTTTAAGAAAGTTTTTACAAGAGATGAGGCAAATACTTTTAAGCTTTATTTCCAAATACAAATCCTTTAAGTCCTTTTAGTATAGTCTGCTTGTTACAGTTGTATTCTGATACTGATAGAAAAGGCTAAATAATAGTAAATGTTTACAACCTTGGATCCCTTCTTCCCTTTGGGGACTCCCATGAATTCTTGTTCCCCAGTAGATGGTGGTGGTCCTGCAGGGCCAGGGAGGCCAACATCCCCCTGTAAAATAAAAGGGAACATTAAGCAAATGATAAACCATGAAGACCATTTTTACAGAAGGAGGCTTTATTTTCTGGATGTAATTCATGAAGAAACTGTCCATTACTTTGGCTTCTTCTTCCATACACCACTGAGGAAACAAAAACTCTCATTGTCAATATTGAGAAGAATTATAATGTTGGACAGGCATTTTGTATCAACACTGTAGAGGGAAGAAACAAGACAATGAAAGGAAACCACAAATTCATTGTTGCTATGGTCATGCACAAAAGGGTATTCTAAGAGCCAAAAAGGGGTTAAAAAAGGTAAATTATTACCTCTTGGCAACAATGGTAACAATTATAAGACACAATTGGTACTATATTTGCAAAGAGCATAAGCAAAGGAAGTGAAGTGTGTTTTGGAACACTGTAGGCTAGAGTTGCTCCTTCATAAAGCAGTGAAATCCACAAGAACAGTTCAGGGGAGTCAAGCACCCAAATCACCATGCAGTTTGAATAGAGGGAAATAAAGAAGGAGGGAGATAAAAGACAATGTTGAAAGAGAGGCTAAGGAAGGGAAATAGGAGAGATAGAGAGATAGAGATGGTGCAATGTTCTAGATCAAATGTGTTCTCCCAAAGATTCATGAATTCATGGAGGGATTTTTAGAAGGTGATTAGACCATGAGCTGCTAATCTCATCAGTGAGTTCATAGCTGAATGTGCTGTTAGGAGGTGGGCCTGGCTGGAGAAAGTAGCATATTAGAGTATCTAATCTAGAAGGATATGTTTTTGTCTCTAGCCCCTTACTCTCTCAGCCTGTTTCTTTTCTTTCTTTTTTTTTTTTTTTAATTTTTTTTTTTTTGTCTTTTTCCTTTTTATCGGTACCGGGGATCGAACTCATGACTGCCTGCTTGCAAGGCAGGCGCTTATGCCTCTGAGCTAAATCCCCAGCCCCTCTCAGCCTGTTTCAAATCTTTGTTTCCTGGCTGCTAAGAAATGGGCAACTTTTCTCCACTCTATTTCTGCCTTGGAACCAGCTGACAGTGGGCTGAAATCTCCGAAGTCATGAATGAAAATAAACCTTTTTTTCCTATAATTTGTGTGTGCCAGCTATTTGGCCCAAGTAAAAGAAAAGTGACTATTATAGAAGAGAAAGAACAAGAAGGGGAGAAGGCAGAGAAAAGACAGAGAGCAGAGAAAAGAGAAAGTGATACAAAACAAAGAAATATCTAGGTATAAGGAAGAGAAGGACTATAATGTGAGAGTGTGTGTGTAAGACAGGCACAAAATAGGCAGATGACAGTATTTTAAAAAGTACCAAAAAGCCTATGGCATGTGTACATATTGCCCTCAAGAGATCCAGAGACTGATGACCAATGAGGGATAGAAAATGCCCATTTCCTAATGTGATGATCCAAACCCTCTTACATGACCAAGCATATATGTATGACCAAAGATGTTTCTTAGAGCACATGGAAGGCAGACGGTATTTTTTAAAATTTACTTACCTTAACTCCTTTCTCTCCATGGAAACCTAACCCCGTATTGCCCTGGGGTACGGCAGTCCAAAAAAGAAAAACAAAAGCAATTACTGACAACCAGCTCCAAGAATTTTATTTGGAATGCAGTGTTTTTTCTTTACCAGAAAGTAGATCTGCCCAAATCAGCATGTTTGAAGAAACCAGATTATTTAGTGGAGGCATTGAAAAAAATACCACAATACAAAGTATACTTACATCAGGACCGGGAAAACCAGGGGGGCCTGGAGGACCCTAAGTTAAAAATAGAAAGAAAAGAGTTAGTACTCATTACTTTAAATCAAAAAGAGCAAGAGCACGCTGAGAATCTTTAAGGATAAACATCCAGTCCTGCTTGGTGTAGACTGGCTTCAGTAAAGCAAACTCTAGCTTTTCTCAGGAGATTCTATCTCCTTTGAAATTTCCAACGTGACCTGATAACCAGGTTCATGCTAATGTAGTGAAGAATTCTTTTTACTTCTTCCAGAAATTACAAAGTGGTGACTCAGAGAAGCTATGCCAAAATAACAAGTGCTGGGAATCCATGCACTACAGAGAACAATATGGGGACAGGAGTTTCCCAGGACTGCAGTTTCCCAGGCTATGCACTTTCTACATTAGTGACATATAGATTTGGTATTAAAAATAGGAAGTAAGTAGGTAGAGTTGACCAACATGCACTTCTTAGAAGAATTTTGAAGCTTCTCAGTGTTTAGAGTAGCTAATGGCATGATTGACTAGTGATATCTGTTGTAGGTAAAAGTGGCAATCAAGGTGTGAGGCATTTGTCATTTCTTTGTTATACTTCGATTTCGACAAGGAGGATATGGAAGTACAAACAGGATGGTCAGAAAGACTGACAAACTAAGAAAACCACTAACTCATAAGCAGAGTATGTTTCATTTTAATACTCCAGGAATGCAAGTTTCTTTCCAGTGAGGGCCTAAATTACATATGCTTGCATTTAATACATAACAGGGTAAAGAAAACAGTTATATGAATACTGTGTTTACATATTAGATGTAAATTGGTCTTACTTGCAATCCTGGTGATCCCATGAGCCCTTTGTCTCCAGGAGTTCCAGGTGGGCCCTGTGGACCCTAGAGAGGCAAGTTTTATCAAGGTCAAGAAGCAAGACAGTTTCTCAGGAAAAATGAAAGTATGTACATCCATGTAATAATGTTGACAGTAGCTTTGTTCATAATAATCAAAATTAGAAATGTTCACTGATACAAGATTTGCTAAATAAACTGTGATACTTCCATATAGTAGTCAACATTAAAAAGGATTAAACTATTGATAAATTAAACTGTGAATGAGCACCAAAAGTACAGTGCCAAGTAAGAGAAGCTAGACTCCAAATCCTATATAGTACACTATTTTCTACATATGAAATTCTACAATAGGCAAAAACTGATCTATAGTGAGAAAAACCAGAATGGAAGTTCCCCATGGGGTAAGGCAGAGGCAGGAGTTGCCTGAAAAGGAGCATTAAGGAATTTTCTGAGGTGATAGGAATACTCTGTATCTTGAAGTTTGTGTTAGAAGAAATATGCATTTATTAAATGCACATTCAAGATTTGTGGATATAATTATTTGTAAATTTTACATAAAAGGAACAATATAAACAAATATTGAAGTATAACTAACGATAAATATGCTATGGTATGTAGAAGTAGGTGTTCTATTGTCTAGCATTTACTTTGAAATGCACCAAAAGTAGGATGAATTGATGGGATGGACAGATGACAAGCAAATATAATAAAATATTGGTGGTATGGGTGCTCACTGCAGAATTCATTTAATTTTGTTCTATATTTGAATTTTCCTATTAAAGTGTTGTAAAAAAGGAAAAAATATTATAAAGAAAGAAAAAAATCAAAAGACAGCACAAATGGTATTAAAAAAAAAACCTGTTCACAGAAATAAAGGCAGAAAACTTCTCAAATAAAGAGAAAGAAATAAGCATACAGAGAAGCGAGACATATAGATATCAAATAGCCATGATTGAAAGAGAATCTCTCCATGCTATATTATACTCAAAGTTCCAGAATTCGATTATAGGGACAAAATCGTAAAAGCTGTTGGAGAAAAGTGATGAATAATATGCAAAGGCAAACCCATTAGAGTCACAACGAACTTCTTTATAGAAACCTTAAAGGCCAAAAGGACTTGGAGTGAAAGTGTTTCAAGCCATTTTTAAGATGAAAACTTCCAACCCCAACATATGTATCCTGAAAAACTTCCCTCTAAAATTGATGAAGCAATCAGGTATGTCCATGACAAGGAGCACTTCAAGAAATTCATGACCAACAAACCAGCTTTACAAAGAATACTCAAGGATATCCTCGAAAGAGATAATGAAGCCAACAATGTCAGTAAATCAAAAAGAGTGAATATACCTGCCAGGATAAACACTTTGGTGAAAGGGCAAAAATGAGGAAATTAGCAACAGGAAAATAATGCAATGACAGGAATAAGAAAATAACTCTCAGTAATAATTCTTAATGTAAATGGTCTCAATTGACAAACAAAAAGATGCAAATTGGAAGAATGAGTCAAGAAAATCCTTCAACAATATACAATGTACAGGAAACGGTAAACAAGGTGCAATTCAAAAAGATACAGATTAAAAATCAAAGAATGGTAAACAATATTCCACATAAGAGGAATCTGAAGGAAAGCAGAACTACTATCCTAATTTCAGCCGGAATGAATTTCAAGCTAAGTCTGATGAGAAGAGACAAAGAAGGTCACTACATAATGATTAAGTGGACAATCCAACAAGAAAAGGTAATAGTTATAAATATATATGCCAAACAAAATGCCAACACATACAACTTCAAAAAAGAGACACTAATATACATGAAAAATCACATAAGCAAAATACAATTTTAACAGGGGAGCTTCAATAACACATTGTCACAAATGGACAGTAAATTAGAAATAAATACTCAACAAAGAAATATAAGAGTTGAAACAAATTTTTGACTAAAGGGACTTAATGGATATGTATATGTTAATGAATATGTTCCATCCAACAACAACAACAACAAAACACACATTCCTCCCAGCAGCACATGGGACTTTCTTTAACATAGACCACATAGTTACCCATAAAATATGTTTAGGTAAATCAAAGTAATTGAAATAGTCTCCTGTATAATACTGGAGCATAATGCATTGAAATTAGAAATCAACAGAAAAAGACACTACACAAACTAGGAAAACTCGTGGAAATTAATTAATACCCTGTTGAGTATTCAGTGGCTCACAGATGGAATTAAATAAAAATTATGCAGTTTCTACAGTCAAACAATAATGTCAGTACGACACACTGAAACCTATGAAATGTAATGAAAGTAGTCCTAAAAACGAAGTTTATAACAGTGAATTCCCACATCAAATAAATAACCTAATCACAAATCTTAAGGTCCTAGAAAAACAAGAGCAATTAAAACCCAAAGCTAATACAAGAAAGGAAATTATAATGATTAGGGCAGAAATTAATTAAAAAGACTATCAAAACAATACAAAGAATCAGTGAATTAAATAGTTGGATCTTATAAAAATTAAACAAAATGAACAAGCTCTTAGCCAATCTTACCAAAATAAAAGGGAATCTGTACAAATTCATGTAATTAGAAGTGAAAAAGGTGAAGTCACAGTGGATTCTGCTGAAATCCAGGAGATTATTGGTAAATATTTTGAGAACTTGTACTCTAATGAAATAGGAAATTCAGAAGAAATTGGTAAATTCCTAGATCCATGTGAATTACTAAAGCTGAACCAAGAAGATATACAAATTCTATATAAGACAATATGAGTCAGTGAAATTGAAGAATAATAAAAAAAAGTACCAACTAAGAAAATCCCATGTTCCTGAAGAATTCTTGGGTTCTCTACAGGATTCTACAATAACTTTAGAGACGATCTAACACCAATAATCTGTGAAATCTTTAATGAAATTGAAAGGGAAGCAATACTTCCAAACTCTTTCTTGTAAGAAAATATTACACTGATTTCAAAACCAGAAAAGGCCCCAACCAAAAGAGAAAATTACACACTAATCTCTCTAATGAAAATTGATACAAAAACCCTGAGTAAGAATGCAGCAAATCATCAAAAAGATCACACATCATGACCAAGCACAATTCATGCCAGCAATGGAGGAATGTTTCAACATATGTAAATCAATAAATGTCACATACCTCACACAAAAAAGCAAGGACAAAAATCACATTATCATCTCAGTAGATGCAGAAAAACCATCTGACAAAACCTAAAATCTGTTCATAATAAAACTCTGAAGAAAATAAGAATAAGTCTTTATCTCAATCTAATAAAAATCATCTATGACAAACCAGTGGCCAACATTATACTAAATGTAGAGAAGCTAAAAATTTTCCTCCTCGTATCAAGAACAAGACAAGGGTATATCCTATTGCTACTTCTGTTCAATATAGTTCTCAAACATTAGCTAGAACAATAAAAGAAGATAAAGAAAAGGAATATAGATAGGGAAGGTAGAAGCTACATTAGCATCATTTGCTGATGAAATGATTCTCTATATAGAAAGCCACCAAAATGCCACTAAAAGACTCTTAGAACTAATATTCAAATTTAATAGAGTATCAGGATACAAAATCAACACTTAAAATAAATAGCTCTTCCATACACCAATAACAGACTCACTGAGAGAGAAATTAGGGGAAAATATCTTCCACAATATCATCAAGAAAAATGAAATACTTAGGAATTAACCTAACCAAGAAAGTGAACGACCTGTAGAATGAAAAATACATGGTAGTTTGAAAAAGAAGACTGAAGAGCATATAAAAAAATGGAAATATATTCCCTGTTGCTAGGCAGGCAGAAATAATGTAGTGAAAATGGTCATTCTTCCAAAGCTATTATATGGATTATGCAATCCAAATCAAAATATCAATAACTTGCAGAACTGGAGAAGCCAATGCTGCAATTCATTTGGAACCAGAGGAGACCAACAATAGCAAAAGCAATTCTTGGCAACAAGGATAAGGCAGGTACATCATAATCTGGGACTTCAAGTTGCATGTACTACAAAGGTACATTGATAAAAACAGCATGATATTGACAAAAATCAGACTTGTGGATCAATGGAAGAGAGCAGAACATACATAAATAACTCCAGGCACACTCAGCTATGTTGTCTTTCACAAAAGATCAAGTTTCTTTGCTGGAGGCAAGAGAACTTCTTTAACAAAGTGTTGTGAAAACAGACTACCTACATGTGGTAAGTTGAATCTAGATTACCATGTATATTTCCTAACATTCTAAATTAAAACAAAAATGGATAAAAGATCTAAATATTAGAACAGAAACAATTTGCTGGAAGATAAAATAGGTAAAATTCTTGAAGACATAGGTGCAGGCAAGGCTTTCTGAACAAAACTTCAGTTGTACAGCAATAATACTAAGAATCAACAAATAGTATCACATCAAATTAAAAAGAATATGCACAGCAAAGAAACCATCAACAAAATCAAGAGGCAACCCATAGAACTAGAAGATTTTTACCAGCTTCTTATCAAAGGACTAATATTTAGAAAACATAGAGTATTCAAAAATGTTAGACCCTTCAAGTGTAAAGACCCAATTAAAAAGTGAGCATCTAAAATGAATAAATCCTACTCATGGAGAAATACAAACAGCCAATAAATACATGAAAAAAATGTTCAAGACTGCTGGCCATTCAAAAATGCAAATTAAACCAATACTTAGATTTTATTTTAATCCAGAAAAATTGGCTGCCATCAACAAATTAGCCAATAAAAAATACTGATGAAGCTGTGGGGAGAAAGAAACACTGCTTCATCATCAGTGGGGCTATACTACACTTGATCTTAGCCAAAAGGCTGAGAAGCAATATCATGGGACTATAAAATGATACAACCACCATGGAAGTTAGAATGGAGATTCTTTAAAAATCTAAAAGTACGACCTTCATTTGATTCAGCTATTTAACTTCTAGGTATCTTCCTAAAAGATTTAAAGATATCATACCACAGTGATGTACACATACCCATGTTTATAGCACAATTCATAGTAGCTAAATCATTGAAACAGCCTATATAGGCATCAATAGATGCATGGATAAAAATTGTGATATTTATATACAGTGGAGTGCTTTTCTACCTTAAAGAAAAATAAACTTGAGTCATTTGTAGAAAAATGGATGTACTTTGAGACCATAATATTAAGTGAAGTAACACACAAGCTTAAATATCACATGGTTTTTCTTATATGAAATATTTATCATGAAATAAAAGACAAATAATAAAAAATAGTGAGAGAAAATAAAGTATTGTAATCCACTAAGAATATGTATTTTGGCTGGGGATTTAGCTCAGCGGCATAAGCACCTGCCTTGCAAGCAGGCGGTCCTGAGTTCGATCCCTGGTACCGATAAAAAAAAAAAAAAAATTTAAAGAATATGTATTTTGACTTGGTACAATTGTCTTACATGTTTTACATATTTTCTGACTTACTAGGCAGCTTTTTAATCTGTATATATGGTGATCAACTTTATGAGGTCTTATAAATAATTAAATTGAATGCTGGAAAAATAAAAATTGGTGGAGGAAGAAAAAAAAGAATTAAAACATATTATGTACATGGACTAATTCCCTATGGTGAATGCAATCATTATTACTGCAAACACGTACCAATAAAAGTTGTTCTTCTGTTTCTATTGGTTCTATCATGTTGTTTCTTATTGGATTTTAATATGTGTGATAGTATAAACAAATTTTTTATGGAAAATGAAATGATATAGTAGCCATTGTTCATTTTCTATTATTTGCTTCTGAATGTCCTGTAATACTTTCATTCTTTTGAATGGTTTTATACTATTTTGTTATGTTTGATACTATTGTATGTGAAGGTATGCTCAACTATTTCGAAGAAAGAGACATTTTGGTAGTTACTGTTAATAGCTGATTTTCTTGTGGTGAAGTGCTATATTGCTTACATTGTTCTGTTCTGATCTGCTTTATTCTGTCCTCTTTTGTCTTAATCTCTTTAAAATAAAAAAAAATTAAAAAAATAAACAAGGTAGCTTGCAAGCTGCCAAGTATTCAGAAATGGGATAATAAACACACTTCTAAATACTTCATGGGTAAAAGAAAAAGTAAAGAAGAGAAATACGAAAATGTTTAGAGTTGAATAACAATACAAGAATAATGAAATCAAGAGAAAGATTGGAGAAATGTAAGGCCTGTACTCAATGGAGAGCAGAGTGAAGGTTACATATCCCTGTATAAGATCGGGACAGTCTAAAAGGTGAGAATTTAGGAGGAGAAAAAGAGAAGGGTGAAATATTCCTTAAGAATGAATGATAGCATGAACAGTGCTTTGAAAATAACCAACAACTTGTGGACTGTAGATGTGATCTTACTGATCACAAATCTCTTATTTAACCACCAAATACCTTCTTCTATGTACTTTATATGTTGTGCCTGTGTAAATAGACAAGCACTCTATCTTTGATGGAAAGGAAAAGAATCTCCAAGAGAAGCTATTCAGCAAAGACAGTGAACGTTATTCTATGAATTTAATGAACACAAAATTAAAGGGAATTTTGTTTAGCTCTAGGGGAACCCTATGCACTTGGCCATTCATCATCATCTTTGTTTTGCGGAGGACTTGTAATCTTTATAGTTTCCTGTCTGAAAACTCCTCCCACCAACAATACCATTCATACTTCTCGGAAGCTATTTCTTTTTTTTTGTTTTTTTTTTGTTTTTTTTTTGTTTTTGGTACCAGGGATCAAACTCATGACCTTACACTTGCCAGGCAAGTGCTTACGCTGCTGAGCTAAATCCCCGGCCCAAAAGCTATTTCTCTCAGATACAAGTCTCCTATTATGCTTTCTTAGTTGTAAGGCATGTCTTCAGCTATATTATTGTGGAATTCTTATAATACATTGCTACTATTAGTTGTTCACATCCTTAGGGGCAGGGACTATGTCTACATTATCTCAGGAATCATTTACAGCACTTTGTTAATAATAGGTGTTCAACAGCTGTTGAGGAGTGAAAAAACAAAGAAAGGGAAGAAGGAAGGAAGGAATACAGGAAAGAAGGGACAATTCTTACTGTACTTCAAAGGAAAGTAATGGAAATATGGAATCTCAAGGAAAAAATGCTCTTATTGATAAGCTTAGAGCTTTTCATGGTCTAAATACTTTCTTAATATATCTTAGGCAAAGCAGTAGCCCTCCTTATCTGAGGTTCTGCTTCCCTTGCTTTTAGTTATGTCCAGTAAATCATTTTGTAAATATTAAATGCAAAAAGTATTGTAATGCTGTGTTCAAGTAACCGGTAGGTAGTAACTTGAAGCTATGTTCCAAAGGTGACAGCATTCACCTCACTTCATTCTCACATAGGCACTGTATCTCAGATCTTCACAAGAAGAAGGGTGAATGAAGCACAGTAAGGTACATTAAGAAACAGAAGAGAGAAAGAGAAAGAGAGAGATAGAAGGAAAAAAGAAGGGATATTAGAGAGAAAGAGAGGAAGATTACATTCACATAACATTTTACAGCGTAAAACTATACTTGTTTCATTGTTATTTTTATTGTAATTGATCTCTCAGTATGCCTAATTTATAAATTAAACTTTATCACAGGTATGTATTATAAGAAAAACAGTACATATAAGGTTTGATATTAAACCATGATATCCATGGTTTAATGTGTCTACTAGGAATCATGAAGTGTACGACTTCATGCAGGTCCCTGGCCAAAAGTCTGAAAGCTTTTCAGACAACTTGAGGTCCACACGTTATCCTCTCAGTACCTTGTCTTTTGGAAAATGTAAATAGATCACCTGTTCCACCTCAACTCTAGCTTTCCCTTAAGAGCTTTGAATACCATAGTGAAGAACAAAAAGCAACATCAATGACTGTTCAGTAAACATTGTGAAATCAATATATGAAAACTTACCATGATTCCATCTAGTCCAGGTAATCCAGGATTCCCCTGAGAAACAAAGGCAGGACAATGAAGGGATGAGTAAGTTAAGCCAAAGTTATTTCAGAAAATCAATCTAAGATTAATGGAGAAAAAATGCACTGCTGAAACTGGGACTGCTTCTATGAAGATCTCATGCCTTAAATAATGCATAAATTGAATGTAGTCAACTATTTAAATTTTTCTATGAAAAATTTGGACTGCAGAAGACATATGTTATAGCCATGACTGAACAGGATTTTGTACTTTTCTTGGATTAATTAATTTTCACTTTTGCCAGGAACTCATCAAATATAAATTGCTTCTGTGGGCTGGTGAATTTCCTGCTCTTTTTGGAGGAAGGCAAAACTACCTACCTGTGTGCCTTCATCCTCAGAGAATCTGTGCTTATATGTATACAATGCAAATCAGACATTTCAAGGGAAAAATCAACAGAGCATATAGTCTCTGATCATGTTTTAATTATTTTGCATTATTTTAAGTCATTGTATGAATCTGTAATAAGAACTATCTCGTTGAAATTTCTGTGTCCCACGGGATCCATGGTCTCCTGATTTTATGCAAACCATTTAATCAATCTTTCTAAGAGAATTACTACATTTTAACACCTGCTAGTTTTACTGTATCTGGCTTAGGGTAAAAAAAATTAGCTCTCTCTAGCACAGAAAGACCACCACCTGGGGTTTGGCTCTTTGATGAACTAGCTGTACGGTTCTTAGTAAGTTGCCACAGTGCCTTAGTTTTTGTAAATATAAAATGAGTAATATGAATTCAGTAATCTTGAAGCCATTTCCAACTGCATCTTCTGCTATAGCACCCATACATGGGAATCCAAATCCTGTATCTCTTCCAGTTCTTCAGCTACCCACCCCTATCACTGTCTACTATATAGTCCTTAATACCTTTTTCATTTATTAAGATTACTAGTATGATTTGGGTATACATAATGATCACATTCATCATGGGAACTTGTACATATACATGGTATGCTTCTGTTCCTACTTTTTTCCATGCCCTCCCCTTCATTGCCCTCTCCTTACCCCTTCTCCCTTCCTTATTTATAAAACATTGTTTCTAATTTATCCTATTTTATCTTATTTTTCCTCCCCCAATTTCCCTTTCCTTTGGAACAATTTATTTCACAATATCTATTGTATATTTTGGTTCTTATTTACACTTTTAGTTTCTCACACCAGAGAAACAATATGATATTTACACGTGTGTCCAATTTATTTCACTTAAGAGTCTGTTCTCAAAGTGTATCCATTTGCCTAGAAATGTCTCAGGTTTATCCCTATGGCTGAGCGGTACTCCATTGTAAAAACAAAACAAAATAAAACAAAACACCGCATTTTTATGTTTCTCAGTTGTCGGACATTTGGGTTGTGACCAAGATTTAGCTGTCACAAACTGTGACACTATAAACATAGGTGCACATATATCAGTGTGGTATGATGTTTTCAATTCTTCTGGGAAGATATCCAGAAAGATAAAAGATGGCTCCAATGAAACCTCTCAGCCTAGTTTTTAAGTTTTCTCTACAAAGATTTACAGAGCATTGGCATGGGTCTACACTCCCATCAATAGCGGTGAGGGGTTCCTTTTCCCCCATAGACTGAACAGCACTTGTTATCGGTTGATTTCTTTTTTTATTATTTTTTATTTTTTTATTTTTTTTAAATTTTATTTAAGGAGAAAAGAAAAAAAACAGTGAAAGGGTACAAGTTATACAGATTTACAGAAGAAAAAAATGAACAGTAGGAAATCACTAGTTAATGGATTACATATTGTCATCTTAGAAATAATTGTTCAAGTCACAAAATTAAAGCTTATAGAGTGGACATTCCAACAATGATACTGCAAACAGTTCTGTTCAATGATCCAATAAAACTCTGTGATACCATTTTCTATCTTATACACTTAAATATACATGCAGTTATGGTTGATTTCTTGACAATAGCCATTTTTCTGTGGTGAGATGGAATAGCAGCATTGCTTTAATTTGCATCTCTTGAATGACTAGTGATATTGAACATTTTTTTCATACATTTGTTTGTTGTTTGTACTTTTTGTCAGAAGTATCTATTCATTTCAGATGTCCATTTTTTGACTGGTTCTTTAAATTTGGGTTCTTATATTTTTTTCAATTCTTTATATATTCTAGATATTAGTCCCTTGTCTGGAGAACAACTAAGATGTTTCCCTTTCTGTGGGTTATATTTTCACTTGGTTGGTGATTTCTTTTGCTGTGTGAATGCTTTTTGATAAGATGCAATCCCAGTGGTCGAATCTCTGTATTATTTCCCATTTGATAGGGGCATTATTCATGAAATCTTTGCCTACATCTATATCTTCAAGAGTTCTAGTTAACTCTCTCTTCTAGCAGGATTAGTGTTTTTGTGTTTAACAGATTTTTGATCAGTTTTGATTTTATCTTAGTGCATGGTGATAGACAAATGTCTAGTTTTATTCTCTGGCGTGTGGAAAGCCAGTTTTTCCAGCACTATTTACTAAAGAGGCTACCTTTCTTCCAGTGAATGTGTCTGGCTCCTTTTGTTAAAGATAACATTACTGAGAGAGTTTAAAGTTGTTTCTGCATCTTGTTTTGTTTCCCTGATGTAACTGTTACTGCAATTAATTTCCCTCTTAAGACTGTTTTCCTTGTATCCCGTATGTTCCAGTATGTCGTATCAATACTGTCACTTAACTGGATGCATTGTTTAATTCATCTGTAACTCACTGGTTGTTCAGTAGGTTGTTATTTTATTTTCATGTATTTGAGTTTTTGTGATTTATTTTATCATTGAGTTCCAATTTCATTGCATTACAATCAGATAATATGCATGGGAAATTTGATTCTTTTGCATTTCCTTAAGCATGTTGTTTGAGATAGTATGTTTCTATTTTGGAAAATATCCATGTGTTGCTGAGAAAAGGTGGAACACTGTAGACAACAAGTAAGTCCATTTGTTCACAGGTTTGGTTCAGTGCTGATATAGTTCTTAAAATTTTTGGTCTAGTTGATCCATCTCTTTGTGATACTGGGGTATTAAGGTCCCCTTTCCAATTGTGTTAGTGATTATTTGATTTTTAATGCCTGTTAATATTTGTTTTACATAGTTGTGTGCACCTGTACTTGGTGCACATACATTTATGATGGTTCTCTTTTCTTGGAGCTTTCCCTTAACACATATGTACTGACCTTCTTTGTCTCTTTTGATAAATCTTGGCTTTAAGTTCTCATTGAGTGCAAATAGAATAGCTACTCTTGTTTTCTTGGTTCCAGTCACATGGAGTATTATTTTTAATCCTTTGACTTTCAGTATATGGTTTCTTTTTGAGTTAAATGTGTTTCATGAATGCAGCATACTGTTGAATCTTCTTTTTTGATCCATTATGCCAGGCTATTTCTTTCAATTGGTGAATTGAGACCATTTTTTTGTCTTTTTCCTTTTTATTGGTACCGGGGATCGAAGAATTGAGACCATTTACATTGATGGTTTTAACTGATATGTATTGGCTTGTCCTTATTATGTTATTTTACTAGTGATGGTTTCCTGTGTTCCACTCCATTTAATTGCTTTCCCTGCCTGGTGGCTTGTTTCTGTTGCTACTTTTGGAATTCTTTTATCTCCTTCTACAATATCTTGAATATCTTTAAAATTCCTCCATAGAAGTGGGTCAGTTGTCATGACTTTCTTCAGTTTTTTTTTTAAAGCAGGGAAGTATTTTATTTTTCCATAAATTGTGGAAGTCAATTTTGCAGGATGTATCAATCTAGGTTGGAAGTTTTTTTTTTTTCACTTGTTACAAAGTTTTAATGAAAATTCAGCAGTTGGTATGTATAATCCAGGGACTAAATAGTTACAAGGAACTGCCATAGAAATTTAAAGCAGACTAGATGCTGAAGTGAATGTTACATATTATCATCATCTGATTCATCTTTTTCCTTCAGTGACTCCTTATCATATTTCTCTGCTTTTCCTCTTATATCTTTTGGAACAATTTCATGTCTTCCTTTAGTTAATTCACCAACCCAGCTGAGCTCCAGTTCAAACGCTTTATCCTTAACTTCATCATGTACTGTGTAAATTATTTTTGCAACTTATTTAACAACATCATGGCAGGTCATTTCTTTCATCTGAAGCTTTTCTATTTCTGCCTTGCTGGGCCTTGCCAATAGCACAGCCCCAATAACTATATGAAATGCCTGAAGGTTCAATCATGTACAGTTGTGCATCATCATTCACACTGTAATACCCAAGCATGAAACTGCAGCCCAATGGTCTGATAGCACTGTAGAGCGTGTAAGCATGGGCATACATGGCCACTCTGTCTGCAAGATGTTTCAGTGGGATGTGAGCCAAAGTTAGATCTAAAGTTAGATCTGCCAGCAAACCTGCTACTGCCATTCCAACATGCCGATCAACATTAAAAAGTCATTTGTTGGAGCCTTCTTCATAAAGTTTAGAAAGAGCTAATTTTTCTACCCCAAAGACAACACCATGTTTACATCTGATCCCAATAGCTGTACTACTATTTTCTACAGTCTTCATAGTATACTCAACTTGAAAAACTCTTCCACAAGGAGAGAATGTAGAGGCTGACAGGTCATACCCAGTTCCGATAGAGCTCATCACTAATTGAAGTTCACTGTATATTTCTAATTCATATGGCAAATTCTTTTTCCATGTTGGGAGGTTTTCTTCTACAGTTTTTTTTTTTTTATATCTTTTGTCTGGACTCCTTTTTCATTGACTCGAACCAATCTCATGTTGTTTTTCATTGCATCATCTTGCAGATGTTGATTATTTTTCATTGCCTCTTTCTGTTTTTAACAGATATTTTTGTGGTTGTTAGCCATGATCCTGTGTTCTAGGTCTGATATTCTATTTTTACCTTCTTTCATACAGTTTTGGAAACATTGATGGAACTTTGAAAATCCTAGGTAATTGTTTATATTTCATGGATTCCATTTCTTTCCTATGTTGGGCATTCATAGATTCCTTCATTTATTCGATGTTCTTCTATTTTTTAAAAATCTATGTCTTCTCTAGATTTATCGAGCAAGTCCTTCATTATTGTTGTCATCTATTATTTAACTTGTGAAATTATTTTTTTGCTTTCATCTACAATCTCATGTATATATTGCTTTGTTTCTGCTGCTGTCATTCCATAAGATTCAGGTGGATTGCTTCTGAGTTACTCTCTCATTCCCTGGTTTTGTCCTGGGTGGGCTAGAAGACTGGGATTACATTTTCCTTCTGGATCTTAATTTCTATTTTTAATTTGAATTTGTTTTCTACGTTTTTGTTTGTATTTTTCTTTTTTTAGGAAAGTTTATTACTAGTATCAAAGCCTCCCCAGCAAATCTATGTTTTTTTCAAGATATCTTCCAGGTGTAACTGGGTGTTGGTGTTTGTGACTATCCCAAGGTCCTATCTTCTCAATTTATTAGCAATGAAGAGTTTCTATTCATTTGTCTCAGCTCCCATACCTAAGGTACTAGACTATGGTAATGAGTACGACCCCATAGTATCACAGGATTGTCATGCAAGTGTGGAGAACTGATTATAACAACCAATAGCTTCCTGCTTAAAGTAGTATAATTAGCAATAACAATATCATCAACACAGCCTAGAAATTCACCATCTGTGGTAATTGCTACTTTGCTATCTCTAACCTTAGGAGCAAGATCTATAGTCTTATAACAGCATCTAACATAGACCAGGGTTGTATACAGTGAGTTTCCCCCTGTTAGAGTGATTTTATCCTATGGGGGGAGGGGAACTTAGGAGGGATAGGGAACCAAAGAGAGCAATAAGCAAAGAGAAATACAGTGGAAGCAAGGCTGAAGGACTAGGATATTCATCCAAACTTTGAGAAACTGGAGAAGAGGATAGGGGAGAAAAAATGAAGGAGAAAACAAGAGAATATTGAAATGAACTAGAAAGAGTTGAGACAATTTTTATTCACATGTAAATATCAGAAGATCAAGAAAGACTGTGGAGAAGTGAGCAAGAAAGAAAAGAGAAAACATGCCAAACAATAATAATCAAAACCTAAACAAAAACACCTCTCCAAAGGTAAAATTCCTCTGGTGTTCAAGGTTCTGTGTTAGTATCCTAATCAGAGCCAGAATCTGTACTGAGTAACCCCACCTGTCTTCAGCAGCATTATTGCTGGATGAAGGGCTGATCCTGGCCACATCACTGATTCCTCTTGTGTAATGGCTATAGGGCATATAGTATTCTTTTCTTGCCACCAGCCAAGGCCACTTTCCTGCTTGTGCCTCTTATTGCAGGGCAGGTGGAGGTGCCCTTGACTTATAGCTGGCCAAGGTTGCTCACCTTCTTGGTCACAGGGCAAGTGGAAGGACACCCTTGTCCTACCACAGGCCAAGGCCACTTGCCTTCTTGCACTGCTGGCTGCAGATCAAGACCATGCTTCCAGTCCATTGTAGCTCAGGTAATACTGGCTTTTGGTTCCCTGGCAGAATGGAGTCTAGATGGTTCCAGTTCATACATTTTGGGAAAACTCCCACAGTCTTCTCTCTAACTACCAACCTTCTGCTGTGACCACACTACCTTTCCCTCTTTCAACTTGTGGATGTTGGCAGTGAAACAAACCTAGAGCTGTTCTACTACAGAGGTTTAAGTCCTAAGCCTTTTAAAATAGGATGGAATGGTGGTCCTGTTTGCCTGCTGCTGTTTTTCTGAGCAGCCATGTGCAAAGTGGCTTTCTAGTTCACTTTCCAATGGCGGATTGGGAGGCGGGGGGCACTCAGGAAACAGTGTCTGGTGTTCTCACTGCTGCTTCTGACTGTACAAGCGTCTTCTGGTCCAGGCCAGGCCTCAGTTTCTCAGTGAGGCACAAAGATGGTTTTGCTGCCTGTCAGAGCAGCTACACAGCTGCTATAGTTGGGTTAAGTGTTTTATTCTATAGAAATGAATCCTATTTTCTTTTTTTCCCTCATGGTTCTCTCTCTCTCTCTCTCTCTCTCTCTCTCTCTCTCTCTCTCTCTGTATATATATATATATATATAAATAATTTTCAAGAGAATAAAACCAAGCAAAATAAAACAGAATAAAGCCCATCAAAACAGAAACAGTGTGATACAGGATTTCAAAACAAGATAATAGGAAACCAACAATGGTTACCATAATGCCTCCTGCTGTCTTCAAAATAGTTGCCCATATCATCAGACATAGTAAAGTCAAACAAAACAGAACAGGATACAACCAATAAAAATTAATGAATGGACTTCAAAACAAGATAATATTAAATCCAAAGTGGCTACCATATCTTGTTATCTTTGAAATAGCTGCCAATGCCAACAGATATAATAAAATCAAACAAGACAAAACAGAATAAAACCAAAGCAAAACAATGAAACTGATATAGGAATTTAAAACAAGATAATAGAAAATTAACAATGGCTACCACCTTCAGAAGGAGATCTCCCATAGATGCTATATTGCATATTGTTAGCTTTTACATAGGTGATCAGATTATTGTCTTTAGTCCTGTAAAGTCAATGAAATACTAAATGCTCCAAGCATGAGGATGTATTTTACTTCAATAGCTATCATCTGAGCTTGTGTTTCTCCAGATTAGCAGGTCACTTGCAAGGGGGTTGCGGGGAGAAGTTGGTTCTTCTTGCCTCTCAGTCCACATGCTGGAATGAGCTAGCATCTGGTTCTCCTCCCCCTACCCACCTTGGCCTGTGAATGGCGCTGACTCACAAGTGGCTGGCTTCTTGTTCTCCTCCCTGTGGTCATGAAGGGCACTGACTAACAGGAAGGGGATGGCATCTGGTTCTCTTCCCTGTGACCAATATATGGACTGACTCACAGGAAGTGGCTGGCTTTTTGTTCTCCTCCCCATGGCCCTCAAATGACCTCCCTCATGGTTCTAACGCACGCCTTTTGGATTCTTCCCAGGCTGCTATTTTTCATACTCTTGACACTTTGTGCTGTAGAAGCTGAGTAGCTGATACACAGCACTCTGTCATGTTGAGAGTTTATGTCTCCAGTCACCTGGTTCTGTGCATGGATGGAAGACTGAAAATTGTACTTTCCTCTCAGCGGTTGGGCATATATATTTCCATTTGCTAACAGGAAACTGATGGGCTTCTCTCCTATTCTGCAGTGGCTCTGTTTGGAGCCAGGGTTTACTGAGACCCAACAGGATATCAGGCAGCATACATTGAGAGTATAATCATAAGAACACAGACTGTTGTGAATAATAAAGGAAAGTTCAAGGCAGCTGCAGACCTGATGGCCATGTATATGCAGACATTCAAAAACTCAGTTAGGGTGATAGGCTAGTGTGCAAGGAAAAAAATGTAGGGTCATGATCTTGTATTGGTGGCCATACTGAGTGGCAGAGACATACATGGATTGGATTCAAGATGTACAGACATGAAGGATTCCAGAGTAGACAAAAGTGTCTTCCTCTAAGGAATATCTTAGTTTGTCAAAGAAAATAATACTTGTCGCTGTTACTTTTTCTCATTGCTGAGATGAAATACCTGACACCCAAAGATAGAGAAAGAAATGTTTATTTAGTTTACATTTCACAGAGATTTCAGCCCATAACAGCTGGCTCTAAAGCAGGGTGTCACATGGCAGAGGAAAATGGTAGAAGAGGAACAGTTCATTGCTGGCAGGAGGCAGCAAGGTAGCGAGCAATAAGTGATGACAGCAGCCCTGTTTCTGTTCCTTATATTTTATCCAGGCTACCCACCCTTAGGGTGGGTAACACTCATGTCCAGGGTGGGGCACCTTTAATCCTAGCATGGCATCATGAATCAATCTCAGCCTCACATCCTTGATACAGTACATATATTATCCACTCCCAGAGCTATGCTAAACCATGCAGTGGTCTAATTTAGTAATCACACAGTTTTAATCCCAGCATCATGCACTCTCCATCCAATCATCTGTGCAAATTCCTGCCTATGACCTCATGAGGCTTCAGGAGGACAACTAGACACAGCCATAACAAAGACCCATGAAAATTGTATGCTTATTTCATTATTTTTAGTCTAGACACTACAAAGTAGATTTCTTTGCCAGAATATTTGCCAATGTTTCTGTCAGTATTTACACCACAAATAGTTTTAGATCCTCTTAATTACAGCTTAGTCTGCTCCTTGGAGACAGATTCTAGTTCTGGAAATGTTTGCACTGAGTGTGGGCTTCAATCTGGGGGAACTCAGTTTACAGCCTACTCAACTGTTGGATTTAAGGGCTCTTACCTTCTTTAAAGGCTCTTACCTTCATTCCTATGAAATTGTCATGGGAAAAAATGGGTTCACCTTTTGAACCTTTCAGACCAGGAGGCCCCTGAATAAAATGATAAGATAAAATTTTAAAGATATACATATATTTTGTTAGTATTACGATTTGGTCAGAGGGAGAATGGAACAAAAATTTGAAATTATATGGTTTATTCTAAGGCAAGACCATCTGTGTTAAAGGTCAAAGAAATCTTCATTCATTCACCCTCAACGCAAGTCTGTAGAGGAGTTAAAAAGTAGAAGATTTCAGAACATTGGTCTAAGAAAATGTATGCAATTCATAAGCCTAGATTTTACTGCTGTATCTCTCACAGGTCTGAGTCACTGACCATGCCTTTGTGGAGAACAAAAGCCAACAATTTTTTTTGCAAAGATCCAAGCATTAAATACTTTAGGTTTTATAGGTCATATCTAGAATCTGTCCTATATTTTCCACACATTGTTTTGTTTGTTTTTTTAGACAGAGTCTTGTTTTGTAGTTCAGACCAGCCTTGAACTTACATGGTAGCCCTAACTGGCCTTGAACTCATACAATAGTTCCCTTTCAGCCTCCAGAGAGTTAAGATAACAGGCATGCAGCACCATGCCTGTTTTTTTGCATTTTCTTTTAAAAATACCTTTAAGTTGTAAAAATTGTCAACAGGAAGGCAAAGTACCCTTTGTGGGTCAGCTTACAGGGACCACTTCGAAGACATACCTATGAAACCACCTTCATCTGCACTTCTATCACACAAGTTTAGCTTCAACACCTATGTAAGACGCTGGTTAGGTCTCATTGTCATTAACATGGAAAGCAAAATATGCAATCCCCATCTTTAAATTAGATATCTTTTGCTATCTTGGTGGCAGATGCTGCCAAATATTTGTTGCAGTTTTTCCTTTTGGGGAAAATCAATGTTTGTACATCTAGTCTAACGGGAAGATAGGTTATAATGAGGATAGGGCTAAAGTTTGGGGACCAAACAATTGTTTGAAGGATGGATTTCATGAGTTCAAGGATAATTGATACAATAAAAGGAAAACATGTTCCTAAAAGTATACACTAATTTCTTTCCGATGTTGCCCATTCCCCTTTTTGTTTCAGTTACTATTATTTTCAAAGAAGCTCTAGATTCTGACTGAATAGAACCCAGGTAATTCAGCATAGAGTAAGGTTCAACTTAATAAAATACATCCTAAAATTCCTATTTAGGCCTAAGATGAGGTTTAAAGATAGGATTAGGTTTCTATTCTTTTTTGTGTTTTTGTTTTTTGGTACCAGGACTATAATTCAGAACCTTGTGCTTGCCAGACAGATGTTGTGCTGTAGGTTTCTACTCTTGTCCTTTGTCAAGGGGATTCTAATTACCTCAATATATCTCTTCTCCCTTTAGAGGTGGCATTCCTTTGGCTTTCTGTGTCCCATTCTTGCCACAGAGTTTGTATTTTACTCCCTGGCCTGTTGCCATGACAGTGTTCAAAGACCTTTGTGACTCACACCAATGATTCCATGATAAGACTATTACTTTCTCAACAGCCCTCACCTCTTTGCTGTATACTGGTTTAGTCTTTAGATGTCATGGTCCTTTACACAAATTTGGAGCTTGTGTTTTGCCTATTTGGGTATCTCGCTTTCTCATAGGTACAACCTGGTTACTGAAGGCAATGGGGCTGCTATTCTAGAGAAATACCGATTAATTTACATAGCTATAAAATCTGTTTAATGGATGCTATGATTTCTAGTTAAAGATCTCACATCAGAATCCCTAGTAATTTAGATTATTTCAAGTGAGGTTAACTATGGGCTTGAAATGTGTTATTTTTCTCTTTCCAAATGCTTATAAAATCAACCTTGTACCATATTACTAAGTTTCCATTAGATCATTGAACAGAATGGTCTGAACTGTCAATGTTTGAGTGTCCACTTTTTATGCTGTGAATTTGTAACTTGAACAACTATTTCTGAGAGGAAAGCATGTAACTTATCAACTAGTAATTTCTTAATGGTAATATTTTGTTTGAAATTTTATATTACTTCTACCTATTTTCTGTTTTGTTTTTTCTTTAAATAAATAAAATATTAAAAAATAAAATCAGCCTTGCAAGGATATAATATCTACTACAGGCTAGTGTAGATACTTTAGACCCAAATAGCTGACCTGATCTAGATGAATGGAATGAAATTAAGGTGGTTATACTCACATCTAATAAATATCTTATCAACCTTATAATCAAGGTTATGATGAGAGGTAAACTTGAGTGTAATATTTTTCAAACTCAACAACACTGCTAAATGATTCTTTGATGCTGTGTGTGTGTGTGTGTGTGTGTGTGTGTGTGTGTGTGTTTGTGTGTCTGTGTGAAGGGGAAGGTAGCATCCTGTCACAGTAACATGTCCCCAGTTGTGATCTAGTGATGTCAATGTATATTGCCAAATGTATCCTGAAGAGCAAAATCTCTTCTGGTTAAGAACCACTAGTACAAAATAAGTTTGCCACACTTTTGGTTCTTTTTAAGTGTTTCTGATTCCATACGCACCTTTCCAGTATTTTCCAATATCATCTGATGTAGAGAACTATTAAATAGCCCAAGTGTATGTTTTGCTCTGAAATATACAACACTCTTTTAACAAGATTGCCAATTACAAAGCAGGATTAAAAAAGCAACTCAATGTAGTGTAGTTCTCTTTCTAATTGTTATTCTTTAGACATTTACTATTATGGTGCTGTGAGCACAGATTCCTGTGTTGGACAAAGGACTTGAGAAGCTTAATGATGTTTCCAGAGATACAGAAAGAAGGCACATTTAGAGGAAAACAATGCCATTTAAGTTAATGTGCAAAGATCTGGCAACATACAGGTGGTCCAAGAATCCCAGGGTAGCCATCAGGGCCTGGAAATCCAACAGCTCCTTTAGTTCCATTATAACCATCCAAGCCAGGTGGACCTCGAGGGCCAGGTTGTCCAGGGTAGCCCTGTTAAAATAGAAAAGAAAGGATGGAGTCAACCATAGGAGTGTCATTTAACTGAAAAACACCACAATGAGAAAAGTCAGATATGCTGCTGAGCTGTCTTAGTGTCTCCTACTTTAACTCCATCATATATACTCTCACAGTTTTCCATTTATACTTAGGTATATGTCTCTAATCACAGTTCTAAGACATTCTTCCCAAAGGGATTTATACTTTAATAGGACCCAAGTTGAGACCTAAGAGAGTAAACACAAAGAGAAGGGATATACTGGATGCTATAACTTCACATTCCCTAGGAACATAGATATGCTAAAATAAAGCTCAGCTGTCTACTGGCTGAACTACTACCAACATGGAGTCACGCCAGGTGTGGGATTCCCTAGACTGGACAGTCATGGAGTGTCTGGTATGATTTTCTGTACTGAAAACTTTGCATGGGAACTGATGCTAGGTTTTGAGCAACAGAGCAGAAGTAGCTCCCATACATCTCATATCCTGAAAGCTTTTTGGTCAAAAATAAGCAAGCCCTGCATGAACCACACTTTCAACCTCAGTTTGTCACAATCACATGATATATTACTGTTTGTGTTGTAGAACTGTTATCTCCTCTTTTCCATACTCAATACTGAGGCAGTTGTTTTGCTGGGAATAAGTATTTTCATACAGCTTATTAATAAATTGTACATATATTCAATAAATTACCAGAGTGGGGCTTTCTTTGTAAATAGGCTTCCCTTTTTGTAGAGAATACAACTTTTTAAATTTATCAAGAGCCAGCTGTGTGTTGGGCATTGAGCAAAGAAGCAACCTGAAATATCAGAAATTTGGGTGGATCAATGAAAGGTAGATTTTTACCTCCCCTTAAACACTTTCAAAAGCAAAGTATATACTTAATGATTTGAGGAAAATATGTCATATATTCGAAAATTAATTTTTCAAGTCACTTGTAATCCTTTATTATCCACAGAAATAAACAATTCACAAGTTTTAAATTGAACATTATGGGCCAGGAATTTAGTTCGAGGCATATGCACCTGCCTAGCAAGTGAGAGGTCATGATTTCTATCCCCGGTGCCAATCAATCAATCAATCAATTAAACATCATATACCATTCCACTTGGTACCACCCAAAATGTAATCTTCCTTTCTCTAACATATCCACCTTGCATACACTACCTGCCCATTAGTTAGTAGCAATCTCATTAATCAGACTTATTCTCAAAGTGGTATCACACTGCTTGTGTTCCAATAATGTTTATTTTACTTGATAATGATCTTAGAGAAATGAGAAATGAGTAATGATTATGGCAATTCAGATATACCAAAAGGAAGCTGTGAAATGCTTCCTTTAAGTGAAAAGATGAATATTCTCTAGTTAACATACAGAGAAAATATATCACATACTTTGGTTGATAATATCTGTGCTGTCATTATTTATATCTAATGTCTCCCCAAAGCCTCATGTGCTAATAGATGGAGCTTTTTAGAAGTAATTGCATCATGGGGTCATAGTACCCATCAGTGGTTTAGTACACTCATGAGTTTATAGCTAAATGTGATGCTGACAGATGAAGCTTGGTTGGAGGAGGCTACAAAGAAGATCCCCAAAACTTCACCAAAAGACTTCTAGATGTAACAACCAAATTCAGTAACTTAGCAGGATAAAAAGTCATCACTCAAAAATCAATAGCATTCCTGAACACAAATAAAAAACTCACTATGAAAAAAATGAAGGAAAGAACAACTTTCAAAATAACATCAAGAAAAATGAAACATTTAGGAATCAAACTAATAAAGGAGGTACAATACCCTTACATTGAAAACTATAGTATTCTGAAAAAGGAGATCAAAGAGGGCATCAAACAATGGAGAGATATCTTCTGTTCTTGTGTAAGCAGAAAAAAATATTGCAAAAATGTTTGTACTTCCAAAATTGATATACAGATTGAATGCAGTCCCAGTCCAAACACCAATAGCATACCTCACAGAAATACAGAAAATATTCCTAAAATTCATTTGGAACTAGAAGAGACTTAGAATACCAAAAACAATTCTGGGCTACAAAGGCAAGATATCACGTTCTCTGACTTGAAAATATACTACAAAGTGACTGTGATAAAACAACATGGTACTTCCAAAAAAAAAAAAAAATAGACCCAAGGATCAGTGGAACAGACAAGAAGATGCAGAAACAACTCCAAACCTATTCAACCACCTTACTGAATAAATGTTAGTCTCTTTAAGAAATAGTGATGGAACTATACTACTAAATTTTGGTATTCCATCATGCAGAATACTTTGTGCTGTCATTGTTTTATTGCCTATTCATTTTTATGCTTTGACTTTGTAACTTGAACAACTACTTCTAACGTAAAAATATGTAATATGTCAACTAATGATGATTTCTTAATTTTTTTGGAATTCTGTATCATTTCTTCTCTTTTTGTTTTGCTCATTTTTTAAATTAAAAAAGTGAAATGGTGCTGGGAAACCTGGTTTTCCACATAGGGAGGATTAAGTCTAGACCCATATTTCACACCATGCTGTAAGTTAAAACCAAAATATATCAAAGATCTAAATATTAAAAAAGAAATACTAAATATTCTGGAAGATAGAATAAGTGGAATTCTTTTTTTAAAAAATTAAGTTTATTGGTACATTTTAGGTACACATAATGATCAGATCCATTAGAAGGAATTTGTACCTGTACATGATATACCTTAATTCTTTTTCCCATTTCCCTTTGCACCCTTCAATTCTTCCTTATGTACAAAAGCTTTGTTTCCATTTCAATTTCTCTTTTCATCATTTTTTCCTTCTCACTTCCTTTCTTTTCCCTTCTTCCCTCTTTAGCTCCCCTCTTGAAGATATAGTTGTAGGAAAGATTTTATGAAAAGAACCATGATTTGATGGCACAGGAAATATTACAAAGAATGAACAACTGAGATTTTATCAAAAAGCTTCTGTACAGCAAAATAATCCATCAACAGAGTGATGAGATGACTCACAGAATGGAAAAAAAATTTACAAAGTACTAACATGTAGAATAAATAAAAATAATCAAAAATCAGATTCCCCAAATTAAAGGCATAATCCAGAAATGAGCATCTGAAGTAAATGCATGTTTCTCAGATGAAGAAGTACCAACAACAAAGAAATATATGAAAAATGTTCAACTTCAGTGGCAATTTCAGAAATGCAAATTAAAACAACATGAGATTCCATTTCACTTCAGAAACAATAGCTATCATACAGGAACTACTAACAAATGTTGGGAAGGCTGTGGAGAAAAAGAAACTCTTCTCTTTTGTTGATGGTAGTATAAATTGGTATAACAAATATGGAAATAAGCATGGAGATTCCTCAAAAAACTAAAATTAGGTATTCCACTTGACTCAACTATTGCCCTTCTTGAAATCATCCTAAAATACCTAATAGTGTCATACCATACACCCATGTTTTTAGCCACACAACTTATAATAACTAAATCTTGGAAACAGCCTAGATGCCCATCAACAGATGAATGTATGAAGAAGATTTATTTTTATACACAATTTAGTACTACTGTGTCATAAAGAAGGATAAACCTGAGACATTATTACATAAAGGAATGTACCTTGAGACCATACTTTTAAGTGAAACAAATTGACACATATGCTTAAATATATATTATTCCTCTTGTATGAGAATCTGAAAGTATAAATAAGGATGAAGATAGATATTGGGGAGTAGGAGAAAATGTTCAGATTGGAAAGGGAACAAGGGATGGAAGAAGGGAACTGGAAGGAAGGGAAAAGTGATAAAAGAGTATTGAAGGAAAAAAATTAAAAAGACAGTTTTGGTAAACAGAGAGAGGAAGAAGAATTTAAAGGAGAGGTATGGATGAGCATAAAAAAGAAAAATCAAGATATATCATACCCATGTACAAATTCATTATAATGAATATGATCATTATGTATATCAAGTGTACCAATAACATTAATTTAAAACAAAATCTTTCCTCCCTTAAATTGTGTGTGTCAGGTATTTTGTATCAGCAACAAGAAAGAAACTAAGACATACAGTAAGAATAAATCTTCTTTGAAATTGTGAAAAAAGAAGAAATTTTTGCTAGTTTGACAGTAAAAACGTAAGCTTCAAAAGTTATGACACAGTGCATTATAAGTGCTTCTTTAAGGTAGAAAAGGCATTAAATTATGGTTGCCTAGATTGTATGCATGGTTTCAGGCATTCACTAGAGTTCTTGATATGTATTCCAGATCAATAAGGAGGGTTATTGTGTTACAGGAAATAACCTTTAGCAAAATTCTTAGGGATAAAATGCTCCATAGAGTTCTATTTCATTTTTTTGTTGTTATTGCAGTTGTAGGAAGTAGACAGTTTGTCAATACAAAAGTGCAAGCCTAGGCTACTGGACTTATGGATTACTAAATCCAAAGGAACTGTCAGGATTTGTCTTTGCAATAAACTCCCTATAATCTGTGTCTCTGCAAACCCAAGAGATGATTTTTAGCTGTACTTTAGAAACTGATGCAGCTCATTAGAGTCTTCATCTTTATAACCACCTGGGATAGTTACTCTTCTTTGCTCTAATGATTCCCATATCTGTGTCCTTAGTGACTAACCTCTATGGACAGTACCAATCAGACTCCTTTTCCCTCTGTCTTCCAGTTGTATTTGAGCACAGGCTGGAAACTGGAGCATGAGAAAGGGCACAGTTTATTTCACTCAGGGTTTGTCTCTTTCCCAACATTTGTTGGTAACAGTCAAGTTTCTCTATAGTCTTAGCCTTTGCTGGACAACAGCGATTCCACAGCTACAGATTTCCAGTATTCTATATTTTAACTTTTTGACTATCCACTGTTGTTTCCTGTCATTCTGCTCACAGCCTTTAAATGTACTATTCATTAAACCTATTTAATTAAAGTCTTTAGATGCAATACTTGTTTTCTATTGGGATCATAGCTACCACTCTAAAATATGCTTAGGCAAACTTTCTAGGTGTTGTTTTTCTCTCAGCTGGTAGCAGGGATAAACCAAGGTAAGACAACAGGCAGACCCACTGCCAAGGGTTTTCCTTACTCTTAGGACTTCGGTGTCTCACAGAACCCAGGGAAAGGGATGGGAGTGTTTACTGGCAGCAGCAAGCTCATTTGGAAGAGTCCAAAGAGCTACAACTTTTTCTTCCAAAGGATGAAACTCCTAAGAGAAGTGATCAATTTCTTCAAGCTCTAGAGCTGTCTTGGCTGTAAGTTGAAAGCAGAGAAGCTCACCTGGACTGTGATGTGGAGTGGGGTGGGAGGTTCAAGTTTGGATTTGGCAACAAGGATCTCATAAGATGTACTTCCTTATAGCTTCCCTTACAAACAGACTGCAGGAGGTTAGATATTAACATTGCAGGCTCTAAATCACCCATTCATCTCTGGTGACAGTAGTAGGAATGGCAGAGGCTGCCTCCAGTTTGCGTTTGTCTCTCCTCCTGGTTCTCAGAAGTGTCACACTTCATTAATTTTATTTTCCTACTAACCTAATTCTGGGCATTTTCAGACTTTAGTTGAATGCAATGTAGAAATATAAAGGGTGACCTGCTGATACATATAGCAAACGGAAATGAGCCTTCTAGTCTCCAAATCCACAAATGACTAATCAATTCTGGAAGAAATAGATCAAGTGATAACATCGTTGAGGAAAGAGTTTTATGCTTCTTCTGTGTCCGCATAGAGTGTTGGCACATAGTAGGTGGTCAAGAATTATCTATAGATTGGAACTCTCTTCCTTTATACTAAATGGTTATGTAGCATAACACAAAAAGTATTTTATCCTAGGGTTTCCCAAACTGTGCTTTCATAAGGGCCAGAAGAAACTCTTAGAGATTGTTGTAAGAATAAAGGTGGACTCTAGGGCCTCCCTCAAATGGACAAGCTGCATTCTCTTCTATATGTTGATCTTCCGTACAAGAGTGTGGTCTTCCTTAAGCACGATAGAAAACTACTGTTACAGACAAATATGTTCAGCCTATGGATTAAATATAGAGAGAAGTGGCAAACGACAGAATTAAAAATAGTAAGTGCCACATAAAAGCAGGTGAAGCTCCAGCAGTGGGCTTATTTGTGGGATAGCACGAAAGTGGAGAAAGTAAGGAATTAGGCTGGATGAAATAGGAAAAGGAGATATCCAAAAGCTCCACATCTCCACTTATCTCCAACAGAGCAGGGGCGACAGGATGAAGGAAAGAGGCTGCCTCTAAGTGATCTTTGGACTGGTCACTTTGTAAAACCTAAAGAGAAATTTACTCTGAAATGATATAAGGCTAAAGAGAACAAAGTATTGAAACAAAATGTACCAAGTTATCCTGAAGGATTTTTCTATCTAATTTTGTGTTTCTTAATTTTTGTATAATGAACAGTTATATTCTTTTATGTGGCTATCTTTCTACATCTTAGAACCAGCCCCTCACCTACAATCAAAGGCCCCCCTCAACCCATAAAATCTAATTTATTTGGCTAAGATATCAATGGTTTTTCATGGACACATATGGTCCTCTACCACACAACCATTTGACTTAGGTTGCCTGTACCTGAATCTAAGGATAAATATGTGACTACTGCCTTCAAACCACACCACACATATCTTACTACTGGACCCTAAGCATGCTTTCATGAGAAAGGATGTCACTAAGGCCACGTGACTGAGTTATTAGGAAGAATCTAGAGAGTGATATTAAAAACACTTCTGTGGATATACTCACCGGAATCCCATCAATGCCAAGAAAGCCAGGAACTCCCATGGGACCCTAAAAAAGAATAGGAATAGAAGTGTAAGATATATCTAGTTGGCGGTCATTAAATTTGATCAGCTTATGTAGTTGAAAGACCTGAGTTGTTAAGAAGAGTTTTGTATCTTCCCCTTGGGTATTGTATGTTCTGAGACCAGTTCTTTGGCAGAATAATGTAAGTCCTAAAATTAAGGCACAATATTGCATTGACATTTGGAGAAAACTAGGAGGATTATAAATAACCTAACCATAAATTTCCTCTTCACTCTGCTCCTTCAGATAAGGTCTTTTAGCCAAATAACTCTGCTTACCAAATGGAACAGGAATAGTTTTTGCTTGTCCCTAAATAGCTGTTTTAGTTCCCTATGGAACATTGAATTACTCACAAAGACAGACCACATCTACCTTCAGGAGCCACAAGCATTCTACAATCCTGACACCAAAAAGTATGCATCCCATAGCCTCTTAATTCACTGTGTTTCTGAGTGCAACCTCTGTGTGACCTTACATGTGTGCAGAGCACACATGTAAAGTCTGAACTCTGAACAGGTCTCTGAACTGTGAGTATAACCGGTTACTAATATACTACTATCAACTTCATCTGTCCAGTGTTAGGGATTGTGTGATAATGGGTTATCCCCGTTACCCTAGAATGAGAATCTCTCCTTCACCAATAAGGTTAACAGAAAGTGATTAAAATAAGGAAGGAATATAAACTGAGCTGCTAAACTCAGCTGGCTAGCAACCACCATTACATATCACTTTCTTTTCTGGAGCTCTTTCCATATATTTGTAGTCCAGATTGCTTTCAAACACTCTGACCTCTTGCTTCTCAGTCTCTTTTCTTGGATTCTTAATTTCTACTGCTTAGCCCACTGTGATTCTGATTATGTCCCACTCAAAGTCACATGATTTCTCACCACAGGGGACCTACTCATCTGGAAAGTAGTTAATACATTTTTTTTACAGTCTGCTTGACAGCAAAGTCTCATGAGATATGGAGATTCTCTCTTATCAAAGTAGGTAGCATAGTACTAACGTATTCAGAAACAATATGGTTTTCATAAATAAGTAGAATTGAGATCAACAGTTTTTGACTCTCATACATGCAGGCATGTACTACAGAAAAACCAAGCCGTGATGATCTTACCTTATCACCTTTTGTGCCATATGGACCTGGAGGGCCTGGAAATCCCTTTTCTCCTTTCAACCCTGATAAACCAGTAGGTCCAACAAATCCTTCACGACCAGTGGGACCTTGAATTCCAATTGGTCCTGGTCTCCCCTAAGATAGACAAAAGAGTATATAATTAGCCAATAGAAGGTTTAACATCAACACTTTCCATTTTCCCATGCACAAAGAACACTGTCACCACTTCACTAAATAATTTTGGCTTAGACACTGTGAGGCATGCCAAAGTTCCAGACATGGATCAGAAAAGCTATTTTAGGGACTGCTAAGCTTATTTGGATAGAACATATTTTATAAGCACATTTAATAAGATTCATGTGCACCAAGATCCTTCAACTTTGTACTTCTTAGGAGATTAGTTATTCAGGCTGGATAATATTGTCCTCTCTTAAGTTAATGCCAGGTCATTCATCAGATTGTCAAAACAGTAAAAGAAGAGAATTCTGGAGAACATTGTGACATTTTATAAATCCAAATGGCCAACCACATGCTTGCAGTGAAGGTTGGAAATGACTGTGCTTAAAGAATATGGCCCCAGGAGGCCAGAGAGGGGAAAACTCATGAGCTTATCAACTTGTCAAAATTAATCTGTGTTGACTAATATCAGAACTCCATCACTGTATCAGGCAACATACAGGGAGCACACACACACACAGACAGACAAACAGACACAGACACACACACACACACACACACACTTGTACACACAGTAATTGTTTACTTGCTCTTTCTTCCTATATATGACCCATTTGTATAGTGTTGAATGTGCAAAATACAAGTGGCCTGAGAAATCTATTTAAGTATCAATTATGGAGGCAAGAGGGAGAGGCCTGGGGAGTTTGAATGCCCTGGATATAAAATGTCTGTAACAATTAGTCTGAGAGTTCAGGCTGACATTTTAAAGCAGACTGCGACTGAGAATTAACCTCAGTGGGTGAAACACAGGCAGGGTGGACTATCATTTAGAACAAATCCCAGTAGGGGCTGAATTTTCTTGGCAGAAAAGTGAAAACCATTACTAATGTACATTACCTCTCAGAGAACACAACACCATATGAGACAGAAAGCTTATTTTCATAAATGCTTCCCATCTCCACCTCCTGGCCTTTTTACTGACTATCTGTAATTGCCTACAAATCTGTGAAAAGCTCTGAAAAAGTCCATTAAACATGCCCTGTACTATTCATATAAAGGTTCACTTTTTAAAGGGGCAAAATAGGACAGATGCCTTATACAGTGGCTAAAGTTGTATATTAAAGATCCACGTGGGCACTAATTGCGCTGGCCTTTTGGAATATAATTTTCAATGAAGAATCAAGTTTATGAAGACCTAGAACTCTTGAAAAGAAGTAAAAGACATTCTTCCCATGCCTTTTACAAATAATGCTAGACTGCAAACTGTTTAATAGACTTACTTCTGTGAAAGATGGGGGCAAGGGGTAAGCATTTGACTTTTAGACTGCTGTCTCTCACTGTTGGAATTTTTCTTACAACAATTTGATTATGTAATGTTCTTGTAATTTACAAAAAATCAATATATGTGTATCTATATGTTTAGTGTGTGTGTGTGGTGTGTGTGTGTGTGTGTGTGTGTGTGTGTGTGTGTGTAGACTAAAGAGAAAAAGAACATACTTTCAAAAAGGGTTGTGTTGAGGATGAGTGAGGAAGTAAAACATGTGGGCCTACTTTTGAAGACTTATACACAAGTCATAACAAACAGCACAAATCTGTAACAGACTATAAGCACTGCAAGAATACAGAGGCAGAGCTGGCCATGAAGGTCTGCAGAATGGTTACACTGGACCTGTGTTGGGGGGGAGTCATGGGCTGCATAAGCCCTAGTTGAAGTGGGCATAGGGAGTGGGGCAGGCAGTTGAAGAAGTATGTGTAGGTCTAGAGAACCAGCTGGGAGGAAAGCAGTATTCAGGACTAAAAGCATCAAGAATCATTCAGGAGAACATGTATGTCTCAACTGAAGACAAGGCCAGTGTGCCTGAGGCTGGAACATGGGAGGCAAGTAAGGACCAGCTGCTGAGGAGAAGAACATTGTTTGGTGGGGGGACAGGGGCAAGATGGGCCTGCTGAGGTGATATTATTACTAGGAGAGAAGATTCAGTTGGGTCATTAAATGCTTAATCTAAATCTGAGCTCTGGAAAATAGCTTTCCCACATCAAGAGCGGGGAGAAGGAAAGCGTGATAAACCATTGAGCAGCTGCTGAGAAAGTGGGTTGTGAGCCGGTCTAATTTCCATCCTGCTCACACCACTAGAGGAAACTGAGCAGTACCCAACATGGGCACAAAAGGTGCACATTCCACCTCTGTTCCTTTGCCTTTGTAAACAAAAGCTCAGCATTAAGTATAAGCAAAGAAACATAGGCATGAGGTTATTCTAAGGTTGGACTGAACATATCTCTGACTTCACCCAGAAAAGGCCTGCTTCCTTTCCTTTGGCTGGGTGGGCACACTAAATTTGCTGTCTTTGTTCCAGCCAGAAAACTGAAAATAAGTCCCTTAAAGAACTCATGAATTTTTTAAAAAAATCAACTCTTTTTCCAAATGGGGTATTTACAAAAGCACCCCTCAAAGAAACATGGTGTTTTGGGGCTGGGTTCAGGTGTTTGGACTGGTGATCACTTCAGTAGCCCATCTCGAAACCTCTCACTCAGACTGGATTCAGGGAAGAAGCAGGGAATGGAACATGGACTATCTTGAGGCTTCCAGGGGTGCTGCTAGTCTTGATCTGCCTAGTCATCATAGTTCCAGGGCCTTCTACAACCTGCATTTAGAGAATATCAGACAAGGAGCTTCCCCATCCACTGTCCTTTTATACTGTGGTATAGAGTACCATTAGGAGGTCACGAAAAAGAAAAGGAGGGAGATATTTCTTTTGTGGGCTGCTTTGTCACTTATGTCAATATATGATTACTTTGTGCTTATAGCCACATGGTCATTTTACTCATTTCTAATATACACGGTTTACTTCTTAGTACCCAGTGTTCTCATGAAGCTTAGTACTATAATAAATCAGAGAACTGGATTTTTTGCTCCGGAGACTCTGTAGGCGACACTTTTGATAATCACCAGCAGAGGTCAGTGTAAGAACATAGTGGCTACAGATAAACAGGTGGGTGGGTGGGCCTCTTCCACTACAAAGAAAAAGAAATCAAATCAGTGTCAGAGAAGTGACAAAATGTTCGAGCAGAAAAGGCCCTTACGGACTATTCAATCCTGGATTTATTTTATACATAGGGGAGGAAGCTGAAAGAACACTAGGGTCACACAGATAGTAGAAATGGTGTGGGACTCAAACCAGACTGTCTGCTACCAGTGAATGGCTCTTACACTGTTTGCCAAAGGGAGATTTCCAAAGGGAGCCTTAAGGCTACCTTTCCTACCTCCTGGATGGTCCCTATCAGTACTCTGTGGCAGCCAGATGCTCACACATTATTTCTCTCTTTCTAACCCTGATCATTTCACAGAACTAATCCGAAACATCATCACTGTTGGGACTGCTAGCAGAATTTCAATAGCCTTGGAGCAATGCCCTGCCCTGATGCATATCATTTATTTTGGCAAACAGATCCAGACAGGGCAGAAGGGACTCCTCCAAGTCTCTCCAATAAGCTTTCCTACCTCCATCTGCTCAGGATTTTAAAAGTGCACATCAGGGTCTATTTCTCAAGGGAAAGGGTTGCAAGTTGTGTTTAAGGCCGGGGATTACAAGTCCACAACTGCGGCCCAGGCTGGCTGCCTCCTGCTGACTACGATGCACTAGGGTCAATGTGGCATTTAAGGTCACTTTTAATCAGATCTAGACACTGGGGTAATAGAAACAGAGCTTTCCATAAAGTACAGACATGAAGAAATACTATCTCAAAATCTTAGGACCACATGCTCCAGACTGGTAGGACTGTGAAAATGATGAAGGGAGCTAACTTTTCACAGTCCCATCTTCTTTCTTTTATTTCTTTTCAGTGTTATCCTCCTGTAAAATTAAAATGTGCTCCTAAGTGCCTGAAATTCATTCCCATTGAGGCATAAATGACTTATAACAACTGAGAGCTTTACTTTGTGTAAGAGAATTTGAAATTTAATGGTAAGCAAAGTGTTAAGTTAGGGGATGCACATATTTATGAAGCCGAGAAGAAAGAAGGTTGTTCACAGGCTTTCTTAAGAATCCAGCTGCTATTTCAGAAGGTGGGCTAGCACCAATAGGTACACCTAAATTTGAATCTCCTTCCTGTTGGTTAAGAACTGTATATTTGGGTAACTGACAACCATTCTGAATGTCAAAGGCTGGGATGTAATAGTAAGTTTTACATAGCATTATTGTAGGCATGAAGATAAGTTGATAAATACAAAACACTTGACAGATGAGACAAAAGTATAAGTTTCTTTCCCTCTGAGGTATAATTTATGGTAAAGTGGAGAAATTAGGATTGGCCACCTAAATTTAGGTGGGAGGCACACAGACATGATCAGGGAATCTTCTTTGCGGCAGTGGTGTGTGCCTGGGAATGGAAAAGTATGTCTGCTGGCAACCCACAGCTTTGATAGAGTTGTCATTTTACTCAGAGATGGTACCCAGTTATCCTGGACACTTGGTCTCTCCGTGTGTACCCATTCTCTTAAAAGGACCTCATCTACAAGATGATTACTCCTAAAATCTGAACCATTAGCCCAGATTTCTCTCCTGCGTGTGCCAGATACTTGTAGCAATGGTTTATGAGATGTCTCCACCTAGATTGTCTAAATCCAACATAACCCAAACTGAACTCACTGCCATCTCATAACCCCTTCCTCAAACGAACTCCTTTCTCCTGAGTTAATCAATGGGACCCCCCAAGAAAGTGATCAAGTCAGAAACCCAGGAGTCTTCCACCACATTTCCTTTTGCTTCATTTTTCACATCTCCATTAGTAAAGACAGTCAATTCCACCTCCAAAATATAGCTCAAACCTGACCATTTATCTTTATATAGCTTACTTCAGCTCTTCCTCATCTCTCTCCTAGAAAGTTCTCACAGCCTCCCAAGGGATAGGCCATCCTCCACTCTTGCTTTGCTCTTTCTCTACCATCCTGCCCAATGATC